TCAAATGGCTGGCGGTTCGTGTGTGAAGTATATGATTACTGTGAGGGTAGTTTCCAAATGTATCAAAGTGTTGTGCCTCTCTCTCTCTCTCTCTCTACCTCTCCATCTGTTGTAATCAGCAGTCATGTTGTCATCAGTCCGCTAGGGACATGTTGTTAATGTATTAAGTGTGTATGTTATCCTGTGTTACCATTTAGTTAGCTAGTAAATAAATAATTAAACCAATTTGTGTAGTACTAAATCATAAGTAAGGCTGGGGTTTTTGCAGATACAAGGAGGATATGACGTATAGAATGATGATATGATACGAAGTTATGATTAATAAGTTGGCTGTTTATTGATGTAATAGATATATATATATATACCTTCAAGAGTTTAATTCGGGAGATGGTAACTCTTTAAACAACCGCTCCCGTGGTGCACCAAATCCTAATGAGTTAATTGTTACATGATTAATTTAATCGGGTAACAATTAAACATAGTTAGTTAATTAGAGAAATAACAGTCTTCAGATTAATGAAGGTCACGTCATGACACATGGTTGTGCCCCTGCCCAGTCATGTGAAATCCATAGATTGGGTCTAATTTATTTATTTAAATTCACTGATTTCCTTCTATGAACTGTAACTCAATAAAATCTTTGAAATTGTTGCATGTTGAGTTTATATTTTTGTTCAGTATAATTATGAGCTGATATTAAACAATGAAACTGTTTGAACCTCAGAACAGCCCCCCAATAACCTGCCAGCTTCTAAGAAATACACACAAAATGTTAAAATAAAATGGCTAAAGGATTTGTGTATTAAAACGTTAATCCGTTTAGCCGGCTAGCAAATGAGCCAAATCAAGCGCTGATTGAGCAAAGTCTGTTGTCACCTCCAGAGATTACACAGTTTGATGAGCTGAGCTGGTGATCCCTTTTTTCTGCATCTGGGGGCATAGTGTCCATCAACAGGGCACGGATATCATCAGCCTGACGGAGGAAGCGTTACTGGGTGATAAAATATATTGGATGGGAATTATAGTGAGCAGACTACGTCATTGTAAATCAGATACTTAGTTGAGCAACTAGAAAGATATAAGACATGCATACATCCACTATGTCTACCATTATGAGCAAAAAACCTATGAGAGCTCTCTTGCTTGTGTTGAGAATCATCAGAGAATACTGAACACTTCATTTGACCTTGATCAGGAGGGCCGCAATGTCCACGTACTGTAGAGGAGTGACAGAGAGGAAAGAGAGACAGAGGACATGATTTAACCTCATGATTTGCCCAAAGACTGATGACATCCAAGCTGTTCGATATCTAGGCTTTCCTCAAGGTCACATTCATCAAAGTGTGGGTGTTTTGACAGAAACCGGTAGTCCAAATCAGAGTTACGAGTAGGATTATTTTCTGTAGGAAAGGGACCAAAAAAGTTTTAAAATAACTTTTTCAGAAAATAATCGGTAAGATTTATGGATAGCATTATCAATAGTTTCTGTGATACTTCTAAAGCCATATGGTTACGCCTCATCAAAGCTCATAAAACATCTTAGATGCACACAAGCACCATTGTCAATCCAAATGTAGAGAAGAATATAAAAGAGAATATTTGTATTTAACAAACGCTGTACTACTGTACCATTGAGGATCTACTGCATGGTTTGTCATATTGGATCCTCTGCTAAGCTGAGGTGTGGGAACATCGTCCTGGTGACGTCAGCAGCCTGCAGCTCCTTTGTAGTCAGCCAGGTAGCTCTCTGGTAGAGGCAAGGAATCAACAGCGGCCAGCCTGGAACACACAAGTGAAATTGGATAAAATGTGATTAACAACGTTAGCGGGAACACACAGGAGGACTTCAGATAAGTGGCATGTGAAAACAAACGGTAAATGGCACTCACGTCACGCCAATAAAGAAGTATGGAAAACATTTGCGGGCAAACTGGGATAGAGAGCGTAGGTTTGTTGGTATTGGATTCTCTCTGCTCAGCTGAGGTGTGGGGAAATCACCTGGTGACGTCAGCAGCCTTCTGTAGTTGTGTTCAGGAGCACAAGGGGTGTACTCAATGACATAAACATGATCATTAACCCCAGTATCATGGACCTCTGACGCCACACTTTCCTCACTTACATCCACTATCACAGCTATATCATTGTGATGTAGGCCTACATCTGACACACAACTGGTGTCATCATGCACATCCAGCATCACAGTGATATCGCTGTGATCAACATCTGCATCATCAACAAGTACCTCAACGATGTTACTTACACAGTAAGCATGATCATGTACAGCAGACGCTTTCGCATGATCAACATAGCCACTTACCTCTGTACATACCATATTTCTTCATCTTTCCCTGGGGCATTGTGACCGTTTTTGAAGACCACCTTTTCATCTGAATCTTCTAAAATAACTTTGCTGTCAAGCAATGTAGACACAATGATCAATGTAATTACACTTGGCCCAAGTTTTACTTAACATTTATGATCTAGATAGCAGGATAGTAATGGTGTTTACCTAGTCAGCTATAGAAACGTGTTTGTGAAAGTTATTTAATGTGAATTTGATGCAAACTAGCTTGCTATCCTCAATTAATGATATTCAATGGGGGCTAACCAAGATAGTTACTAGCTATAGATAATCACTAGCTAGGCAAAATGCATAGATAGTTTGTAAATACATTTAATTTGAGGGGGATAAAGTAGCTAGCTAACATTAGTTATAGCCAGGCTGACTTGGAGTCACATTAGGTATGTCACATTTAGCTTGTTAGCGATCTAACGATCTCACTACCACTAGATATCTAGTTAAAATTGATCCACGTGGATTCTAGTTAGATAGCTTATTTTAGCTAGAACGTTGATTTCACGTGGACTCTGACATTAGATTATCTATTTTTTTTTTAGATTTTTTTTTTTAGATAGCCAGCTAGCTAACTTAGTCCCACCAGAGTCGTGCCACCTGCTATATTGCCTTATTGACAGCATTTAAATTGTCACTCAATAAATATTATCCTCACAATTATATTATACATTATTTTGTGTTTATAGCTATAATAACAACTAGCAAACAAGCATGACAAGCAAACAACCATGATCCCTGTCAAGATGCCTTGTCAAGATGCTCAAGCTAGCTGATGTTAGCTAGCTACGCATTAGCTTCCAATACAACACAAATCGTCCATCGATCCACATGTATCATGACAAAAATCATAACGAAAAATCAATCACCAACTTGTGTGTAGAGTTTAGACTGCTTCGCATGTTTGGTGCAGATGTAAGCTGAACACAACAGCATCTTCAGGTTCTTGCTGCGTGCAAAGAATTCCCTCGGCTCCTTGAACTACATTAGGCAGGAGCAGGTCCAGTTAGAGAGTGCTCATGTCACAGCATGAATCTAAAATGTTAATAACTTAGACCGGAAGCCTGGCCCCTTGCCCTGGCCCCTTTTAGAATACCTTGAAAACAAAGGTCTGACAACTTGGGCTCAGTCTCCAGTTGTTATTATACATCGGTATCCCCAACCCACCACCCAACCTCTCCCCGTTTTTCAACTGGTCGTTCAGTACAGCACAGTTTCCATTCAATTGAACGTTTCAGAAAGTAAAAAAAGTACTAATCGCAGCCCTGGGTCAATGGAGTGTTGCCAATTTAGCAACTTTGTTGCTATATTTAGTGAGTTTCAGACCCTTCCAGTGACTTATCGGTAGAAGACTGCCTTTGGGGAAGTTTGACATCAAGGGTTTCTATGGTTTTGATAGCATTTAGCCATGGGCGGATTGGCCGTCTGGCAATTATCTTATTAAGTTCTACTTTTCTGATGTATCAAATACTTATGTCATGCAATAAAATGCAAATTAATTACTTAAAAATCATACAATGTGATTTTCTGGATTTTTGTTTTAGATTCCGTCTCTCACAGTTGAAGTGTACCTATGATAAAAATTACAGACCTCTACATGTTTTGTAAGTAGGAAAACCTGCAAAATCGGCAGTGTATCAAATACTTGTTCTCCCCACTGTACACAGTACCAGTTAAAAGTTTGGACACACCTACTCGTTACAGGGTTATTCTTTATTTTTAAAATTTTCTACATTGTAGAATATTAGTGAAGACATCAAAACTATTAAATAACACATATGGAATCATGTAGTAACCAAAACAGTGTTAAACAAATCAAAATATATTTTATATTTGAGATTCTTCAAAGTAGCCATCCTTTTGACTGGTACTGTATATTATTTAACTATTAATGAAAAAATGCTCCAGTCTGAACTTAAACTAATTAAAACAGGTAGAAAGTGTGTAGAGGCCTCGCGAGTGGCGCAGCGGCAGTGCTTGAGGCTTGAGGATCCCAGGCTGTGTCGCAGCCGGCCGCGAGCGGGAGACCCATGAGGTGGCGCACAATTGGCCCAGTGTCGTCCGGGTAAGGGGAGGGTATCGCCGGCCGGGATGTCCTTGTCCCGACTCCTGTGGCGGGCCGGGCACATGCAGGCTGACTTCGGTCGCCAGTTGTACGGTGTTTGTGTTTCCTCCGACACATTGGTGCAGCTGGCTTCCGCGTGGCTCTCGACCTTCGCCTCTCCCGAGTCCGTACGGAAGTTGCAGCGATGGGACAAGACCAATTGGATATCATGAAAAAGGGGTAACAAAAATAAATGAATAAGAAAGTGTGTAGAAATGATAATGAACTTACATTTTTTTATAATTTAATCTCTGAACAAGTTTTCAATCACAGTATTTTCAATATAGAGCTATTAGCAGCACTATTTTGTTTGATTTTGTAGTCTCAAGACAGTGAGTTTATTAACATTCTTCATCATGAATATGGGCAACGTTTAATAATTGACAATGAAGGAGGTGGGAATGTTGTTCCCTTGTCATGTAATTGCTACATTTAATATCAATATAGCATTAAAATCGTTTTCCAGATTGTATTTTGCCGATCCTTTGGGTCACAACTGAGACAACCTGGTTAAATGTGGGTCCCGAGGCAAAACCAGTTGAGAACCACTGATGTAGCTTATTATATATATATATAATTCTAACCAATGGGCCAAATCAATAGAATTTAATCAACAAAAGATACGAGTTTCACCAATGGAATGCGCATCTCTCTAAGGTTACAACTGTTGCTAAAGATCAGTGCCTCCACCACAGTACTTAGATTTGTAATGATAATAACATGACAATACCATTTATTTGATCTTATGCATGATTTCCATTAATATATATTTTGTTCATGACAAGTAAACAGATAATTGAGGAAGGAAGGCCATTACATTTTTTGGATTTCGACACATATTAGTGAAGATACATGATAGAAGCATGTTCACATCTCTTTGATTCTCATTACCTGATGAAATAACAAGAGACAAACCCTGTTCAATTTAACAGTCCAAAGTCGCAACAAAGTCACTTCATAAGTTATCCTTCATAAGGTATAAAAGTGATTTGATAAACTGAGAACAGTACCAAAGAGAAATTATACAATTAAAATAAAGTAAAGTGATTACAGGTTGATTCATATATTAAATGTTTCCATTATTATTAAAACATAGATCAATTTATTAATTTCTATCTAGCGTGAATATTTATCTTCTTCCTTCACAGTGTGTGTCTTCAGACAGACAGACATGTAGACAGACACATTGTGAACAAGATGGCCGCCAAAGCTACGTTTCTGAGGCCGCGATGGATTCGAGGCTGATGCTGTCTGCTTCGGAATCTTCTTCGCTGTGGATTGGGATGGTCTCGATGCCAATCTTCCCCATGGCAAAGTTGATGAAGACCTGGAGGGGAATGAATAATTCTACAGGATCAGTGACTGGGTTGGTTGTTCAGATTGCTTTACATACTTTTCACAGAGGGTTCTACATGGATCCCAAAATGGTTCTACCTGGATCCAAAAAAAGTTTTACTTGGAACCAAAAAGGGTTATCTTATGGGGACAACCAAAGAACCCTTTTGGAACCCTTTTTTTCTAAGAGTGTAGGTAGTAGGTTCATACCCTCTGTCAGTTACTCTGAATAGGATTCAAAACCTATTTTTGCAACTTGATTTCTGAAGTGTGAAGACATACTGTAATTGCCCTTTAAGTCTGTTAGGTCTCTCTCTCCCTCCGACAGACTCCCCCCGTCTCTCTTTCTTTCTCTCTTATTCTCACATCCCATCGCTCACTCTCTCCATCTGCCTTTCTCTCCGTGTTCCTCTCTCTCCCTTCCACCCTTCACCATCCTTCCCTCCATCTCTCGCCCTCCACCCCCTCCCTCTTTCACATCATCCCCTCTCGCTCTCACCTCATCCAGGGTAGTCTGGCTGACAGAGAAGTGCTTGATCTGCAGAGCGGCCTTGTTAGACTCCAGTTGGTCAAAGATGTCCGCCACACCTCCAGGTGCCACAGGCACATGATACTCCACCATGGAAGAGTGCTGGTCCTGGGAGGAGGAGACATGAGGGCACATCTCAATCAATCAGGTGCCACATGTCAAACTGCGCTGTTCTACAGTACAAAGGCAAAACGCATGAACTACGTTTATTTTTTACTTCTAAATCTGACTTCAAAGTATTTTTCTATCTAGACAGACAGCCATTTCTGATCAACTGGCTTGTTCTTGTGTCAGGAAACTAAATACCACATTTAATCAGGTAATATACCTGGCCGTTACAACAGATGAAAGATTTTTGACCAAATTATTTTTTGACCAAAACTGTTTTTAACCGTTATAGTGCAGTGTGTGTGAATGTGCTTTGTGGGAATTTTATAGGAATGTATTTTATACTGGTACAAATCCAATTTCCCCTCTGGGGATCAATACAGTTTATTCATTCATTCAGTCCCCCACACCAGACTGTCCCAGGTATCTTACCTTGAGGTACGTGCTGGGGAAGTGGTGCTGCATGAAGTTGGTGATGACCTCCACGTCACAGGAAGACACAGCCAGGTACATCTTCACCGTGAAGCCGCTGCCAAACCTGAGAGAAACACACATCATCACGAAGGAATGTTACTTTTTTATTACCAATCAGAGTTAATGTCTGTGAGGGCCTTCTATGCCTTCAGAGAAGGCCTAAGGATTCATACAATAATTGTTGTAGTTTTAAAATATACATTTACTTTTAATTTAATATTTTCTATAATATTCTAATTATATTCTTATTTTCAATGATATTCTGATTTGATCTCTTCAGTTTGTGTTGGAAAGGAAAGGGTTAACACTGAAGAGAAAAAGATATCCAATCAGAATATTTATTTGGTGGTCTCTCCAGACATAAATCTATCTAGCTAAGTCAGCCATTGGCTAGGCCCTCAGAAGCCTGCCATACAACTGTATTAGGGCAGAATTTTGTAGTGAGTGGAATCAACTAATCACATACTGAAACGTATGGAAACTTCCGCCTTCTCGAAGGCCAACAATAGCGAGCAGTAGTTTTCCCACAGTCTAGCTAGCAAGCTTTTGTTGTAGGCTAGTGTGCAGCGGCTGCAGCAGGTGTTATCGAAGAGGATGTTGTTGCTAATTTGTTAGCTTCGCCCTTTTCAAGATTAACTTTCAACAAGAAGTTAGACGTCCTCCAGCGATGTTTTAACTTTTACTGTTGAAAATCTATTTCCCAATTATAAATACAGTAAAGTACATACACTAAAGGGTATTTTTGTTTCGTTTTGAACAAAAGTGTTTTTTTTACACAACTGCAAACTTCAAGGAGTAGAGTATTCAAGGAGTTAGTCTGATGAGAATCTGATGTCAAAAAACTGTCTGAGCCTGTTGGTATGAGCCATGCTCCGATACCGTCTGCCCGACGGTAAGAGAGTGAACAGCTCGTGGCTGGGGTGTGTGGTGTCCTTGATGATTCTTTAAGATAACTGGTTACTTTGTGTGCTGAACGTGAAAAATATGTTTGCAATGGGAAATAAGAGTTGTACATTTCGATTGGGAAATGCTTAGCCTAATGGTTGGGTTTTTGTATTCTTATGATTGGGACCTACTGGCTTATTATATCAGAGTGAATGTACTGCTTATTCTTTAACATCATGCTGTGTGTGACTGCTGTCTTTCTATAAGCCTAGCTATGTCTTTTACAAAAAGCATCACAAGCCTGTCACACTCACATCCTTTGATGTGTCACTGTTGTCGCTTTTGGTGATAGTGTGATAGTGATGGCGTTAGGCTACCACAGGTTGTGTAAGCAGTCTGGTTGTTGTTGCTGGTAGCATTATCCATGCGGGTGCTGTCTCTGTGTGAGTGGCAGCCCGAAGCGTGGCTCAGCCTCAGACCTGTTTGATTCAGTTGGGCGCATTAAGTGATGCTATGTTTCTGTTATTCTTTTTGATTTTTGAGTTTGGTACAATGTGTTGGAAGATTTTTTACCCCCACCGAAGGCCTAGGTCCAATAGTCATGGTTCACCACTGATATTAGGCTACAAACTACATTTACATTTTAGTCATTTAGCAGACGCTCTTATCCAGAGCGACTTACAGTTAGTGAGTGCATACATTATTTTTTGTATTTTTCATACTGGCCCCCCGTGGGGATCAAACCCACAACCCTGGCATTGCAATTGTGCGCCGCCCCATGGGTCTACAGCCTAGCATACAGTTAGCCTGGTCCCAGATCTGTGTTTAGTTATCATTGTGCTGTAGTTGGCTATACAACACAAACAGATCAAGCTAGCCTAGAGTACAGGAAACAAACGTCAGATCAGTCAGAGAACAATAGGAATAGCCTGGTCCTAGATCTGTTTGTACTGTCTTGCCAACTCCTATGGCCGTTTTTATGCCAAACAATGACCATATGAGTTGGCAAGGCAGCACAAACAGATCTGGGACCAGGCTAGGCATATGGTACAGGGAACAAAAGGTGAGTCAGAGAACAATAGGAATAGGCTGGTCCCAAATCTCCTTTGGCTGTTGTAATGCCAAACAATTACCGTTAAAGGAGTTTGCAAGGCAGCACAAAAAAACCTGCAACCAGCCCAGCATAGGCTCGGGTACAGGGAACAACAGATCAGTGAGACAACAATAGGAGGAGAGCAGCAGAGGACCAGAGGTGACTAATGACTAGCTGAGAGGGGATGAGAGAGGGACGAGAGGGGAGGACGAGAGGCCACTGACTTGTTCTTGATGTGCTGCAGGGAGCCCAGACACCTGAACTGACCCTTCACCATGATGGCCAGACGGGTGCAAAGCGCCTCGCACTCCTCCATACTGCAACACACATACAGTAGAGGTTATAGAGGGAAAATTAACCATTATCTATCAGAATATACAGCAACACACACAAACACATTTTAGTTTAGTTGACCATTTTAAAAACACATAAAAAACACATGCATAAATAAAATCACTGAGGATGAGACAATGAAGTCAGAGACGTATTTCCATTGTTGTCCTTATGATGGGAGATTACTTATTATTATAAACTGGGTGGTTCGAGCCCTGAATGCTGATTGGCTGGAAGCCGTGGTATACCACGGGTATGACATAACATTTATTTTTACTGCTCTAATTACGTTGGTAACTAGTTTATAATAGCAATAAGGCACCTTGGGGGTTTGTGGTATATGGACAATATACCATGGCTAAGGGCTGTATCCAGGCACTCCGTGTTGCGTTGTGCATAAGACCAGCCCTTAGCCATGGTATAATGGCCATATACCACACCCCCTCGGGCCATATTGCTTAATTATAAACTGGGTGGTTCGAGCCCTGAATGCTGATTGGCTGAAAGCCATGGTATATCAGACCGTATACCACGGGTATGACAAAACATGTATTTTTACTCTTCTAATTACGTTGGTAACCAGTTTATAATAGCAATATGTCACCTCGGGGGTTTGTGGTATATGGTCAATATACCACGGCTAAGGGCTGTATCCAGGAACTCCGCATTGTGTCGTGCTTAAGAACAGCCCTTTGCTGTGGTATATTGGCCATATACCAGACCCCCTCAGGCCTTATTGCTTAATTATATAATCAATCAATCAATCAATTTTATTTTATATAGCCCTTCTTACATCAGCTAATATCTCGAAGTGCTGTACAGAAACCCAGCCTAAAACCCCAAACAGCTAGTAATGCAGGTGTAGAAGCACGGTGGCTAGGAAAAACTCCCTAGAAAGGCAAAACCTAGGAAGAAACCTAGAGAGGAACCAGGCTATGAGGGGTGGCCAGTCCTCTTCTGGCTGTGCCGGGTGGAGATTATAACAGAACCATGCCAAGATGTTCAAAAATGTTCATAAGTGACAAGCATGGTCAAATAATAATCAGGAATAAATCTCAGTTGGCTTTTCATAGCCGATCATTAAGAGTTGAAAACAGCAGGTCTGGGACAGGTAGGGGTTCCATAACCGCAGGCAGAACAGTTGAAACTGGAATAGCAGCAAGGCCAGGCGGACTGGGGACAGCAAGGAGTCACCACGGCCGGTAGTCCCGACGTATGGTCCTAGGGCTCAGGTCTCTCAGTTGGCTTTTCATAGCCGATCATTAAGAGTTGAAAACAGCAGGTCTGGGACAGGTAGGGGTTTCGTAGCCGCAGGCAGAACAGTTGAAACTGGAATAGCAGCAAGGCCAGGCGGACTGGGGACAGCAAGGTGTCATCATGCCCGGTAGTCCTGACGTATGGTCCTAGGGCTCAGGTTCTCAGAGAGAAAGAGAGAACGAGAGAATTAGAGAGAGCATACTTAAATTCACACAGGACACTGGATAAGACAGGAGAAGTACTCCAGGTATAACCAACTAACCCCAGCCCCCCGACACATAAACTACTGCAGCATAAATACTGGAGGCTGAGACAGGAGCGGTCCGGAGACACTGTGGCCCCATCCGAAGAAACCCCCGGACAGGGCCAAACAGGAAGGATATAACCCCACCCACTCCGCCAAAGCACAGCCCCCGCACCACTAGAGGGATATCCCCAACCACCAACTTACAATCCTGAGACAAGGCCGAGTATAGCCCACAGAGGTCTCCACCACAGCACAAACCAAGGGGGGGGCGCCAACCCAGACAGGAAGATCACGTCAGTAACTCAACCCACTCAAGTGACGCACCCCTCCCAGGGACGGCATGAAAGAGCACCAGCAAGCCAGTGACTCAGCCCCTGCAACAGGGTTAGAGGCAGAGAACCCCAGTGGAGAGGGGAACCGGCCTGGCAGAGACAGCAAGGGCTGTTCGTTGCTCCAGCCTTTCCGTTCACCTTCACACTCCTGGGCCAGACTACACTCAATCATATGACCTACTGAAGAGATAAGTCTTCAGTAAAGACTTAAAGGTTGAGACCGAGTCTGCGTCTCTCACATGGGTAGGCAGACTGTTCCATAAAAATGGAGATCTATAGGAGAAAGCCCTGCCTCCCGCTGTTTGCTTAGAAATTCTAGGGACAATTAGGAGGCCTGCGTCTTGTGACCGTAGCGTACGTATTGGTATGTACGGCAGGACCAACTCGGAAAGATAGGTAGGAGCAAGCCCATGTAACGCTTTATAGGTTAACAGTAAAACCTTGAAATCAGCCCTTGCCTTAACAGGAAGCCAGTGTAGGGAAGCTAGCACTGGAGTAATATGATCAAATTTCTTGGTTCTAGTCAGGATTCTAGCAGCCGTATTTAGCACTAACTGAAGTTTATTTAGTGCTTTATCCGGGTAGCCGGAAAATAGAGCATTGCAGTAGTCTAACCTAGAAGTAACAAATGCATGGATTAATTTTTCTGCATCATTTTTGGACAGAAAATTTCTGATTTTTGCAATGTTACGTAGATGGAAAAAAGCTGTCCTTGAAACAGTCTTGATATGTTCGTCAAAAGAGAGATCAGGGTCAAGAGTAACGCCTAGGTCCTTCACAGTTTTATTTGAGACGACTTTACAACCATCAAGATTAATTGTCAGATTTAACAGAAGATCTCTTTGTTTCTTGGGACCTAGAACAAGCATCTCTGTTTTGTCCGAGTTTAAAAGTAAAAAGTTTTCAGCCATCCACTTCCTTATGTCTGAAACACAGGCTTCTAGCGAGGGCAATTTTGGGGCTTCACCATGCTTCATTGAAATGTACAGCTGTGTGTCATCCGCATAGCAGTGAAAGTTAACATTATGTTTTCGAATAACATCCCCAAGAGGTAAAATATATAGTGAAAACAATAGTGGTCCTAAAACGGAACCTTGAGGAACACCGAAATGTACAGTTGATTTGTCGGAGGACAGACCATTCACAGAGACAAACTGATATCTTTCCGACAGGTAGGATCTAAACCAGGCCAGAACTTGTCCGTGTAGACCAATTTGGGTTTCCAGTCTCTCCAAAAGAATGTGGTGATCGATGGTGTCAAAGGCAGCACTAAGGTCTAGTAGCACGAGGACAGATGCAGAGCCTCGGTCTGACGCCATTAAAAGGTCATTTACCACCTTCACAAGTGCAGTCTCAGTGCTATGATGGGGTCTAAAACCAGACTGAAGCATTTCGTATACATTGTTTGTCTTCAGAAAGTCAGTGAGTTGCTGCGCAACAGCTTTTTCAAAAAATTTTGAGAGGAATGGAAGATTCGATATAGGCCGATAGTTTTTTATATTTTCCGGGTCAAGGTTTGGCTTTTTCAAGAGAGGCTTTATCACTGCCACTTTTAGTGAGTTTGGTACACATCCGGTGGATAGAGAGCTGTTTATTATGTTCAACATAGGAGGGCCAAGCACAGGAAGCAGCTCCTTCAGCAGTTTAGTAGGAATAGGATCCAGTATGCAGCTTGAAGGTTTAGAGGCCATGATTATTTTCATCATTGTGTCAAGAGATATAGTACTAAAACACTCCTACAGTATACTGTGTAGCTTCACTGAAACCCAGTACCTTCCCTAATTTTATGATCACTCAATATCTTTATTATAGATACCTTTTTTTGAAAGTAATGGGATTGTTGAGACGTTGGAGATGTAGGGAGGTTTACCTGTGAGAGGTGAGAACTACAGCACACTTCCCCTTGACTTCCTCTGAGATGATCTTCCACAGGTGACGTTTGGTGCGAGGGTCCATACCTGAGCTAGGCTCGTCCTGAGGAGAGAGGGACAGAGGGAAGAGAGGAAGAGGAGAGGTGAGTTCAAGGGAGATGGAATAGAGAGGAGTGAATGCCTGATGCTTGACCCATGTAGCGGTCTCACTTGACTTATGTAAAGGTGAGGTAAGAGACTGTCTGTCTGAAGATGTCGTAATATGGACACCATACATGGGAATGAGATAAGGATTGCTCTTTGTGTTGTTCTAATCTAAGGCTTGCACTGGAGGAGCAGCAGCAATATGTTTGCTTCAGTATGAGGCCATAGCCGCGGGAAATAGGGGTGCTGAGGGTGCTGCAGCACCCCCTGAAATATCAGAATAAAAAAAATATTAATAAAAAATAAAATCACAAAAGTAGTACACTGGGCCTTTAATAGTCCTGTATTAGCAGACTGATATAGCCATCTGCAGCACACCCAAACTACTTCCCATGGCTATGTATGAGGCTGATTTCTGATGATGTCCTAAAATGGACACCATACAGGGATGAAATGAGTATCTGCAGCATTGTGTTAGCAGTAGGTATGATGATGTCACACTGTTAATATGACAGATTGATGAATGGGTGTTGCTCTCAGATGGGTCCTCAGACTGCTCACCAGCAGCCGTGTGTGTGTGTGTATGTGTGTGTGTGTGTGTGTGTGTGTGCGCGCGCGCATGTCCTCCTCACCAGCAGCAGTATATGTGGGTGTCCTATGAGTGCCAGGGCAGTGGAGAGCTTCCTACGGGTTCCACAGCTGTAACTGTCACTGATGGTATGTCTATGGTACCCCAGCTCCAGCTTCTTCAGCAGGTAATTGACCACCTGGGAGGGAGAAAGGACAAGAGAAACCAGTTTGGGTCAACAACAAAAAATCCAGTTACGTATATACCTATTATGGAGAATACATACTTTATTCTCCATTTTGTGAGAAACTGAAATTTGTCTAAAGACCATTTTGGGTTAAAAACAGAGACCAAGTTATGTACTGTAAAACTTCAAATGCAGTCTCAAATAGCCGCCTGTCCCTTTTTTTCAAGCCGAGCATCGGCACACATTTCAGCAAATAAATGTTTCAAATAAACCGTTTAGTAATGAACTTCAGTCAGTACCGTAAATATTGCGCAAAAGAAGATAAAGGAGAGCAACATCATTGCCATGGATGATACAGCAGTGTGGTTCGACATGGTCGGCTCATCTACGTGGTATACAAGGCTCAACGAGTGAGAGAATCAGGGGTGTATGATAGGCAGCCTAGTCTTTGCAAGTCTGATCTGCAATTGATTTGTTATCATAATATTTATACTGGTCATACTGGTCACAATAAACTGTGGTATTCTTTTCAACATTTTATTGAGCAAAACCTGTGTGCATTGAGGAAATAGACGCCTGGCTCAAATACAAGCCTGTTTCTAATAAGCACCGGTTGTGTTCAGTGATTGAAGCAAATAAACGCCCAGGCTGTTACTTGAAGTTTTACAGGTATACTGTATACCTATAATGGAGAAATGTTAAGAAAAGAAGAATAGGATACTGTATTGTTTTGTGAGAAATTTAAATGTGTCTTCTGCCTAGTTAAAGAGAACATTTTGGGTTAAAAAGCACCGGGGTCCAGCAGTTAAATACCTGTTACCAAGATGAATATCTAGTTAGACTTTTCCACCATGCATTTTTAATGAAGTTTGGCCATCAAGGGTGGGTTTGTTTGTGTGCTGTATTACCTCCTCTGTCTTCTATACCTATGTACATTCTGCAAGCTTAAACCAGTCTGAGGGAGAACATAGTCTGCTTGCAATTTATCAATTTAAACCAAAAAAGCTATAAGCTTGAGTTGACTAATAAGCAATTGAAATTGACTGAGAGCAACAACACTTTGTATTATGTGTGCATCAAAGAAATTAACTACAGTATGCTAGACTTTTTGTTGCATTTAAAATAATCCATATTTTAAATGCAACAAAAACCCTAGACAGTGGAGGTGCTCTAAATGCAACTGTTTTATATTCATTCTACACTAAGGCTCCTTTAAAGCAATCTTAAGCATGAGCTATTTTCCCATAGGTCGACAACATTTACACATGATTGTCTTTTGTATTCCTGGTTAATAGTCCTGAGCAGAGATATAGAATGCCTTTCAAAGTCCACACCCTTTAATTCCTGAAAAATCTCTCTGGTCCGGCCCAGGTATACCTCTATAAACTGTGTATCTATAAACTGTGTATATAAACAGCTTTTTGTGGTCCTCTGTAGCTCAATTGGTAGTGCATGGCGCTTGTACTCCAGGGTAGTGGGTTTGATCCCCGGGACCACCCATACGTAAAAATGTATGCACACATGACTGTAAGTCACTTTGGATAAAAGCGTCTGCTAAATGGCATATTATATTATATTTTATTATTATTATATATTATTATAACATATGTGTTCCATGGATAAAGACACAACATCAAACAACTGTGAATTTTGAATGATTATCTAGCTAAAACATTGATAAGAAAATATCTAACAGTTAGTTCAAAAGTATGTTCGGTCTCCTAGATTGTGCTAACAGTAGGTGTACTAACAGTTAGTTTAAAAGTGCTATTTTATTCTCTCTTCAGGTGGCCTTTACCACTGACCTATAATGTCTCCCCTCATTAATAGTGGCTAAACCATGTAAATATGAAACAACCCCATTAAGGCATTAGGCCCTTGTCTAATTACCTCAAGTTATGACTGTCTGATGAAGAGCATTACAGAGGAGGGAGGCTATATATAAACCAACCTATCCCTGTGAATTAATTAAGACTATAACCACTGTTCTGTTGTTATGGAAATTGTTGTCATCCCCTTTCTCTCCTCCTCCACCTCTCTCGCTCTCTTTCTCTCCCATCCTCCACCTATCCCTGTGAATTAGCTTAAGACTATAACCACTGTTGTTATGGTCATTAAAGCCATTGTTCGTTCTCTCTCTCTACCTCTCCCTCTCCATATCTGTGTGAATTACCTAAGACTAGCAGCCACTGTTGTTGTGGACATTAAAGCCATTGTTGTCATCACCCTGAACGGAACAGAGAATGGTAACGACAGCAGTAATGGCCAGAGCCCTTGTAAGGCTCTGGTATAATGGATATTATGGCGAGTCATCAGCATCATTTCTGTGTCTGATTGGCTGTTTGTATCTATTGGTGACATCATTGAGGTTGTCAGAGCCTATCAGTGTAATGGGGCTGAGGTGTCCAAATTGAAAGGATGGAGAGGGAGAGGGAGGAGGGGAGAGGGAGGTTGAGCGAGAGAGAGGGTGGGAGAGGGAGCCCTTGAGAGATGCTAGTCATCCTCAAAAACCCACACAGTCAAAGGATGCTAGCTTTTCCCCCTTTGTAAGCAGATCTGGGTCATCATGTATGTGTTATTCTCTACAAATATAATTCAATTTCTTTGAAAATGCTTTGAATGAGCTCACATGTGACTTGTGACCTCTCTTGTGACATGTCAGATAGAAAAAAAACTAAAATCTCATCATCTTTGACTGTTCTCCATGCAGACTTCATCAGTAATACAGCGAGAGAGGAAACATCAGAAACACTCACTCTCCATAATAATCATGGGAGAATGAATGCACAGATTGATTAGCTTTCTGAGTGATGAATTAGGTGGAGCAGTGCCTGCGGTGAACTGTCAAACATGATCCTCTCATCATAGCATGATCTCTCTGCTAGGAAGAAAAATCAATCTGGATCCATTGATACATCCACTACAGTCTGTCTTAATTGGAAAACAGAGGTAACCAAGCACAGCTCTGTCTAAACTACACTCAACTTTATACCAGCCCGGTGTACTGTATCTTTAAGGGTTCTTCACTAGGTTTCTCAGTCTTACTCATAGTGAGTGTTCCAGCATTTAGTACTACAATAGCTAGTGATGAATCTTTTATCCTTTCTGATCTGATTCTAAAGTGGATCTGTTGATGTTGTTCTGTGTGTTTTGATGGACCGCAAAGGATAAAAGGAGTACAGTATCAAGATAGATGTCAATCTTTACTTTTTTTATTTTGTTATTCTGTTATGTTGATGTTCTCCATGCTTTGATGAGAGCAAAGAAAGAAGGAGTACCTCAGTACATAGCTAGATGTCAATCTTTTATTTTCAGATTCTGAAATTGTTCTGTAGATGTTGCTCTCCGTGCTTTGATGGAAAGCAAAGGAGTACAGTACCTAGCTAGATATGGGTCTTTTCTTTTCAGATTTTAACGTTGTTCTGCAATGGTGATGTTGTTCTCTGTGTTTTGATGAAAGCTAAGTGTCTTGTTGTGGGTGTAAGGGAGGGCCATATCGCAAACAGATGGGAAACACAGTTACCCAGATCCTAGATGACACAAGCCACCCTCTACACGGTCACAAAGATAACAAAAGTCCCCTGTGGTTATGGGGTGTCTTACCCGGTCTGTCTCCCTCTTGGAGATGCCTCGGATGCGGGCGTAGAAGTACAGGTGTTCCTCCCCTGTCAGCAGGTCATCCAGAGCGTCCACTTGGGGACAGTAGCCGATGTTGATGCCCTCGTTACGGCAGTCAATGATGTCAACCATCCTCCTGAAAGCACGCACGCAGAGAGTGATTTAAAAGAGTGTAAGAGGTCTCTCAGGATACGGTTCTGAATAATACAGGCAGGCGACATGAGAAAAGTATACTTAAATATATTTTTTTATCTCACAAGAGCATAATTGCAGGGGATTATCCAATAGATAATATGCTCAAATCCATTAATGAATGGTAAAATACATTGCATTCGGAAAGTATTCAGACCCCTTGACTTTTAACATTTTGTTACATTACAGCCTTATTCTAAAATTGATTAAATTGTTGTTTTTTTCTCATCAATTACACACAATACCCCATAATGACGAAGCAAAAACAGGTTTTTTTTTAATCAATTTTTGCTAAATAAATAAAATATCACATTTACATAGTATTCAGACCCTTTACTCAGTACTTTGTTGAAGCACCTTTGGCAGCGATTACAGCCTTGTGTCTTCTTGGGTATGATGTTACAAGCTTGGCACACCTGTATCAGGGGAGTTTCTCCCATTATTCTCTGCAGATCCTCTAAAGCTCTGTCAGGTTAGATGGGGAGCATCGCTGCACAGCTATTTTCAGGTCTCTCCAGAGATGTTCGATCGGGTTTAAGTCTGGGCTCAGGCTGGGCCACTCAAGGACATTCAGAGACTTGTCCCGAAGCCACTCCTGCATTGTCTTGGCTGTGTAATTAGGGTTGTTGTCTTGTTGGAAGGTGAACCTTTGCCTCAATCTGAGGTCATGGCATTCAGGCCAAAGAGTTCAATCTTGATTTCATCAGACCAGAGAATCTCGTTTCTCATGGTCTGAGAGTCCTTTAGGTGCCTTTTGGCAAACTTCAAGCGGGCTGTCATGTGCCTTTTACTGAGGAGTGGCTTCCATCTGGCCACTCTACCATAAAGGCCTGATTGGTGGATGGCTACAGAGATGGTTGTCCTTCTGGAAGGTTCTCCCATCTCCACAGAGGAACTCTGGAGCTCTGTCAGAGTGACCATCGGGTTCTTGGTCACCTCCCTGACCAAGGCCCTTCTCCCCCGATTGCTCAGTTTTGCCGGGCGGCCAGCTCAAGGAAGTGTCTTGGTGGTTCCAAATTTCTTCCATTTAAGAGTGATGGAGGCCACTGTGTTCTTGGGGCCCTTCAATGCTGCAGAAATGTTTAGGTACCCTTCCCCAGATCTGTGCCTCGACACAATCCTGTCTCGGAGCTCTACGGACAATTCCTTCAACCTCATGGCTTGGTTTTTGCTCTGACATGCACTGTCAACTGTGGGACCTTAGATAGACAGGTGGATGCCTTTCCAAATATGTCCAATCAATTGAATTTACCACAGGTGCGCCAATCAATTTGTAGAAACATCTCAAGGATGATCAATGGAAACAGGATGCACCTGAGCTCAATTTCGAGTCTCATAGCAAAGGGTCTGAATACTTATGTAGACAGTATTTCTGTTTTCTATTTTTAATACATTTGCTAACATTTCTAAAAACCTGTTTTCGCTTTGTCATTATGGGGTATTGTGTGTAGATTGGTGAGTAAAAAAATAATTTAATCAATTTTAGAAAAAGGCTGTAACGTAACAAAATGTGGAAAAAGGGAAGCCGTCTGAATACTTTACGAATGCAGTGTATAAGGTAATGTAACACATATTACACCATAGCCTTACCCATCCCAGTCCTTGATCTGTGCTGTCCCTTCAGTAGGGCTGATGTCTCCAATCAGCATCTTAAAGGTGGTGGTCTTTCCTGCTCCGTTCACCCCCAATAGACCAAAGCACTGCACAGCACAACCACACTCATGTCAAGGACCAAAGCAGCCGCTGTACCAAACTCCAATAAATAGCTAGAACAGACTCAGAACGACACTTAACTTGGACTCATCCCCACTTATAACTTAAGACTTGGACTTGCCTTAGACTTGCCTAAAGTGACCTATTGGCAAATCTGATAGTGACTTCATAAACCTTTGTGAAGGGTGTGAATGTTGCAGAATCAGACGGAGCCGGAGTTTACCTCCCCAGCAGGAATGCCCACAGACAGCCTCTTGACGGCCTGGACCTTCTTGGCCAGGTGTTGGTAGACCTTGGTCAGCTGGTTGACCTGTAGCAGGTCAGTAACGGCCGCTCCGCTGGTCACACGTTGGCACTCTGCCACCACGTCCTCATCCTCGTCCTGGGTATCAGACTGGGGCACTGCCTTCTTGGGGAAGATTAGGATCCTATGGAGGAGAGGGATGGAGGGATGAGGAAGGGATACAAAAAAAAAGTTGTATTGTCACAACGGATAGATGCAATGAAATGTTTTACAGGGTCAGCCATAGTAGTACCGCGCCCCTGGAGCAAATTAGGGTTAAGTGGCTTGCTCGAAGAAGGAAGGAAGGGATCATAGGAAGGGGTAGAGGTAGATGTGGAGAAAGAAAGTGAGAGAAGATGCGTATGAGGATAACAGCAACAGAACAACTCAGCAACATATGGGGACCAGAAATGTACGCTATTCCACCATTGACCCTCTAGCCTGGTGTGTGCCATCTTGCAAACTCATATGGTCGTTGCCATGCCATAGGAGTTGGTAAGACAGCAAAAACAGATCTGGGACCAGTTTAATTGTGCCCTACATGCCCACCATGCCTCCCACATCCATATATCATCATTGCCCATTCCAATCTGCTATAGTTCTCTATCACCACAGCAGGCTCACCTGACTTTACGTATGAGCCACTTGTTGAGCAGCAGACGCAGGGTGAAGCCAATGAAGCCTTGGAGGAAGAGGGAGACGAACATCCAGCCCAGCATGTCCATGGCGAAGGGGTTCTTATAGGCGTCCACTCCATACACACTGAGGATCTGAACCTGCATCTCAACCCTGGCCAGCTCCATCAGGCCGTTCCCAAAACTAAACTGGGGGAAGATCAGGAACACATTGGACAGGATGCGGTACACCTCGTGTATCCTCTGTGGAGAGAGAGAGAGAGAGAGAGAGAGAGAGAGAGAGAAGGAAAAATAAAGAGGGAGAGAGAGATAGAGGTGTAAGCACTTCATGCAGGAGCTGGAATATCTAATAACCCGCAGAAGGGGTGCTCAGTCCTTGGAATGTCAACTAGGTAAACAAAGACTGAGTTCCACTATTGAACAATATTGAAAGGAAGATGCCATTCAAAACCCTTATTTGTTCACCTAAGAAGAACAATGCTTTATCAAACCTAAAGAGTAATGGACTCTTCAATATAAAAAGGCAATCAGAACAAAAGTTTTTCAGGGAAATATCTTTTCAACATGGCTCCAGTCATAAAATGGCTCCTTCAGTCATCTCTACATTGTACTGCTCACCTCATCGTTCTCATTGAGTTGTCCCAGGAAGAAGACGACGGAGGTGGAGATGATGGTGTTGGTGCTGATGAAGAGGTTGATGCACACGTAGCTGATGAAGGCCATCTCTGCATCCTTAAAGACCCCTGACAGCAGGTACATCCACGGGAATGTGGCAAACCTGAAAACCAGATGACAACATGACACTTGTCACTTGTCAGACATGTTGTTTAATGCATGAGACGTTTAGTCTAATGACAGACTGTTAAACATAGCTAGCTAGCATACGTGATATTTGGTTCTGGGTTCTGATATTATGAGATGGTTACTCATTACAACTATCAGCCTTTAACTTGCAACTAATCTCTTGTGAAAGACTCCGTGGATGTGGTGCTTGATGTGAAGGCAGGGATTTTTACCAGAACATGTGGGTGGTTCTGTAGTGGGGAGCAGCTGAATCTGATGTTTCCACTAGCTCAGACTTCGACACTATTGCCCCCACAACTAGATGGAATAGAGCTAGTGCACGTAAGATTTAATTTTCTGGCTTCTGAGATTAACTTGCAACAGATGACGAATGCATGATTTGCTTAATCTCGTTATAATTGACTCAGTGGAATGACTATATGAAACAAGAGACCAAGCCAGAGAACTTTGAAAAATATATAAAAAATAAAATAATAAAATAAACTTTAACTCAATTTTCAAGGAGGGTAAACACTTACACCACAAAAAGAGAAGAAGCTAAATTAGTTCCTTTATAAATTCCCCCATGGTGAGTCCCCCTCTCCTCTCACCTCTTACTCTAAATGATCTGCCTTTTTCTTTTGATTGGGGTGCCTGGGTCAAGGGAGAGTATGTGCAGAGAGAAGTGAGTGGGAGAGAGGAGAGGGGGAGAAAGAAATAGAGAGGGGGGGGGGGAGAAGCGAGTGAGAGAGGGGGAGAGATGAGAGGGTGGTGGGGGCTGTAGGGCAGTCAGACTGGTTAAATAGGAGAGAGAGACTATCTGCTCCAAGCCATGATGCCACACAGAAGCAGAGAAACCAGTCCAGAGTATGTACAGACAGACAGACAGACAGACAGACAGACAGACAGACAGACAGACAGACAGGCAGGCAGGCAGGCAGGCAGGCAGGCAGGCAGGCAGGCAGGCAGGCAGGCAGGCAGACAGGCTGCTGTGAAAGGGGAATCACACTGAAGTAGGCTCTGCATTGATGGAATTCTGCTTCACATTCTACCTTGCGTGAAATAGACTGTGGTCTTAAGAAAACACGTACAGTAGCAAGCAGCCACCCATCACTTATTGACAAGAAATGGTTTCATCCTTTGATAAAACCTCCCACCTGCTTGAGCTGGGGAGCTACTGTATATATGGTACTCAAGGAAAGGTAGGTGTGATCCTCGAACAACTGAGATCCTTCACCTCTGACATGGATAAGGGAACCTGTATTGTGTGTGTGTGCAGTCACTATGGTAATAGAAACTGCTGAGGCAGCCACTCACCCAAAGTGTGTGTGTGTGTGTGTGCATGTGTATGTGTATATCCGTCCATCTGTGTGTGTGTGCGTGCGTGTGTACTTACCCAAACATGACCAGCAGCAGACTGACAGCAGCAAGGTTCTGCCTGTCATTGAAGGCTGGGAGCTGGAAGGCTGCTATCGCGGCAATTGAAAGAGCGACTGGGAGCATGTATAAGGCCTGGAGAAACAGCAACACATAATGCTTAACACACCGTAGTACACTGGTCGCTTAAATACATCACATACGTCAAACTGTAGAATCACTGCAACTGCCTTTTTCAATAGTGGAAATCAATCAAGTCCTATTCATTTAACAGCTGAACATCATATTCTTGTCTCTACAATCCCAAAACAAATAAAGAAAAGGTGTGGTCCGTAGTGCTGTCATTGACTGTATGAAGGAAGTACAGGATGAGCAACATCAAGAATCTCCTGGCTAGCATTTTTGGACAATGCAGCAATGCTAGTGGAAATGTATTGTACAGTGCCTTGCAAAAGTATTCATCCCCCTTGGCAATTTTCCTATTTTGTTGCATTACAACCTGTAATTTAAATGGATTTTTGTTTGGATTTCATATAATGGACATACACAAAATAGTCCAAATTGGTGAAGTGAAATGAAAAATCACTTGTTTCAAAAAATTATAAAAAATAAATAACGGGAAAGTGGTGCGTGCATATGTATTCACCCCCTTTGCTATGAAGCCCCTGAATAAGATATGGTGCAACCAATTACCTTCAGAAGTCACATAATTAGTTAAATAAAGTCCACCTGTGTGCAATCTAAGTGTCACATGATCTGTCACATGATCTCAGTATATATACACCTGTTCTGAAAGGCCCCAGAGTCTGCAACACCACTAAGCAAGGGGCACCACCAAGCAAGCGGCACCATGAAGACCAAGGAGCTCTCCAAACAGGTCAGGGACAAAGTTGTGGTGAAGTACAGATCAAGGTTGGGTTATAAAAAAATATCAGGAACTTTGAACATCCCACGGAGCACCATTAAATCCATTATTACAAAATGGAAAGAATATGGCACCACAACAAACCTGCCAAGAAAGGGCCGCCCACCAAAACTCATGGACCAGGCAAGGAGGGCATTAATCAGAGAGGCAACAAAGAGACCAAAGATAACCCTGAAGGAGCTGCAAAGCTCCACAGCGGAGATTGGGGTATCTGTCCATAGGACCACTTTAAGCCGTACACTCCACAGAGCTGGGCTTTATGGAAGAGTGGCCAGAAAAAAAGCCATTGCTTAAAGAAAAAGATAAGCAAACACGTTTGGTGTTTGCCAAAAGGCATGTGGGAGACACCCCAAACATATAGAAGAAGGTACTCTGGTCAGATGAGACTAAAATTGAGCTTTGTGGACATCAAGGAAAACGCTATGTCTGTCGCAAACCCAACACCTCTCATTACCCTGAGAACACCATCCCCACAGTGAAGCATGGTGGTGGCAGCATCATGCTGTGGGGATGTTTTTCCATCGGCAGGGACTGGGAAACTGGTCAGAATTGAAGGAATTCTTGAGGGAAAACTGTTTCAGTCTTCCAGAGATTTGAGACTTGGACGGAGGTTCACCTTCCAGCAAGACAATGACCCTAAGCATACTGCTAAAGCAACACTCGAGTGGTTTAAGGGGAAACATTTAAATGTCTTGGAATGGCCTAGTCAAAGCCCAGACCTCAATCCAATTGAGAATCTGTGGTATGACTTAAAGATACACCAGCGGAACCCATCCAACTTGAAGGAGCTGGAGCAGTTTTGCCTTGAAGAATGGGAAGAAATCCCAGTGGCTAGATGTGCCAAACGTATAGAGACATACCCCAAGAGACTTGCAGCTGTAATTGCTGCAAAAGGTGGCTCTACAAAGTATTGACTTTGGGGGGGTGAATAGTTATGCACACTCAAGTTCTGTTTTTTCTCTTATTTCTTGTTTGTTTCACAACAAAAAATATTTTGCATCTTCAAAGTGGTAGGCATGTTGTGTAAATTAAATGATACAAACCCCCCAAAAATCCATTTTAATTCCAGGTTGTAAGGCAACAAAATAGGAAAAATGCCGGGGGGGGGGGGGGGGTGAATACTTTCGCAAGCCACTGTATCAGTTAGCCTAGCATGATGTGTTGACGTAGTCCTACCATGTCGTAGAAGAAGTTGATAACCCAGTAGAAGGGTTCTCCTATCCCAGAGATGTGCTGCAGTCTCTTGGAGCCGCTGTGGTGCTCCTGGACCTCGTAGATCACGAAGCTAGCCGTCATAATGGAGTAGCCAGTCAGGGCACACATAGCCACCAGGATATGGACCAGACCTTGCACCCTGGAGAGAGAGAGAGAGAGAGAGAGAGAGAGAGATAGAGAGAGAGAGAGAGAGAGAGAGAGAGAGAGAGAGAGAGAGAGAGAGAGAGAGAGAGAGAGAGAGGGAGGGAGCGAGAGAGAGAGAGAAAGAGAAGAGAAAAAGAGAGAGAGAGGTCACTAAGCTAGTGGACCACACAGCCAAGTGTCCTCTTATAGGCAGAAGAGGAAGGAGAACTGCTGATGTAAAATGGGCTTTATAAATACATTTGATTGATTGATCGATCACAGAGCCAAGTGTCCCATGTTTATTAGTCCTCCTATGAAAAGTCCTGTCCTTATTTGACAGGCCTGAAGACATTGTTAGTAGGTTTCCAGGCCAGCTGAGCCAGTAATTCATTTGAAGGGTTCATTGGAGAAACTCACAACAAACAGGATTTCATTAATAATAAATAGTATCTCGCTAAGAGAGATGTTCCAACTCCAGCAGTGACAAGATAATAGCCACGAAGAAGAAATTACTGTTTTACCAACACCACCTGCCAGAGCTCTCCTACAATTTATTAATCGAACCAGCTGCTTCCTGCTATTGAGACGTCTATGTGATAAAGATATTTTAAGAGGCATTGATGAGAAGCGTCATGGGGTTGTCAGATTCATAGGAACTGGCTGGAGCTCTTTAAGATATCACCTACTGAGTCTTTGTCTTTGATGCCTCCCCATTCAAGTTCACTCAGCTAGATTCATGCCTCCCCTTCACTTATTTTGTTTTTGAGCTAGCTACCCTACATGATTGGTGTTCTGCCTCCCTCTTCATTTCATTTTGTCTAGGCTGCAGGAGAACCACGGACAGAGGACCATGGACAAAGATAATATGTTGGACGAGGATAGCTGAAAAATGAAAGAGAATCACTGGCAGAGGAACAGAGAGACAGGCTGTAGTATGTCCTGTAGCCAGAAGCACAGACAGTCTTATTATCAATATGACCAACAGGCCATACTGAACCCCACTAAGGCAGATACATGAACACCATAGTAAGGATGAGACATCATTTGGGGTCATCTTTAACTCTAGTTAGGCCAAAAATGATATTAGACACAACAAATATTAGCTAGTGATTTTTCATTTCTCATCTGAAGGAAAAGTTAAGATTGAAGTTAAAATAACTACAGCAGTTGAGACTCAACAGATCTTTGATAATAGAACCCCTTGATCAAAGCAGTGACCTGCTCCCTCAGAACAAAATAACAGGCTTTGGGCTAACGTTAGACCAGTGTGTGTGTGTAGTCGGGGGGGCTGCCACACTGCATAGCCTAGTCAATTAGGTCAACTAGTAACAGTAGACACAACAAATATGAGCTATTGATTGTGATTTTTCATCTGAAGGAAGAGCAAAAGTTGAGGTCACAAAACCTCAAGAGATCTTTGATAATGATGAAAGTATTGGAGAACATCTTTCTCAACGCAGGGTTCTGTCCTCTGCTCTGTCAATTCCTCTCAGTCTGAAAAAAACTGAAGCTAACCCAGGTTGTGGGTGGGGGGATACTGCCGTGATGCATAGCCTACAACTGAGAAGAACAATCCCAGGTCCCTAAAATAGCCTGCAGTCAGTGTTAAAAACAGCCACGGTCAGAGAAGTGGGAAGCTCTGTGAATCAATCAACCTCTGCACCACCCTGAGTAGTAAACACACATAGGCTAAGTCCCAAATGGCACCCTATTCCCTACAAAGTGCAATACTTTTGACCAGAGCACTATGGACCCTTTTCAAAAGTAGTGTACTATATAGAGAATAGGGTGCCATTTTGCACACATCCACATTATATTTGGCCTACTGTCTGCTGTCTGTCCCTGATCAATAATGCCAGCTCAGGAAAATCCATTTATCAAATCAGATATTGGTAAATACAGCAAGTCAGATTACATTAGGACTTTAATTTAAATGTCAGAGTTAGTCTCCACATAATCCTTGTTATCTCAGTCTAGCGCTAGACTGGTTTCCTTTTGGAGATATCAACTCAGGTTAATGACAGTAATAAACATTGAAGTATCTTTAGGTATGCCAGGCAGACACCGGATCATCAGGCTTTGGCTCCCCAACCAAGATAGAAGCAATCTCACAAGCACCAATGAAAGTTTGAATTCAAATTTTTTTTGAAAGGCATGGTAACTCCGTTTAGCGACAAGCAACATAATTTGTAGAGAGAGAGAAAGAGAGAGAGTGTGTACTGTGTTCTTACATGGCATCTTCTTCTTGTACTTCACCAGGATAGGGATGACTGGACACAGTGATGGCTGTTTAGACACAAAAACAGAATCACTTTAGACACATTCATAAGATAAAACCATGACACTGCACAGATATACTGAACCAACGATAAAACTAAAGAGTCAGCCAGGGTAGCACTAGACACAATCCTCTAGATTTCTCCTCCCTCTCCTTCCTCCTCCTCGGCCTATGTGAGTCTACAGGTTACATTTGAATGATTGCATTCCTTCCTTCCTCCCCTCGGCTCCCTTATTGACTGGGCTGGGGGGGGGGGGGGTTGTATTAATCTTGCCCGGGGGCAGACAGTAAATCTCAGGTGGTGCTGAAATAAGGCTGAAACGCCAGTCTGCCTGCCTCAGTCCCTGAGTACACCTCTCAACACTCCCTGATTGGTATTCAGCCTGCATAGTGATGGTAGACTGAGGAGAACACACTACTGCCCCCTGGCTTTAAACAATGGAACTGACCTAACTATGACCCAACTTTGAACACTTTTGCGCATGGATTTAACAAATGGTGGAAACCCTCCAGCCAATGTTTACACAATCCACTGCTTTTAAATCCATGGCAGGGAGTGTGCAAATGCACACTTCTGGAAAAGGGTGGCAAATTGAGCCTTTCAGCCTATAGGATCCAAATGGGTGCGAAGCTATCCTGTGATACCCAAAATATCCATCAGATTATATAATGACAGACAGAGGTCTCTCTAAATGTGACAGGGGCCTCTCTCTGAAAACTATTTTGAGAGGGTGTGTGTGTGCGTGTGTGTGTGTGTGTGTGTGTGTGTGCCTAAAACCTTTCAGCAGATTAGCTTGGTTTTAAAGCTTGGCTCTGATACATACAATTGGATTTGAAAGTGAAAGTGATTCCAGGTAGTGTGGCTGATCGGTGTGAACCCCCTGAGAAGCTAGCTTCAGCACACCAAGTTTTTAATACTGTTTATCAAATTACAATTGTTATGCTATCCCTAGAGCTGGTGCATCACAATTCTTCAAGGAGCATTTCCAAGCTCTGATTTGATGAATTAGTGGCGCGTGAAACAAGCTCCTGGTGTCTTTAGAGATAAAGCTGTTGTTTTCTTTCACAGAAATACACTGCTCACCGTAATTTTGTGGGTCCTTGCCGGCTGGAAGGCTGGTACGTAGGATGAAGTTGTTGAGGCTGTTTAGGTATGCAGGCATGGTATGGTGACCCTCAGGGTTGTACCAGACCTAGAAGACAAGAAAACGCACACACACACACACACACAGACAAACGTTCAAGTTCAAGTAAAACTTCAAGTTTGAAGACACACACATTCATGAATATCTCAGGATTGCAGCACATGCTTCTCGACATTTCTACTTCTAATTCTCTTATCTCTAGTAATAAGCTTATCTTGAAACTTTCCAGAGGAGGTGTCTAAGTCTAAATCACTAGCATCATTACCCCATTTCAGATTCAGACAAAAACATAATTGCTGCGAGTAGCTGCGATTAACAATGTTAACGACGACATTGATGGTGTAATAATTCCGTCCCATCTTGGTACAGTGCTTAGTGCTTCCGTATCATAACGGCTCCAATTAGGAAATCATGGCTAATTTAACCACTATACATCACAACAAGATAGCCTGGTCCTAGATCTGTATGTGCTGTACTGTATAGCCAACTGCTACAGTCATTATCACGCCAAGCAAGACAGCGCAAACAGATCTGGGACCAGGCTACCAACAAGAGACATACTAGGACAGAAGAGCAGTTAAGACTGTAGTTATCTTGGTGGGGGTAAGGACAGGGTTTTTTATTATGTACAGTTGAAGTCGGAAGTTTACATACACTTACAGTGGGGGAAAAAAGTATTTAGTCAGCCACCAATTGTGCAAGTTCTTCCCACTTAAAAAGATGAGAGAGGCCTGTAATTTTCATCATAGGTACACGTCAACTATGACAGACAAAATTAGATTTTTTTTCTCCAGAAAATCACATTGTAGGATTTTTAATGAATTTATTTGTAAATGATGGTGGAAAATAAGTATTTGGTCAATAACAAAAGTTTCTCAATACTTTGTTATATACCCTTTGTTGGCAATGACACGTTTTCTGTAAGTCTTCACAAGGTTTTCACACACTGTTGCTGGTATTTTGGCCCATTCCTCCATGCAGATCTCCTCTAGAGCAGTGATGTTTTGGGGCTGTCGCTGGGCAACACGGACTTTCAACTCCCTCCAAAGATTTTCTATGGGGTTGAGATCTGGAGACTGGCTAGGCCACTCCAGGACCTTGAAATGCTTCTTACGAAGCCACTCCTTCATTGCCCGGGCGGTGTGTTTGGGATCATTGTCATGCTGAAAGACCCAGCCACGTTTCATCTTCAATGCCCTTGCTGATGGAAGGAGGTTTTCACTCAAAATCTCACGATACATGGCCCCATTCATTCTTTCCTTTACACGGATCAGTCGTCCTGGTCCCTTTTCAGAAAAACAGCCCCAAAGCATGATGTTTCCACCCCCATGCTTCACAGTAGGTATGGTGTTCTTTGGATGCAACTCAGCATTCTTTGTCCTCCAAACACGACGAGTTGAGTTTTTACCAAAAAGTTCTATTTTGGTTTCATCTGACCATATGACATTCTCCCAATCCTCTTCTGGATTATCCAAATGCACTCTAACAAACTTCAGACGGGCCTGGACATGTACTGGTTTAAGCAGGGGGACACGTCTGGCACTGCAGGATTTGAGTCCCTGGCGGCGTAGTGTGTTACTGATGGTAGGCTTTGTTACTTTGGTCCCAGCTCTCTACAGGTCATTCACTAGGTCCCCCCGTGTGGTTCTGGGATTTTTGCTCACCGTTCTTGTGATCATTTTGACCCCACGGGGTGAGATCTTGCGTCGAGCCCCAGATCGAGGGAGATTATCAGTGGTCTTGTATGTCTTCCATTTCCTAATAATTGCTCCCACAGTTGATTTCTTCAAACCAAGCTGCTTACCTATTGCAGATTCAGTCTTCCCAGCCTGGTGCAGGTCTACAATTTTGTTTCTGGTGTCCTTTGACAGCTCTTTGGTCTTGGCCATAGTGGAGTTTGGAGTGTGACTGTTTGAGGTTGTGGACAGGTGTCTTTTAGACTGATACAAGTTCAAACAGGTGCCTAATACAGGTCCGAGTGGAGGACAGAGGAGCCTCTTAAAGAAGACGTTACAGGTCTGCGAGAGCCATAAATCTTGCCTTGTTTTGATGTGACCATAACTTATTTTCCCCATATTTGCAAATAAAATTCATCTAAAATCCTACAATGTGATTTTCTGGATATTTTTTCTCTCAATTTGTCTGTCATAGTTGACGTTTACTATGGTGAAAGATTACAGCCTCTGCAATCTTTTTTAAGTGGAGAACTTGCACAATTGGTGGCTGAACTAAATCTTTTTTCCCCCACTGTAGTTGGAGTATAAAATCGTTTTTTCAAACACTCCAACAAATTTCTTGTTACAACCTATAGTTTTGGCAAGTCGGTTAGGACATCTACTTTGTGCATGACACAAGTAATTTTTCCAACAATTGTTGACAGACAGATTATTTCACTTATAATTCACTGTATCACAATTCCAGTGGGTCAGAAGTTTATGATATCATGGCTTTAGAAGCTTCTGATAGGCTAATTGACATCATTTGAGTCAATTGGAGGTGTACCTGTGGATGTATTTCAAGGCCTACCTTCAAACTCAGTGCCTCTTTGCTTGACATCATGGGAAAATCAAATGAAATCAGCCAAGACCTCAGAAAAAAAATTGTAGACCTCCACAAGTCTGGTTCATCCTTGGGAGCAATTTCCAAACACCTGAAGGTACCACGTTCATCTGAACAAACAATAGTACGCAAGTATAAACACCATGGGACCACGCAGCCACCATACAAGATGGCTTAGTGTCCTCGTGTAAATAGCCTGTTTTTTGTTTTTTATATATTTCTCAATCTCACTTTCCATCCTTTGACTAAATATACTTGCAACCCGCCTCACCCAATGTGGAATAAATTCTATTATTTCTTCATACCTTTTTATCTAGAACCTCTGGCTGAAACTAGCCAGCTAACTAGCTACTTGCTATTAGCCACCGTTAGCGGTCTTCACCATTGTCCGTGGCCTGCACTACCTACCAGCCAGCTCTAGCCTGGACAATTATCGGCCAGTCTGCACAATCTGCACAGCGGGCTATCGAACCAGAGCATATTGGATTTTCTGCCGGAATCACTGAATCACTGGACCTTAACACCGGACCATCGCAACTAGCTAGCTGCAACCGAATGTCTGTTGTTGTTGTTGTTGGCTAATCACCACTGTCCCGAAGCAAGCACCACCAATTAGCCTTGAGCTAACCTCGAGCCAGGCCCATCTCCCGGCTATCTACCTCTCTGTCAACCGGAAGGGACCTCCTAGTGTTGACACGGAGCCCCGCCGATCCATCACGACTGGTCTGCCGACGTAATCGTCTGATGTGGTTTCAACGGGCTTCCCGTTGCGACGACCACAAGGATCCATCTGCTAGCCTCGGCCCGCTAGCACACGCAATCAACAGCCGTGCCTCCTGCTCGCCTGTGCCCTAGCAGCCACCGAACTGCTCCCGGACTCACCTATTGCTGTTCACTAGACATTGTGATCACTCAGCTACACAGCTGATGCCTACTAGACTGTTCCTTTATACAGTACCCCATCCTGTTTATCGGTTTAGCCTCAGCCCAAACTTTCGTCGCCATTACCAGCTGTTGTCTTAGCTCTCTCGAATAACACCTGTGATTGCTTTATGCCTCTCTCCCATGTCAATATGCCTTGCCTATTGCTGTTTCGGTTAGTTCTTATTGTACTATTTTACTGTAGAGCCCCCAGTCCCGCTCAACCTGCCTCAGATAGCTCCTTTGTCCCACCCCCCATACACGCGGAGACCGGCTCAATCGGTGCCTCCAGTGATGCTATCTCTTTCATCATTACCCAACGCTTAGGTTTACCTCCACGGTACTCATATCCTTCCATATCCTTGTCTGTACATAATGCCCTGAATGTATTCTACAACGCCCCTTTTATTCTCTGTACCCAACGCACTAGAAGACCAGTTCTTAAAGCCTTTAGCCATATCCTTATTATATTCCTCCTCTGGTGATGTAGAGGTTAACCCAGGCCCTGTAGCCCCCAGTATCACTCCTACTCCCCAGGCGCTATCATTTGTTGACTTCTGTAACCGTAAAAGCCTTGGTTTCTTGCACGTTAACATCAGAAGCCTCCTCCCTAAGTTTGAGTTATTCACTGCGTTAGCACACTCCGCCAACCCTGATGTTCTAGCAGTGTCTGAATCCTGGCTTAGGAAGGCCACCAAAAATTCAGAAATGTCTATCCCCAACTACAACATTTTCCGTCTAGATAAAACTGCCAAAGGGGGCGGAGTTGCAATCTACTATAGAGATCTTATTATCCAGGTCTGTGCCCAAACAGTTTGAGCTTCTACTTCTAAAAATCCACATTTTCAGAAATGTCTCTCACTGTTGCCGCTTGCTACAGACCCCCCTCAGGCCCCAGCTGTGCCCTGGACACCATATGTGAATTGATTGCCCCCCATCTATCCTCAGAGTTCATACTGCTTGGTGACCTAAACTGGGATATGCTTAACACCCCGGCCGTCCTACATTCTAAACTAGATGCCCTCAATCTCACACAAATTATCAAGGAACCTACCAGGTACAAATCTCACACAAATTATCAAGGAACCTACCAGGTACAAACCTAAATCCGTAAACATGGGCACCCTCATAGATATCATCCTGACTAATTTACCCTCTAAATACACCTCCGCTGTCTTCAACCAGGATCTCAGCGATCACTGCCTCATTGCCTGCGTCCGTAATGGGTCCGCGGTCAAACGACCGCCCCTCATCACTGTCAAACGCTCCCTAAAACACTTCAGCGAGCAGGCCTTTCTAATTGACCTGGCCCGGGTATCCTGGATGGATATTGACCTCATTCCGTCAGTAGAGGATGCCTGGTTGTTCTTTAAAAGTGCTTTCCTCTCCATCTTAAATAAACATGCTCCATTCAAAAAATGCAAAACTAAGAACAGATATAGCCCCTGGTTCACCCCAGACTTGATTGCCCTTGACCAGCACAAAAACATCCTGTGGCGTATTGTATTAGCATCGAACAGCCCCCGCGATATGCAACTTTTCAGGGAAGTCAGGAACCAATATACACAATCAGTTAGGAAAGCAAAGGCTAGCTTTTTCAAACAGAATTTGCATCCTGTAGCACTAACTCCAAAAAGTTTTGGGACACTGTAAAGTCTATGGAGAATAAGAGCACCTCCTCCCAGCTGCCCACTGCACTGAGGCTAGGAAACACTGTCACCACCGATAACTCTACGATAATCGAGAATTTCAACAAGCATTTTGCCTTGGCTGGCCATGCTTTCCACCTGGCTACCCCTACCACAAGCTCTGCACCCTCCGCTGCAACTTGCCCATGCCCCACCCGCTTCACCTTCACCCAAATTCAGATAGCTGATGTTCTGAAAGAGCGGCAAATCTGAACCCCTACAAATCAGCTGAGCTAGACAATCTGGACACTTTCTTTCTAAAATTAGCCGCCGAAATTGTCGCAACCCCTAATACTAGCCTGTTCAACCTCTCTTTCTTATCGTCTGAGATCCCCAGAGATTTTTTTTATTTTTTTTATTTCACCTTTATTTAACCAGGTAAGCCAGTTGAGAACAGGTTCTCATTTACAACTGCGACCTGGCCAAGATAAAGCAAAGCAGTGCAATAAAAAAAACACAGAGTTACATATGGGGTAAAAAACATAAAGTCAAAAATACAACAGAAAATATATATACAGTGTGTGCAAATGTAGCAAGTTATGGAGGTAAGGCAATAAATAGGCTATAGTGCAGAATAATTACAATAGTATTAACACTGGAATGCTAGATGTGCAAGAGATTATGTGCAAATAGAGATACTGGGGTGCAAAAGAGCAAAATAAATAACAATATAGGGATGAGGTAGTTGGGTGGGCTAATTTCAGACTGGTCAATTTCGTTCCAGTCATTGGCAGCAGAGAACTGGAAGGAATGGCGGCCAAAGGAGGTGTTGGCTTTGGGAATGACCAGTGAGATATACCTGCTGGAGCGCAGACTACGGGTGGCTGCTGCTATGGTGACCAATGAGCTAAGATAAGGCGGGGATTTACCTAGCAGTGATTTATAGATGGCCTGGAGCCAGTGGGTTTGACGACGAACATGTAGTGAGGACCAGCCAACAAGAGCGTACAGGTCACAGTGGTGGGTAGTGTATGGGGCTTTGGAGACAAAACGGAAAGCTGCCGTGGTCATCCCCCTCTTCAAAGGGGGTTACACTCTAGATCCAAACTGTTACAGACCTATATCCATCCTGCCCTGCCCTTCGAAATTATTTCAAAGACAAGTTAACAAACAGATCACCGTCCATTTAGAATCCCACCGTACCTTCTCCGCTATGCAATCTGGTTTCCGACCTGGTCATGGGTGCACCTCATTCACGCTCAAGGTCCTAAACTATATTATAACCGCGATCGATAAAAGACAGTACTGTGCAGCCGTCTTCATCGACCTGGCCAAGGCTTTCGACTCTGTCAACCACCGCATTCTTATTGGCAGACTAAATAGCCTTGGTTTCTCAAATCACTGCCTCGCCTGTTTCACCAACTACTTCTCAGATAGAGTTCAATGTGTCAAATCGGAGGGCCTGTTGTCTGGACCTCTGGCAGTCTCTATGGGGGTGCCACAGGGTTCAATTCTTGGGCCGACTCTTTTCTCTGTGTATATCAATGATGTCGCTCTTGCTGCTGGTGACTCTCAGATCCACCTCTACGCAGACGACACCATTTTGTATACATCTGGCCCTTCATTGGACACTTGGTTAACAAACCTCCAAACGAGCTTCAATGCCATACAACACTCCTTCCGTAGCCTCCAATTGCTCTTAAACGCTAGTAAAACTAAATGCATGCTCTTCAATCGAACGCAGCTTGCACCTGCCCGCCCGACTAGAATCACTACTCTCGGCGGGTCTGACTTAGAATATGTGGACAACTACAAATACCTAGGTGTCTGGTTAGACCGTAAACTCTCCTTCCAGTCTCACATTAAGCATCTCCAATCCAAAGTTCAATCTAGAATCTGCTTCTTATTTCGCAACAAAGCCTCCTTCACTCATGCTGCCAAACATGCCCTCGTAAAACTGACTATTCTACCGATCCTTGACTTCGGCGATGTAATTTACAAAATAGCCTCCAACACTCTACTCAGAAAATTGGATGTAGTCTATCACAGTGCCCTCCGTTTTGTCACCAAAGCCCCATATACTACCCACCATTGTGACCTGTACGCTCTCATTGGCTGGCCCTCACTACATATTCGTCGCCAAACCCACAGGCTCCAGGTCATCTATAAATCACTGCTCGGCAAATCCCTGCCTTATCTTAGCTCATTGGTCACCATAGCAACACCCACCCGTAGTATGCGCTCTAGCAGGTATATCTCACTGGTCATCCCCAAAGCCAACACCTCCTTTGGCCACCATTCCTTCCAGTTCTCTGCTGCCAATGACTGGAACGAACTGCAAAAATCTCTGAAGCTGGAGACTCTTATCTCCCTCACTAACTTTAAGCATCAGTTGTCAGAGCAGCTTACCGATCACTGCACCTGTACACAGCCCATCTGTAATGAGCCCACCCAACTACCTCATCCCCATATTGTTATTTATTTTTCTCATTTGCACCCCAGTATCTCTATAAAAAAGACAGACTACGGTTTGCAACTGCACATGGGGACAAAGATCGTACTTTTTGGAGAAATATCCTCTGGTCTGATTAAACAAAAATAGAACTGTTTGGCCATAATGACCGTCGTTATGTTTGGAGGAAAAAGGGGGTTGCAGAAGAACACCATCATGCTGTGGGTGCACTTCACAAAATAGATGGCATCATGAGGAAGGATAATTATGTGGATATATTGAAGCAACATCTCAAGACATCAGTCAGGAAGTTAAAGCTTGGTCGCAAATGGGTCTTCCAAATGGACAATGACCCCAAGCATCCTTCAAAAGTTGTGGCAAAATGGCTTAAGGACAGAAAGTCAAGGTATTGAAAAAAAATAAAAATAAATGTATTGGAGTGGCCATCACAAAGCCCTGACCTCAATACTATAGAAAATGTGTGGGCAGAACTGAAAAAGGGTGTGCGAGCAAGGAGGGCTACAAACCTGACTCAGTTACACCAGCTCTGTCAGGAGGAATGGGCCAAAATTCACCCAACTTATTGTGGGAAGCTTGTGGAAGGCTACCCGAAATGTTTGACGCAAGTTAAACAATTTAAAGGCAATGCTACCAAATACTAAATGAGTGTATGTAAACTTCTGACCCACTGGGAATGTGATGAAATAAATAAAAGCTGAAATAAATCATTCTCTCTACTATTATTCTGATATTTCACATTCTTAAAATAAAGTGTTGATCCTAACTGACCTAAGACAGGGATTTTTTACAAGGATTAAATGTCAGGAATTGTGAAAAACTGTATTTGGCTAAGGTGTACGTAAACTTCTGACTTCAACTGTACATAACAGCAGGAGACTTATATTGGTACAAAAGGTCAGTTACACTATAGTAACCCATAAGCATATATATTCATACATATTCAGTGTTTATATATATATAGCTACCTTGGAGAGGGTCCGGTTTACAGGCACCTCCAAGAGGTCCATCTGGAGACTAGTTGGGAGTGGCTCCCCGAAAACAAAGCCTCCATACCTATGATGAGTTGTTCATATATATAATAGATTATTATTTACATAATGTACATGTTTACACACACACACACACACACACACACACACACACACGGCAGAGCAGAGCTACACCAGGCTTTTAGAAACATGCACCATGTAGTAAAGCTGGATAAAAAAGGAGTATGGAAAGTTGGGAGAGAGAGAAACCATAGCCTCCTTACCTATGATGAATTGTTCATATAGATATCGATTATTCATTAGTAATAAGTAATTACCCAATGTTATTGTCTCTTTAACTCAGTGATCAAGGCGTGAGACTCATTCCTGAATAAGACCATAAAATGAACTGAACAGAACTGAGCTGGATGAAGATGCATGGTTCAGGACATCAGATTTCCCAGTTCCATTCATTTACTATCAGGCCAGTGATCCTTTGCATTTCATGTAATTGAAAACAGTTTTTTCCTGTGGAGAGTTGTTATGATAGAGAGAGAGGGATATACAGTATAGAGCATCTCTAGAAACAGACACATTAGTGTATGCAGACTGCATTGAAAGATCCTGTGTACCTGTTCCTGATGTAGTTATTGGCTGTAGCCAGGAGATAGTTTTCAACGTTGATGCCAGTCAGGTTATAGACGATCTGGGAGGAGGGGTTCATCTTATGGGGAGGCTGGTACTGGTTATTCTGACACACCTGGTTGGAGGAGCAGAGAGTAGAGTGAGTGTAGGACACACACACACACACACACAGTACATCTGCTGATTTGTCACTTATGTCCTTTAATTAACTCTAACCCACCTGTTGATATTTGGTGCATTTGCAGGACTCAAATTGCACTGAACTGTCTCCTTTAGTTTCCCAGCTGTCAGACTTGGTGCTTCTGGTGCAGAGCCTTCAAAAAGACAAAATACATTCACAAGGTGAACCACAGGCCCGTTTTAAATGGTAAGATGACTAAAACAATGCATACATGTACTGATTCACAATGCCACTAGCTTACCCACTCCACTTACACTTGTATATACACTCACACACATGCATAAACACCACCACAGTAACACACCAATACCAGTGTTCCATTCATATGGATGACCGTAAATAAGTATTTATTCTCGAGGTAAAACAGGCATGACATCACAGAGTGGTGGAGAGATATAATCAGTAGTCAGGAAGCGTCACGGCACTCAGCACTCTTCAGTGATTGTCCACAGGGCATCTCTATCGCTCTCTCACACACACACACACACACACACACAGAGAAGCTCTGCTGCCTAGCTGCACGTCTAGCTAAATGTATTTTCTTTTGGCTGACAATTTTATAGTGCCTCTGAGGTCTGGTTCATGAGTGCCAACATTGATTTGAGTGCCTGCAAGGGGAAATCTATCCTATAAACACAGAGTGTTTATGGAATACCAATGATTCCTCACACACACACACACACACACACACACACACACACACACACCAGTGGAGGCTCCCCAGAGGAGGAAGGGGAGGACCATCCTCCTCAGTGAATTTCATACATTTTTTGAAAACATTAAAAAAGTTATCCTTTTAGATAAAACTATACTAAATATAATCATGTCACCAAATAATTGATTAAAACACACTATTTTGTAATGAAGGTCTACAGTAGCCTCAACAGCACTCTGTAGGGTAGCACCATGGTGTAGCTGGAGGACACCTAGCTTCCATCCTCTTCTGGGTACATTGACTTCAGTACAAAACCTAGGAGGCTCATGGTTCTCACCCCCTTCCATAGACTTACACAGTAATTATGACAATTTCTGGAGGTCGTCCTCCAACCTATCAGAGCTCTTTTAGCATGAACTGACATGTTGTCCACCCAATCAAAGGATCAAAGAATGAATCTAGTACTGAAAGCATAAGCTACAGCTAGCTATCACTGCAATGCATAAAAGGTAGTGAGTAGTAGGCTCAAAGAGAGAGAAAGACAATAGTTGAACAGTTTTAAAGGAGAATCAAGAGACATTTTATCTTTTTCTTCTTCACTTTCAGTTTCACTTACTTAGCTAGCAAATGGAGCTAGCTAGTTTAGCCTACTCAAACACCCTGCTCAAACAGAAGGATGCTATGTTAGCTAGCTGGCTATGACTATCCAACACAACACTGGAACTCTTCCAATTCAAGGTAAGCTTTTGGTTTTACTAATTTATTGCCACCGGGGCCTGCCAGTGTAAGTGCTAAACTGCTTACTGACTGTACACTAACGTTACTCCATGATTGTAGCAGGTTTACTAACACGTTAGTTCTATTTGCTATGTTGACATGACATTACTTTAGCTAATATGGTGACAACGATGTAGGCTGTGTGTAGTGGTTATGATATGGTTTGGCTTGGAAATATATTTTTGCCTGGTCACATACAGCTGATGTGTTCTGCATTGAAGTCCAGAAGCGAAGGGAAAAGGTGAGAGGAGGAGAGCGCATAGATGCGAGAAGGAATACAACGTGGCTGCTATGAAAGTGAACTGTGATCAGGGGTGTATTCATTCCACCGATTCTGTTGAAAAACGTATCTTAAACGGAAGCAAACGGGAATAAACATACCTGAATTTGTCCAATTGAAACTCTCGTTTGCAACTGTTGAACTAATGATTGCAGGCAAGAGTGTGCAAGGCGGTATTGAATGTGTCCCTGTCTGTCACCTCAAAACAAATTCTCAACCTGTGTGCACATACGTTGTAAACTTTCATTCATAGGCTAGGTTGTAGCAACCTCATGATGGGTAAAGGGAAAATGTGACTATCAGGTAGTAGCCTAAACCTATCGATGTTACATTGAACTGGGTGAATGGAATATGAATGACAGTCATCCAATATGCTGTAATAGAAATAAGGCCATGCTCATGAAAAAATAATATTGTCCTCCCTCATCTTAAATGGCACTGACCGCCACTGATGCACACACGCACAAATGCACGCACACATACACACAAGGCAAAGCAGAGCTGCTCCAGGCTTTTAGATACATGCACCATGTAGTAAAGCTGAAGAGTACAGCGTATGGAGAGAGGATAGTGGGGAGTGAGAGAAGTGGAACAAAGACAGATACTAAAAGGGAAAAGATTGACATATGAAGGAAAAGAGGGTAAGAAGAGAATTCGGAAGTGCCAGATATAGACAAAGTAGGAGAAGTAGCCAGACAAGTAAGAGATCTATCTTCAATACAGTGATTATGTAGAAGTTGGTCAGGTACATACGGTTTACCAGGGCTGTTCAGACACCCGTTATCAATCCCAGGGAATGACATCATAGTGTTGACCAGATTGCTGGAGTTTGGATTCTGGTTGCTGTTGACGACAAAAAAAACAAAATGTTTCAGGACAAACTTATTACAGAACGCAACATTATGTATTGTCTAATGCTCTCAAGTTAGCCTGGTCCCAGATCTGTTTGTGTTGTCTAGCTTGTCAAGTCCTATGATCATTGTCATGCCATGTTTTCCAAATTTAGCATGCCACTGACCATGACAGTTGGTTATACAGCACAAAAAGATCTGGGACCAGGCTATACTTTCAAGGGACTTTGAGCAAATCCTTCAGTACAGTATTAGTAAATGATCCAAGTAGGACAGTGGTTTGGAAACTAATATGAGCCCAACATCAAAAAAGGCTAATTCAATCTCATTTAACCATCAACCAAGGACAGTGAGAGGGCACACAGTGTTTGATGTGTTCCTACCACAGCATCTCCTCTCCTTTATATCTCTCTCTATCTCTCCTCTCTACCTTTCCCTCAGATCAAAGAACTGCTCTTCACAATCAAGACTTCTTCACTTCGACTATCTCCTTCCTCCTCTATACTTTCATCTCACACCTCAGATCACATCATCATAATCATCTCACTCCCTCTATCTCTAAATCTCACTCGCTCTCTTTCTACCTCTCACTGCCCCCCTCCCCCCTCTATCAACCTTCAAGAAACCTCTACTATCTTACCCCAAAAAACCTAACTTACAACCTGAAAATGAGAAAGATTGCACAGCAACAGACAGTGACTGGATGGGACTGATCTGGGACTGTACAGTGCATTCGGAAAGTATTCAGACCCCTTCACTTTTTCCACATTTTGTTACGTTACAGCCTTATTCTAAAATTGATTAAAATGTTTGTTTTTTCCCTCATCAATCTACACACAATACCCCATAATGACAAAGCAAAAAGAGGCTTTTAGAAATGTTTGCACATTTATAAAATTAAAAAAACTGAAATATTACATTTACATAAGTATTCAGACCCTTTACTTAGTACTTTGTTGAAGCACCTTTGGCAGCGAATACAACCTTGATTCTTCTTGGGTATGACACCAAAAGCTTGGCACAACTGTATTTGGGGAGTTTCTCCCATTCTTCTCTGCAGATCCTCACAAGCTCTGTGAAGTTGGATGGGGAGCTATTTTCAGGTCTCTCCAGAGATGTTAGATCGGGTTCCAAGTCCGGGCTCTGGCTGGGCCACTCAAGGATATTCAGAGACTTGTCCCGAAGCCACTCCTGCGTTGTGTGCTTAGGGTCGTTGTCCTGTTGGAGGGTAATCCTTCAACCCCAGTCTGAGGTCCTGAGCGCTCTGGAGCAGGTTTTCATCAAGGATCTCTCTGTACTTTGCTCCATTCATCTTTGCCTCGATCCTGACTAGTCTCCCTGTCCCTGCCACTGAAAAACATCCTCACAGCATAATGCTGCCACCACCATGCTTCACCGTAGGGGTGGTGCCAGGTTTCCTCGAGACGTGACGCTTGGCATTCAGGCCAAAGAGTTCAATCTTGGTTTCATCAGACCAGAAAATCTTGTTTCTCATGGTCTGAGAGTCCTTTAGGTGACTTTTGGCAAACTCGAAGCGGGCTGTCGTGCCTTTTCCTGAGAAGTAGCTTCCATCTGGCCACTCTACCGTAAAGGCCTGATTGGTGGAGTGCTGCAGAGATGGTTGTCCTTCTGGAAGGTTCTCCCATCTACACTGTGGAACTCTGGAGCTCTGTCAGATTGACCATCGGGTTATTGGTCACCTCCCTGACCAAGGCCCTTCTCCCCCGATTGCTCAGTTTGGCTGGGCGGCCAGCTCTAGAAAGAGTCTTGGTGGTTCCAAATGTCTTCCGTTTAAGAATGATGGAGGCCACTGTGTTCTTGGGGACCTTCAATGCTACAGAAATGTTTTGGTACCCGTCCCCAGATCTGTGCCTCAACACAATCCTGTCTCTGAGCTCTACGGACAATTCCTTTCGACCTCTTGACTTGGTTTTAGCTCTGACATGCACTGTCAACTGGTGGGACCTTATATAGACAGGTGTGTGCCTTTCCAAATCATGTCCAATCAATTGAATTTACCACAGGTGAACTCCAATTAAGTTGTAGAAACATCTCAAGGATGATCAATGGAAACAGGATGCACCGGAGCTCAATTTCGAGTCTCATAGCAAAGGGTCTGAATCCTTATGTAAATAAGGTATTTCTGTATTTTTTGGGGGGGGAAAACCTGTTTTCGCTTTGTCATTATGAGGTATTGTGTGTAGATTGATGAGAAAAAAATACATTTAATCAATTTTAGAATAAGGCTGTAACATAACAAAATGTGGAAAAAGTGAAGGTCTGAATGCTTTCCGAATGCACTGTGTATATCAGATGTCTCAAAGAGTGCTGATCTAGGATCAGGTTCCCCAAGTTCATTTTGATCTAAAATGCAAAGCTGAACCTTAATCAGCACTCCTACACTTGATATATATGGCCCCTGATCTCCTATCCCATAATGCAGCAGTGCAGTGTGTCCTGTCCCTGACCTGAAGAAGGAGGTCCGAGGTGGTAGAGGGCGTGTGTGTTTTTGTGTGTAAGTAAGTAATATGTGTCTATCAGTGTCTCTGACCTGAAGAAGGAGTACTGTGGTCCGAGGTGGTAAAGGGCAGGTGACAGCTCCATCTCTGGGAAGTGTTGCAGGTCACTCTTGATGGAGCCCAGACCCATGGCCAGGATGATGAACAAAACAGGTAGAACCACCTGGGAGAAGAGACCCTTCCAGTCCCGTCTGGAGTGGTGAACCCTCTTCATCAACATAGCAGTCACCTGCTGCCAGGTCAGGGCCAGGCCGTGCACTGTGGACGAGCCCGTCAGACCTACAGGAAAACAAGGGTTTTGTTATTATTAGTATAATTAGGGTCTGCGCCAAGGCTTGCAGTAGTAAGAGGCTGGTGTGATTCTATTACCAGACAAGACCAGACTAGGGTCCAACGGGAAAGAGGCGTTTAAAATAGCCCAGAGGACAGGAAGAGATTGAGGGACTTTGTGGAGATCTTCTATGCCACTTGGCACAATAAGGTCTAAGTAAGTATGTTTTATTCCTAGGACCAGGAGTTTTTGTATGAGTTTTTCATTAACTGAATGTGAATAACTAGCCTGTATCTAGGACCCAGAGTTCTTCCTCCTGGGTAAGATACCACTATAACAGCTGGTCAGTCTAGTCTAGGATGTCAAAGAGCAGTGGCGTGGATGTGACTCACTGGCTTTGTCTCCGAAGCTGGAGTTGCTCTGGAGGTCCTCTGGTAAGCTGTCTCTGGAGGCAGACAGGTCTAGCATGGATTCAGACACAGAATACGGCTTATCTTCTGCAGGCTCTGTCTCATCTTGGGTCAGCTGGAGGAACACCTGCACAGACCACAAAAAACAGAAGTGTGTCAATGGGTGTGAACTGTAATTGTATGTCATGCACATTATGTGGGTGTGTCTATCTCTGTATATGAAGTACACTGTATATCCATGAGTGCAAGGTAAATTGGAGAAAAGTCTATCTCTCAACACATTGAAAAGCATCTGTGTATCTCTAACCTCCTCCAGGGTAGTGTCAGAGATGCCGTAGCAGCCCAGCTGTAGAAGGTCCAGGTTAGAGTCCAGGCTGGAGAGCAGGGAGCGGTAGGCCTCAGCATTGGAGGAGCTGAATGGGGGAAGGGAGTAGACCAGGTCTCCCAACTCAGTCTCCTTCAGACGAGCGTCTGGCATGTAGGACTGGATGAACGTCTTGACCTCAACTCCGTCAAACCTAGCCTGGGAGTCTGGGGCCTGGACCTAACAAGAGACCGGGTGAGGAAGAAGAGGAGTGCTCATACAGTATGGCCTACGTCAGGCCATTTTATTAACTAATTTTATTACGTTATTTATTTGACAGGGACAATACACATCAATTAACATTTCTATAAATGTTTTCATCTGTAGTCCCTGTGTTAGTTTTAAAACTTGATATAAGCGTGTAGAAGTATTTTTTTCAATGTCTTATAATAAGGCTCATAAGTACCTTCTTGGTGAGTGTGAGGTTGTATCCCTGGGCCAGCTTATCTTTGAGGTAGAAGGGGGAGCCGCAGCACTTGAGGCCTCCTCTCTCCAGGAAGGCTATACGGTCGCTCAGCACCTCTGCCTCGTCCAGGTGGTGGGTAGACAGGATAATGGTATGGTCTGAGAGCAGGTGAAGAGAGAGACACACACACAAGGACACACACACAGGCAAGGATGCAAGGAAGCACACACACACACACACACACACACACACACACACACACACACACACACACACACACACACACAAATACACAGATGTATGCAGCACACCCACACACACACACAAGACAGGAAAAGAAAAGGACAAAGAGACACCCACATACAGACAGAGGTACCCCCCCACACACACAGAGACATGTGACAAACACAGAGACAAAAAGTATGAGCAATCCCATTCTGAACCTTTTCAGTTTTCCCTTCCCTCCCTGAGCAGCAACTCTCAGTCACATCGACTGAGACAAACCCAATTAAGTAGCAGGCGTGTGTGTGTGTGTGTGTGTGTTAAATAGCAGATTCCACAGCCACGACGGATACCAATCCCTCTGCTCCCCCACTACAGCTGCTGTGGGATCTCCTTTCTCCACAGCTACACACACACACAACACACACACAACACACAACACACTACACTGCTACGTTCACTTGGAGAAAATATATTTCTGCTTCATTAAATGTAGAGAGAGAGAGAGAAGGGGTGGGGTTATTTGGGCTGTGAGACTCACCTTTCTTGTGCTTGATGACGATGTCCCAGATGGAGCGTCGGGAGCAGGGGTCGACCCCGGTGGTGGGCTCGTCCAGGACCACCAGACGAGAGCCCCCGATGAAGGCGATGGAGATGGACAGCTTCCTCTTCATTCCTCCAGACAGTGTCCCCACTCTCTTGTGTCGGTGGGCATACATGCCAGTCTCCTCCAGGATTCTGGGAAAGACAGTAGAAGGAAAAGACGTGTTGCTGTATGTGGGAAACATCACTTTGACTCAGAGCTTTTCAGTCATATTTAGTCACTACAATCTAAAAACGAATCTATGTGTTAAGTCAATTCATCTTACAGGGTTAATATGATTACATTTTGAGATTTGTTTTCTTCCAAATGCTTTGATGTATGGATTTGGATGTGATCTTGGTTCAGAATGTACTGTAGGTTCACTTGCTAGTCTCGCTTTGCTTAACTCATGGGTAATGTTAGACACACCAGCCGTGTGGTAAGTGACTACTCACTTGCGGACTTGCTCCTTCAGTTCCATCTGTGACCAGTGTGGTGCCTTGATCTGTCCGTACAGTAGCAGGTGCTCCTTGGTGGTCAGATGGTCAAAGTGGACGTCATACTGCATGCACACACCCAGCTCCCGGCGAATGTCATCAATGTTAGTCTCCATGTCCTTCCCATACACCTCAATGGTACCAGAGGAGGGGGCGAACAAACCAGTGAGCAGAGACCTGGAAACAGAGACATCAATACATAGCATAAACTCCTGTTTTTCAATAGGGAAGACATGGTGAAAAAGCAATGAATAAACATATTCAGCAGGCCTAAATCCCTAACACCAATGACATATTACAATGTGCCTAATAGCGGGTATTATAGGCTAGTGTACTAGAGTATAAGCTATTGTATAAGCTAGTATAAATTAGTGTGCCTAATAGATTATCTCTGATTAAAGAGAAGTAGAGAACAGATAGATCATTGTCAGAACTCACATGGTAGTGGTCTTGCCAGCTCCGTTGTGTCCCAGCAGTGCAGTGACTTGTCCCTCATAGAATTTGACATTCAGGTTCTCTATGGCTGCTCTGTCCCCATAGGTCTTAGTCAGTCCATGGAGAGCCACACCCACAGGAAGACCTGAGATCTCCTCTTCCATATGAGAGGGGAAGCCCCCCTTAGCTGAGAGAGAGAGGAGGATGGAGGGAGGGAGAGAGGAAGGCAGAGAGCAGGGGGACAGAGAGAGGGAGGGAGTGGCAGAAAGAGAAAGAGAAAAAGAGAGTGAGAGGGGGCAGAAAGAGAGAGATTGAACAAGCGAGCACGAGAGCGAGATCAAAACATATAACAACAGTCACATCTCTTGATCTGTTAGCTGCTGCAAGCTGCTTTAGGAAGAAGGCTGTTGTGTTGCAGTACTGTACCTTTGTTGTCCTTCTCATTGGGAAAGACAGAGAGGTTATTCCGTATGATGTTGGAGAAGAGCAGTCCCCTGTTGACCTTCTCAGGGACCTTGCTGCAGCAGCAGAAGAGATCAGCCCAGAATGAGGGCATCACAGGGAAGTACCAGGGTTTAGCAATGCCATACTTTCCTGATGGGCAAAAAGTATATGATCAATAGAGGAAAAGCAATACATAATTTCCCATAGGGTTGGGGTCAATTCCATTTCAATTCAGTCAATTTAGGAAGTGAACTGACATGCCATGTAATTCCTCATTGCAGTGAGTTACATTGGCAATTGGAATTTCAGTTTACTTCCTGAATTGACTGAATGGAAATGGAATTGACCCCAACTGTTGAACAGTATTTGACTCTGTCTCCAGTCTAGTCTGGCTTGCTGTGTGTTTTTATTACTTGACGCTGTTTTGTGTGATTACCTGGGAAGACTATGCGGATGTAGGCTCCAATGATGAAGTAGCAAACTGAGTCGATGAGGAGAAGCCAACACAGCCAGCCGAAGGATGACGTGTCACCGGCCAGGGGTGAGATATATTGGTTGCTCCACTGGATGCCTAAAGAAAGTAGAAAGTAGGAACAATAAAAAGTTTCAGTTCATTTGTTAGATCTCTCTCTATCTTCATGGCTAGTATAGAGGCTGCTTTAGTTTTCTGGGAGTCTCCTCATGAGTTTGTTTTTGTAAGCATCTGTGATGGCTTTGTGACACACACATTCCCACACACCACACATTTACGAACATACGCATGCACGCACGTAGACACACACACACATGCACACGCCTAGCATGCACACACACACACACAGACGGCCATCTTCCCAGCATACCTTCTCCCTGGCTCTCATAGCGAGAGATGTATTGACTGGCGTAGCTGAAACAGGTGGGGGCAAACAAACTCTGAGGGAAACAAGAGGCACGGATAAGGCATAACACAGGGACATCAATAAAAAAAAATCTGTATCAACCCCTCTCTCTGTTACTCTTCCTTTTCATCTCTGTCTCTCGATCTCTCTCTATTTCACTCTTTCTCCCTCTCCCTCCCTCAGCCCCTCCCCCTTCCGTTGACCGTCCCTCCCTCTCCCACCCTCCCTCCCTCCCTCCCCCTCTCTCTCACCAGGGCGCTCTTGGCGGAGAACGATAGTGAGCTCTCCAATGACATCACTACGATGAATGGGAAGAAGCTGATGACGTAGATGAGGGCGCCGCTCAGCCCCGCGATGTTTGGTCTTGTCAAAGAATGAGCTCACCAGGAAACTGATGGCCAGGATGCTATAGAATATAAGAGAAGAGAGGAGAGGAGAGGAGAATCCTATGTCACATTTTTCAATAGAAATTGATTTTATAGAATGGAAATATTTGCCATCACAATGCCCATTCATACACACACACACACACACACCACAGGCTAACCTTCCACCCTGAGGTAGCCTACCTGAGTCCGTAGTCACTGAGGTAGAGGAAGAGCAGGAAGCTGTCACTGTGGGGCAGGACACGCCCAGCCTTCAGGATGATGGTGAGGATGATTATGGTGATGATAAGGAAGCATGCACTCTCTATGAACCAGGCGAAGAAATGACTGATGGGATTGACCCCCATCATCTTCATGTACTGTTGAGGTCAAAAGGCAGGGGTTAGGAAATCAACCAATCAGAACTCATGACTCAAATACAGTATGAATGAATGGAATAATTAATTAATAAATATTCATGTCCTGCCACCCTTGTGATTTGCAAAATATGTGTTTGTTTGAAAGAGACATCTACAGGAAATGACATAATTGCCAGGGGAGATGGTTGGCGGCCTACTATACCTCGTGAAGTCGGAGCTCTCTCTCATGAACCAGTTTCTTCACAAAGTTGGCGATGAACAGAACCCAGGCAATCATCAAGACCAGAGGGAAGGCAAACGCGATGCTGTTCAGGTACCTTAGGAAGAGACATGACAGCTGTCAATCAATCAATCAATCAATGTCACAGCCTAGCTACCAGCGCTGGGACTACCACAGTAGCCCCTGAGAAAGAAAAACAACATTTTCACTCACTTGCAAAAAATATGCATTACATAGTCATGCATGCACACACTCATACAATCACTCTCAGATGAACACATTATGATGAGCATGTACTGTATATAACTCACTCACTCACTCACTCATACACACACAGAAACAAAAACAGTGCCCTAGAAAAAACAATAACAACGACAATGTCCTAACCTCATAATTCACTCAAAGCTTTTTTCCATAATCAGAGAGGGTATACCCTGATACTTGGACCTTGTCAATATTTATTATAAAACAAGTAATATTTCAAAGTGATCGTATCGGGAATAATGTGTTGTTCCCTAATAAATCAATGGACCAGAGCTGCAGGGATCACCATGTATGCGTCCCAAATGGCACCCTACTTCCTTTATAGTGCACTACCTTTAAACAGGGCCCATAGGCCCATTGGGTCAAAAGTAGTGCACTATATAGGGAATAGGGTACCATTTGGGGTGCACACTATATCTCACACATCAATGGGAGGCAGCCAGGCAGAGAGAGCAGCACGGGTACGCTGCGTTTGTGAGATGAGATATCAATGTTGGCTTCAGAAGCACTCTCAGTAAGATGTAAACATAGACATTATGCTCAACCATGATTTATGGCGAAGCGTGTACTGTATTGATGCAAAGGACATAGCTAGTAGTTTATGTGTAACCGATGTTGGATCGGAGGCTGGAGGAGAGATGTGGCCGTTTTTCTATTGTGGCTCTGCTCATCGACAGGAGGGGAGATAATGTGTGTGTGTGCATATGCATGCCTATGTAGTGCATATTATTGTTTTTTAGTAAGTGTGTGTGTGTGTGTGTGTGTTGGGCCTACTCACTCGTCCTTGAGGAAGCAGGGGTAAGGGAAGGCCTGTAGCTGGACTGCTGGCTCAGTGACCTGCTGTCCTGTCTGCGTCTCTGTGAGATGATGAGATAGACAGTAAAACATCACATAACATAACACAGAACACTTTTGTATTCCTCTTTTCTTACTAGCACTGATTTAGCTGACAGCTGCTTTTTTTAGGAATGTTTTTACTTCCAATGACTATGATATGGGTTGTGTCTTACCTACCTTACCTACCCTTTGGAACCCTTAGAAAAAAGGGTTCCAAAAGGGTTATTCGGCTGTTCCCCATAGAAGGACTCTTTTTAGTTCCAGGTAGAACTATTTTTGGTTCTGGGTAGAACCTTCTGTGGAAAGGGTTCTACATGGAACCAAAACAGTTCTACCTGGAACCAAAAAGCGTTCTTCAAATGGTTCTCCTATGGGGACAGCCAAAGTATCCTTTTAGGTTCTAGATAGCACAATTTTTTAAAAAGAGTACTGTAAGTCACTCTAGATAAGAGCATCTGCTAAATCACCAAAATGTAAATGTAAACATATCATGAACAACATAACGTTACCTATGATGGCCCTGTCGATGCTCTCCTGCAGGTATACAAAGCCTCGGTTGTAGCGCTGGGTCTTCAAGGAGGAGATGTAGGGGTCCTTCACCCAGAAAGGGTTGCGGGAGCGGTCGGTCCGCATGGCGTTCTCGATGGACATGCGGATGGTGTAGTCCACCTTGGGAGGCAGCGCGGAGGAGGAGGAGCCTGAGGTGTCTCGCCGCTTCCTGTGTGAGTCATCATCATCCTTGGGCAGCTTGAAGATGATACCTGCAGAGACACAGAAACAGAACCCAAACTGCTATTTTTGTTTCTTTTTGACTATTTTAACTGAAAACTATTATATTAAGTAACTTTATTGTTACAGAGAAATTATTTCATATGGGAATCAAGATGGCTGTACTGTGCCAAACAAAAAAGGTTGATGCCAAAACACAAGGCTTTTATTTTGAAATATAAAGGATCAACTAACTGGCGTAGAGGTCTCTGGTCTGGGTGAGGTGTTCAGCCATGGTGTTGAGGTCGTCAGTAGAGTTGATGCCGTGGAAGCGGTCAAAGTTAATACAGGAGGATAGGTTCATCATCAGGTTGGACAGAGTGGTGATCTGGGTCACAATGTCCTTGTTCTTCTCCAGGAGGGTCGTCGTGCTTGCTAGGGGGAGGCCAAGGTTATATTAGATATAATAATAATAGAAAGATAAAGAAGATCTATAGCTAATAAAGTGGAGAAATATCTTAAAACAGATTAGCAAAGAAGTAGTGAGAGGGGGTCAGGGGTCAGGGTGGAGATATATATTAAATACAAAGATAATATAAACACTAAAGAAAAAAAGATCCACATTATAAAGAATGTATGAATTAATGAAAACATGTATTGCCCCGAAGGGAATTTGAATGCAGAAGATATATTAAGACACATTTTATTGGAATGTGTCTTAATTGAAAGCCTTGATTTTTGGGATATTTTACAGGGAGATAGCTAGAGAATAAGGGATAAGGGTTGTCTTGTCTGTAGCCATTTTCAAAAGTAAGACCTTCAAATACAAAACTCACAGAAGTTCTTGAGAGTATCCTTCATCTTGCTCACATCAATGTCTGTCTGCATCTCGATGAAATTCTGAACAAAGGAATTGCCAAGGGAATTCTAGGAGGGAGGAAGAAGTTGAATAAAATAACATCAAGATACAGTTGCTGAAACTTTCAGTTGCTGAAAAAAACTTTCTAGCATTTTCCTCTACTTTCCTAGATATATGGAATTTGCACCCTATTTCCTAGAAAGTGCACTACTTTTGACCAGAACCCTTGTCAAAAGTAGCGCACTATATAGGGAATAGGGTGCCATTTGGAACGCACCCATGGAGTCCAGGAAAAAGCAGATTGTAGCTTATATAAACCCAGTGTAGCTTTAAGAATAGCTGGTTCATACCTGGAGCATTGGCAGGGTTTGATTCAGTATCTTGGCTGAGTCCATAATGTAGGAAGAGGACTGGAGCCAATCCTGGGAGTACATCTTCAGGTTGGCAAACTGCTGCATTGTGGCATTGGACTGGAAGACAATACATACAGATGGTGATACAGTGTAGTAAGTGTGTGTGTGTGTATTGTGCTTGCACGTGTGCGTGCACATGTTTGTCTGTGTGCACGTGTGTGCACGTGTGTGTGTGTGTGATTGTACCTTTTTTATGATGGCCCTAGTGAGTGGTGTGTCTGGGCTGTAGAGGACCTGTCCCAGCAGCATCGGCTTGAGGAAGGCCCAGGCTATGGCTCCTCCAGTGGTGTTCACCATGTCCAGGTAGAAGTTCATACAGAAAGGAGCTGTCCAGGGGAAGAGAAGGTGCAGGTTATAAGATATGTCAGTCCTACATTCTTAAAGGAAAATGTCACAATTTTCAACCTCATATTAAATCATAATGAATAATTAAGATATTCAGAATCTTGTTGTAATGACGTAATTTCAATCAGCTTTGAACACCGGGTCTATACTTAAATCAAATAAGCAATGTGTGCTTATGTATGTAAAATGTATGTAATGTTGTCTCCGGCTGGAGCAGCCTACTACTTTTAATTATCTAATAAATTAAATCAGTCAACAAATCAATCAACTAATCAACCAATCAATCATGTGCAAAGTGGGTTCCATACTGGCATTGCGAGGGATCTTGAACTTGTTGACCAGCTCCTCCACCCTGTGCTCCTGCTGTGTGGAGGGGTCTGTCTCAGTCATGATGGGCAGCTTAGAGATGCCAAACAGGGACATGATGCCATGGTTACACATGGCTCTGGACACAGTGGTGAATGTCGCTCTGCTGGACATTGATCTGGTTTTACCATGCACCATCTGGGGGAGGGAAGAGAAGAGTTAGGAGGGATGAATGTAGGTGAGCAGGAGGGAGGGAGGGACAGAGAGAGACAGACCCACAGCCATACAGACCCACAGCCAGACAGACCCAGAGCCAGATAGACAGACTGATAGCAGCAATCCTCTCAGACTCAGCCATTCACTACTATCTCAGTATGGGTAGAGCTCCATAGAGAAACACAATACTTCTGTTCTATCTAATTCTGTGTCTGTCTCAGTATGAGCAGAAAGAGAGAAAGAAACAGGAAGACAGACAGACAGGTAGACAGACTGCTAGCTACAACCCTCTCAGATTGTCTCAGCATCACGCCTCAATACTCACGCTGCGGAACTCTGGGTCAGAGACCAGGTTGAGGTCTCGTATGGAGAACATATAGTCCTGCAGGCGGCCGACGGCAGGAAGCAGCTTGCTCATCATGTCCGTCAGGAACTTGACCATCTGCAGCATGAACCCCACCACGCTCTGCATCTCACTGGACAGCATCAGCTGTGGAGAGACACATGGAGGGGCATTAGTATCACACAGTAGACAGCTGAACCCTCTGTCACTAGGACTAGGCTGTATACAGCTGAACCCTCTCTCATTAGGACTAGGCTGTAGACAGCTGAACCCTCTGTCACTAGGACTAGGCTGTAGACAGCTGAACCCTCTGTCTGAGAGCCTGTGGACAGAATGCCCTTCGGTCTTACTGTCCTTAATTACATTGCACGTGTACCTATCTCAGTGTTTCTTAATCCCAGTCCTGGTGATCCAAAGGGATGCACATTTTTGTTTTTGCCCTAGCAATCAACTCATCATCAAACCTTTGATTAGTGGAATCAGGTGTGTATTGCTAGTGATAAAACAAAAATGTGCACCCGTTTGGGTCCACAGACCCACATATAGCCACAGAGAATCCTGATGTGTAACCTTTACATGACCTGCCCTGGCACTGAGAGATGACCATTCTTTACCCTGTAGACGACACTCTCCATGTGGACGTAGCAAGCAAACAGCACTATGAAGTTGTACTGTAAAACTGCTGAGGTGGCAGGTTACACACACATACCTTGTATATCACATTCTCCATGTGGATGTAGCGAGCCACGATGACCACAAAGTTGTACCACTGGTTTGTAGGCAGGTTGCAGAAGACCTGGAAGAGGAGCTGCTCTGTGCTATTCATCTGCAGGCTTGTTGGGTCCCTGCAGTGGTGCATGTTAGCCAGCCACGCTAGCATCTATAGAGGGGAGATAGAGATTGTGTATAGGTCAGATCACTAGATACAGTACTAGCTAGTAGCAAATTAGAAGAGTGAGAACATATGATGGAGAGAAGAGGGAGAGAGAATATGTCACTGCAGTGGTGCATGTTAGCCAGCCAGGCTAGGATCTACAGTAGACATAGAGAGGTTGAAGATGGGTCAGAACACTAGCTACAGAAGGCGGACCCTGTGCTTCCAACCCCTCTGTGTGTGTGTGTCTCAGAGGGTTGAGATGTAAGCTAAACAACATAGGATTGAGAAGAGGAAAGGGGATAATACAGTTTATTGTGGAAATTGAAGGTAGGCTATATTGTGGTCTGACTTTCATGACTACTTCTAAAAATGACGATTACATTTTTTCTCTCTCTTTTTGAGACAATTGCATTTGGTGTTATTGTTACACATCACATGGGCATCACAGCTGATCTGAGGCTTGAATAAGCTGAGGTTAGCTCACCTGGAAGTTTCTGTTAGGCATGGTGGTCTCCATCAGCAGGTGGAGGATCTCAGGTGGGATGTCAGTGTGACGCTGGACCGCCAGAGCGAACGCTGTCTTGTTTCTCAAGAGCTCCGACATTTTCACCACTTCTATGAAATACAATACAACAGGTGACTGCAGAGAAAATACAGGAGGTTCAACACCTTGACCACACCGGTAGAAAAGATTTAACAGGTGACTGCAGAGAAAATACAGGATCTTGACCACACCATATATTTAAGCAATATGATCTGAGGGGGTGTGGTATATGGCCAATACACCACGGCTAAGGGCTGTTCTTACGCACGACGCAACGCGGAGTGCCTGGATACAGCCCTTAGCCGTGATATATTGTCCATATACCACAAACCCCCGAGGTGCCTTATTGCGATTATAAACTAAGTTAGTCTATTCCTAGAAAACATTGAACCGCTGTAGTTTAAAACAATTATAGTTTCTGAGGTGGAAGTTGGGAGAGTTATATTTGGGTGTTGTGGTGAGGGAGGCCCCGCTCTCTCCTTTCCCAGATGTTTAGTTCATTTCATTCCGATCTCCTTTGCATTATTGTAGCCATTTTCTGTAGCCTGTCAACTATACCTCTGTCTATCCCTGTTCTCTCCTCTCCGCACAGGCTATACAAAAGCCTCACACCGCGTGGCTGCTGCCTCTCTAACCTGGGGGTCACATCAGAATCTGACTGGTTTTCTGATCCACGGCACTACTTTATTTTGCAATAATATTTTGTATCTGTATTCCCAGGGATAGTCAGACTATGTGTCTGTCTATCCCTGTTCTCTCCTCTCTGCACAGGCCATACAAACGCTTCACACCACGTGGCTGTTGCCACTCTAATCTGGTGGTCCCTGCGCGCACGACCCACGTGGAGTTCCACGTCTCCGGCAGCCTCTGGAACTGCCGTTCTGCGGCCAACAAGACAGAGTTCATCTCAGCCTATGCTACCCTCCAGTCCCTCGACTTCTTGGCGCTGACGGAAACATGGATTACTACAGAAAACACTGCTACTCCTACTGCTCTTTCCTCGTCTAACCATGTGTTCTCGCATACCCCGAGAGCATCTGGTCAGCGCGGCGGTGGCACAGGAATCCTCATCTCTCCCAAGTGGACATTCTCTATTTTTCCCCTGACCCATCTGTCTATCTCCTCATTTGAATTCCATGCTGTCACAGTCACTAGCACATTTAAGCTTAACATCCTTGTCATTTATCGCCCTCCAGGTTCCCTTGGAGAGTTCATCAATGAGCTTGACGCCTTGATAAGTTCCTTTCCTACCTCTGCGGAAGCACAGTTCCCGCTCAGCCCAGTCAAAACTGTTCACTGCTCTGGCACCCCAATGGTGGAACAAGCTCCCTCACGACGCCAGGAGAGCGGAGTCACTCACCACCTTCCGGAGACATTTGAAACCCCACCTCTTTAAGGAATACCTGGGATAGGATAAAGTAATCCTTCTATATACCACAAACTCCTGAGTTGCCTTATTGCTATTATAAACTGGTCACCAGTGTAATTAGAGCACTAAAAATACATGTTTTGTCATACCCGTGATATATGGTCTGATATACCATGGCTGTCAGCCAATCAGCATTCAGGGCTCGAACCACCCAGGTTATAATTATATTTAAAGGTTGTATATTATAATTAATTCTAAAAGCAGTATGGACCGCATGTTCAGCAGAGCAAAATACATTACATGAGCTTTACTCTTCATTGTATAATTAGGCAATTAGCTAACAAATTATCTAAGTGATTAGCTAATTAACACTTAATTAACAAGCAATTAGCTAATTAATAACTTAGCTTATCGAGTGCAGTAATTACAGTAATGGGGAAGTAGTGCCTGGAGTTTATCTAGTCTAGTGGTTAAGGCCACTGCCTCCAGTACATATGGTTCCCCTGCCTGCATGAGATCGAATCCCGGCCTCACCATCATTCTCACCTCTGTATCTCCCCTTAATTAATTAATCTATCTATCTCCCCTTCATCCATGCCTGTCACTGCCAAAAACAACAATAAAATCCTAAGAAATAAATATAAAAAAGTAATTGGTACAGTGAGGGAAAAATGTATTTGATCCCCTGCTGATTTTGTACGTTTGCCCACTGACAAAGAAATGATCAGTCTATAATTTTAATGGTAGGTTTATTTGAACAGTGAGAGACAGAATAACAACAAAAAAATCCAGAAAGACGCATGTCAAAAATGTTATAAATTGATTTGCATTTTAATGAGGGAAATAAGTATTTGACCCCTCTGCAAAACATGACTTAGTACTTGTTGGCAAAACCCTTGTTGGCAATCACAGAGGTCAGACGTTTCTTGTAGTTGGCCACCAGGTTTACACACATCTCAGGAGGGATTTTGTCCCACTCCTCTTTGCAGATCTTCTCCAAGTCATTAAGGTTTCAAGGCTGACGTTTGGCAACTCGAACCTTCAGCTCCCTCCACAGATTTTCTATGGGATTAAGGTCTGGAGACTGGCTAGGCCACTCCAGGACCTTAATGTGCTTCTTCTTGAGCCACTCCTTTGTTGCCTTGGCCGTGTGTTTTGGGTCATTGTCATGCTGGAATACCCATCCACGACCCATTTTCAATGCCCTGGCTGAGGGAAGGAGGTTCTCACCCAAGATTTGACGGTACATGGCCCCGTCCATCGTCCCTTTGATGCGGTGAAGTTGTCCTGTCCCCTTAGCAGAAAAACACCCCCAAAGCATAATGTTTCCACCTCCATGTTTGACGGTGGGGATGGTGTTCTTGGAGTCATCGGCAGCATTCCTCCTCCTCCAAACACGGCGAGTTGAGTTGATGCCAAAGAGCTCCATTTTGGTCTCATCTGACCACAACACTTTCACCCAGATGTTCATTGGCAAACTTCAGATGGGCCTGTATATGTGCTTTCTTGAGCAGGGGGACCTTGCGGGCGCTGCAGGATTTCAGTCCTTCCCAGCTGCCTTGAGATCATTGACAAGATCCTCTTGTGTAGTTCTGGGCTGATTCCTCACCGTTCTCATGATCATTGTAACTCCACGAGGTGAGATCTTGCATGGAGCCCCAGGCCGAGGGAGATTGACAGTTATTTTGTGTTTCTTCCATTCGCGAATAATCACACCAACTGTTGTCACCTTCTCACCAAGCTGCTTGGCGATGGTCTTGTAGCCCATTCCAGCCTTGTGTAGGTCTACAATCTTGTCCCTGACATCCTTGGAGAGCTCTTTGGTCTTGGCCATGGTGGAGAGTGGAATCTGATTGATTGATTACTTCTGTGGACAGGTGTCTTTTATACAGGTAACAAGCTGAGATTAGGAGCACTCCCTTTAAGAGTGTGCTCCTAATCTCAGCTCGTTACCTGTATAAAAGACACCTGGGAGCCAGAAATCTTTCTAATTGAGAGGGGGTCAAATACTTATTTCCCCCATTAAAATGCAAATCAATTTATAACATTTTTGGCATGCGTTTTTCTGGATTTTTCTGTTGTTATTCTGTCTCTCACTGTTCAAATAAACCTACCATTAAAAGGAGACTGATAATTTCTTTGTCAGTGGGCAAACGTACAAAATCAGCAGGGGATCAAATACTTTTTTCCCTCACTGTATACCTGGAGAGGTCATGTTGATGTTGAGTGTCTTCAGGCTGCTGATGTTCAGGCCAAGCGCCTGGGTGAGTACAGAGGTCCTGTATCACACACATACACAGGCACATTATCCACATACACAGGCACATCACACACACACACATACACAGGCACATCATACACACACACGGACACACACACGCACATTTGTCAACGATGACATCTATTTACACAAAAAATATATACCATTTAGTTCTTCATTTATTTTAAAGTCTACATGTCCTATAATGTCTCCATACCAGTTTGTGTTGACATTGTAGGTGTTGGGGTCTCCTACGAAGGTTTCAAACAGAGCTTCATACAGGTCAGAGCTGTCCTGGAACAGACTCCGGGTCATTATGTGGAAGGCCTGGAGAATGGGCATGGCAGTCTCACACAGGAACCCTGGGCCAAGAGACAGAGCCTGCATCAACTGCTGGATAGAGCCCATATCCTCCAGCGTGCACACCTGCAACACAAGTTTCAAGTTTATTTGCAATGTGTAATGAATAGGCCTACATTGACAATCTTACTCACTCACAAAGCAGAAGTTGCAAGATCAGTGATATGGATTGTGAATTTCTGTCAGTATTGAAGGCCAATGGTAGCAGTCAAAACACTAAATAAAACATGTTACTGTATGTGTGTGTGTCTTGTTGTAGAACACATGTAGCTCCTCGCTGTTGCAACACATGTCTGTGTCTACCCTAGTCTTGGTGATGTTATGGTAGTCTAGACATTATTCCAGAGAGAAACAGCCTCTGTATCCCTCTCGCCCTACAGATGAAGGTTTCATGAGAAGTAATGTGTTCTAACATTAGAGGTCAGGTGGACCAGTATGTTGCTGAAGTTTCCATCTGACCAGCTGCTGTTGAAGAGTTCAGACCCTAACTGGATGGTCTGCAGCAGGAGGTGGAGGCTCTCTGTGGAGGGAGGGAGAGAGGGAGGGAGGGGGAGAGAGAGATAGAAAGGGAGAGAGATAGAGGGAGGGAAAGGGAGGGCAGTAGAGATGTGTTAAGGTGACATGGTAACACAGTGTCCCACAGGGCATCATTACCACCTCATTACCACCTCTATTTCAGGGTGGCCTCACTGAATAGCAAGCACCAAATGATGTGGTTAAACTGGGACCCTACACACTACTGACAAGGCAAAGGGACCAACACTATGCATCCCAAATATCACCCTATTCTTCACACAGTGCACTACTTAGGTCTCTGGTCAAGGTGAAACATCTAATTAAAACGAGACACGGACTACGGTGAATAGTAAATATTGGTGTACTGCATTGAAAACCCAGGAGAAAAGCGAGTGACTTAACATACTCTTTGAATCATTTAGGATCTCAGGGGTACTGCAGAGGAGAAAATAATAAAAAGAGTATGATCCTCAAGCTAGGAGCATACCTCTGGGAAATGAAAGGGTTGTAGCTAAAGTAGCTGTAGTGCGGTTTTTCAAGTGACTATACTGCATATGCAGGGATATAACCGTGTTACACCGCATTATAAAACAAGTACAGTAGCCAATTAAAATGTGGTCACAAAGCTATTATATTTGAGTGTGTGTGTGTGTGTGTGTGTGTGTGTGTGTGTGTGTGTGTGTGTGTGTGTGTGTGTGTGTGTGTGTGTGTGTGTGTGTGTGTGTGTGTGTGTGTGTGTGTGTGTGCGTGTGTGTGCACTTACGCGTGCACATGTATGTGTGGGTGGTGGGGTGTATTTAGTGATTGAATTCTTACTTGGCTAATGAGATTGAATAATGTTTAATAAGGTGCAGAGTGTCTTTCTCTTGGAGATGCGCCATATGCCTCCTGGCTTATCTGGAGTTCTAACAAAGCTCACATTATTAAGCCTATCCTATTGCACTGCATGGTTTCAATATGAAATATGTCCATTATATAATAATGGTGTCTGGAATAAGTCTACATTAAAAACACATTGTGTGCAATGAAGTATATAAACCCTCGATTGCTGATGCTATGTATTGGCCAATGAGAGGCTTTGAAGCCACCTGTCGGCCATATTGGCACTCCCCAGAAGAGCAGTCCTCCATAGGAATGAATGGAATTCTACAGTATTTCAATTGGTGTGTCTGTGACGGCCAATAGAACACGGCTTGGAAAGCTGCTCATCCAATCATTATCCAGGAACCAAACAACCCGTTTTATAATATAACTTAAAAGTATGCATTAAGGTGTCGGTAATATCATAACAGTGGCAAAAACAAATGTAGACATTAATAAATGCTTTTCTATAGCTTCCAAAATATTTTTTACAATGGTGGAGTAGTGCCAAGATGGAGGCGTGGTGGCTTCAAAACAGCACCCTTGTCAGTCATCTAATGTATATATAAATAATTGATTGTGCAGGATCCTGAAGGACTAGTAAGAGATACAGTGAGGGGAAAAAAGTATTTGATCCCCTGCATGATCAGTCTATAATTTTAATGGTAGGTTTATTTGAACAGTGAGAGACAGAATAATAACAAAAAAAATCCAGAAAAACGCATGTCAAAAATGTTATGAATTGATTTGCATTTTAATGAGGGAAATAAGTATTTGACCCCTCTGCAAAACATGACTTAGTACTTGGTGGCAAAACCCTTGTTGGCAATCACAGAGGTCAGACGTTTCTTGTAGTTGGCCACCAGGTTTGCGCACATCTCAGGAGGGATTTTGTTCCACTCCTCTTTGCAGATCTTCTCCAAGTCATTAAGGTTTCGAGGCTGACGTTTGGCAACTCGAACCTTCAGCTCCCTCCACAGATTTTCTGTGGGATTAAGGTCTGGAGACTGGCTAGGCCACTCCAGGACCTTAATGTGCTTCTTCTTGAGCCACTCCTTTGTTGCCTTGGCCGTGTGTTTTGGGTCATTGTCATGCTGGAATACCCATCCACGACCCATTTTCAATACCCTGGCTGAGGGAAGGAGGTTCTCACCCAAGATTTGACGGTACATGGCCCCGTCCATCATCCCTTTGATGCGGTGAAGTTGTCCTGTCCCCTTAGCAGAAAAACACCCCCAAAGCATAATGTTTCCACCTCCATGTTTGACGGTGGGGATGGTTCTTGGGGTCATAGGCAGTATTCCTCCTCCTCCAAACACGGCGAGTTGAGTTGATGCCAAAGAGCTCCATTTTGGTCTCATCTGACCACAACACTTTCACCCAGTTCTCCTCTGAATCATTCAGATGTTCATTGGCAAACTTCAGATGGGCCTGTATATGTGCTTTCTTGAGCAGGGGGACCATGCGGGCGCTGCAGGATTTCAGTCCTTCACAGCGTAGTGTGTTACCAATTGTTTTCTTGGTGACTATGGTCCCAGCTGCCTTGAGATCATTGACAAGAACCTCCCGTGTAGTTCTGGGCTGATTCCTCACCGTTCTCATGATCATTGCAACTCCACAAGGTGAGATCTTGCATGGAGCCCCAGGCCGAGGGAGATTGACAGTTCTGTTGTGTTTCTTCCATTTGCAAATAATCGCACCAACTGTTGTCACCTTCTCACCAAGCTGCTTGGCGATGGTCTTGTAGCCCATTCCAGCCTTGTGTAGGTCTACGATCTTGTCCCTGACATCCTTGGAGAGCTCTTTGGTCTTGGCCATGGTGGACAGTTTGGAATCTGATTGATTGATTGCTTCTGTGGACAGGTGTCCTTTATACAGGTAACAAGCTGAGATTAGGAGCACTCCCTTTAAGAGTGTGCTCCTAATCTCTGCTCGTTACCTGTATAAAAGACACCTGGGAGCCAGAAATCTTTCTGATTGAGAGGGGGTCAAATACTTATTTCCGACATTAAAATGCAAATCAATTTATAACATTTTTGACATACATTTTTCTGGATTTTTTTGTTGTTATTCTGTCTCTCATTGTTCAAATAAATCTACCATTAAAATTATAGACTGATCATTTCTTTGTCAGTGGGCAAACATACAAAATCAGCAGGGGATCAAATACTTTTTTCCCTCACTGTATATAAAAGTCAAAGGGAGAGGCGGAGGGAAGGTCTGACTTCTGACTTCTTCTGACTTCTGTACCAGAGGACACCTGACATGCGGGGCCAAGAAATCAAATTATGCATATGAACATTTAACAGTGTGAAGACTGCATGTGGTTGTCTGCAAGGGTTAGGTCTGTAGGAGTCGTTACGCAATTAGACACAATGTGAGTAGGAGGAGGAAAGACACTGGGGAGATGGAGTTAGTAGGAGAACATATGGCCCCTGGTCAAAAGTACTATATTTACATTTTAGTCATTTAGCAGACGCTCTTATCCATAGCGATTTACAGTTAGTGAGTGCATACATTTTTCATACTGGCCCCCCGTGGAAATCGAACCCACAACCCTGGCGTTGCAGGCGCCATGCTCTACCAACTGAGCTACAGAGGCTACACTAAATAGGGAATAGGGTGCCATTTGGGATGTAACCTTAGTTAGAGATAATCTATGCTTAGAGGCTAGGATTATGGATAACGGAAGAATGAAGAAAAGTAAATTTGTCCACTCCGCGGATTCCCCTCCATCTAACTAACGACTGAAACTAAATGTGATTTATTTGTCTTTGTAATGTCTTTCTGGAGCCAATCGGCCAGGTCTATAGTGAGTGAGACTCTTGTCTCATTTATTTATCCTTTATTTAAACCAGGTGAATCCTATTGAGCAAAACATCTCGTTTTCAAGGGAGTCCTGACTGAGCCGCTTACATGCTATCAGACCGCGCGTGCGCCATCGCGCACAAGTTGGTTTTGTCCACCCACACCAGACGCGATCAGGACACGCAGGTTGAAATATCAAAACAAACTCTGAACCAATTATATTAATTTCGGGACAGGTTGAAAAGCATTAAACATTTATGGCAATTTAGCTAGCTTGCTGTTGCTAGCTAATTTGTCCTGGGATATAAACATTGGGTTGTTATTTTACCTGAAATGCACAAGTTACTCTACTCCGACAATTAATCCACAGATAAAACGGTAAAAGTTGGTTTTCTAGCTATCTTGCCTCCTTCAGGCTTCTTCTTCTTTGGACTTTATATGACGGTTGGCAACCAACTTTATGGTGCATTACCACGACCAACTGGACTGGAGCATAGACCTCAGTTCATCTTTCAATCATCCACGTGGGTAGATGCTCCTAAAAACCAATGAGGAGATGGGAGAGGCAGGACTTGCAGCGCGTTGAGCATCACAAATAGAACCGAATTCTATTTTAGCGCCTGGCCACGCAGACGCTCGTTGACGCGCGCGAGCAGTGTGGGTGCAATGATTGAATAACATGTATGTGTACATTTATTTTGCAACGCTCGTGCACGCGACTCGTGCGGTGTGGTCAACATGTTAGAGAGGAGGGGAGGGAGTCAAGAATTGATAGATTTGTAAATTAAGAGTAATTGAAGAGTAAATGAAGAGTAAAGTAACTAGGCTTACCTTGTGATTCAGTGGCCAGGCCCATTGTGATGTTCTTAATAAGGGGAGCACAGGGAATGTCCTCAGGAACCCTGTTAGATATGTCTGTCAGAACCATCGACAACCTGAGGGAGTGGGCAGAAGAAGAAAAACCATCATCATCAGGTGCTCATCCTATTTGTGCATGTAGTACTGTACACTACAAATAGTTACATCTTTCATCATGGTTGTTATGCACGTGATCCTAACAGAGTCAGGAAAATAGATGATAATATTAGTAAATGATAATATTAAACTAAATACCAAGTAAGCGGGAAATACTGCTTCTGAGATAAAATAATAAGTTAGATATCAAACCACAAAGAAATGCAAAAAACAATGTCATCAAAGCTGAGATCTCTGTATGCAACAGCTGTGAGCACAAGCTATTATCATGGGACAATGTGACACTTATTCAGCTTCATTAACCATTTATCTCCAAAGCAACAGCAAAACTTAGCCTGGTCCCAGACCTGTTTGTGCTGTATAGCCAACTTCTATGATCATTTTCATGCCAACGACCATAGAAGTTGGCAAGACAGAACAAACAGATCTGCAATCAGGCTAAAAACAGAAAACTAACTTGTGTGTCCAGTTGGTCTCGTTCATCATTAGCAAATGTCCAGTGTTCATCTTGGCTGCAGCCAGTACCAGACGAGCCACGCTGGCCTCCATGCTAGTGTTTGCCAGGCCCAGGAGACCCTGAACATTATGGAGAAGCAGCTGGGTGATATCAGCAGTCTGGGCCAGGGGGCCTCGGCCTGACTGTAACACTTGCAACATCTTCTGGATGGCATGTTCCAGGTCGCCTAAATGGTTAACAGACACAAATGTAGTCATTTCTACAGTGCTAGTTTTAATGTAAGCAGTCCTTCAAGGAGGAACAATTATATGTCGGTTAATGGTTAACGGAAACCAATTTATTTTGTTTTAATTAATTAATTTGAAATGTTTTGTAAATGTTTTGTTTGATTTTAATTGTAAATGGTCATCCATGGAGGAAGAAAGTATAGCTTGCCAGTCCCTGACACAAGAGGAACCATAGCTTTGTATCATAGTTCCCTGGTACAAAAAAGATGGAGAAACACTGACCTATGATACTGCCTGTTGTCTGCAGGCTGTGGTATGAAGACAGAGATACCAGGAGACTCTGAACCGAGCTGGAGATGACAGCCGTAGCGCCGGCAATGTCCCCAGTGGTGGCGGTGTAGTTGATAGCCATGGCGGTGATGTGCAAGATATGGAGGGAGACGTTGAAGTAGTGTTCACCGCCATCGGGCATCAGGGGCGCCACAGCCATGGCAGCCTGGTTGAGGGATGCCAACACGGCAGGTACGTGGACGGCTGATCCGGACATTGATAAACCTTCCCACAGGCTGGTGGACACCTGGTGATGATGATGTTTACAAATATGGCTAACACTTTACTGTTGACCCCCTTATGTATGCATTCATAAAGCATTTATAACAGCTACATAAGACATTATAACATCCGTCATAGGCAGTCATAAACATTACCTGTTGTGACACTCCAAACAGGCCCTGGACCATGGCACCAGCACTGGCCCCCTGGTACCCTGTTGGGGTGTTGGTTAGGTTGAGCATAGTAAGGATAGACAGGGTGACCTGCTTGGAGATCCCCAGGAAGGCTGGAGGGATCTGGGCCGTGTTGGAGACCCCAGAGAGTGCAGCGAGGAGGACCGGCTCCAGAGGGAGGACGCACATCCTCTGGTCCTCAGGCAGAAAGGCCACCAGGGCAAGGAAAGTCTGGTTGATCATAGCCTCTTTCTCTTGAGGGCTGCTGAAGTTGTGACTGGCAGCGGAGAGGTTGAACAGGGTATGTGTGGCTAAGGCACTGTTCAGGAGGAGAGGGTGGGTGATGGACTGGATCGGCTTCCCGCCCGGAAGGGCTGTCTCCCTAACGGAGGCAAGGAGATGGTCCAGAGAGGCAGAGAGCATGCTTGTAGCCTTCAGCATCTTCTTCATGTCCCGTGGGTGTGCAACCAGCAGTGCGAAGTCTTTCACCATCTGGCCAGAGGTGTTGAAGTACATCAGGCTGTCTGTGGGTAGGTAAGAGGTTAACGCAACAATGGTCTGGTCTAGAGCCATCACGTACGGATCCAGACTCATGTAAGCTTCTGGTCTGGACAGAGAGCTGAGGATGTTCTGGATGATGGCATTGATCTGAGATGTGATATCCGAGACCTCTTCAAGGTTATCAGCCAGGATGTCGTTGAAGGCAGTGAGAAACTGAACGGCCTTGTTGGATCCATTGTTGGAGCCACTGTAGATGATCCTAGCCACCTCAGCACTCAGCTGCCTCACCATATGCTCCACCCTCTGGGCGACCTGTAGTGGGGGATGCTGGGACAGCACCATGGCCAGGTCTACCATCTTGCCCAGGCCTGCTGACAACTTCTGTATCTTGGCCAAATCCTCCATGATCCAGTCTTCATTGGCTATCTCCATGAACAGATGACCGTACGCCTGCCACTGTCTGGGGAGGGTGAGGTAGGAGAGGATTCCCAGGGCCACGTCGATGGGGTCCTCCAGAGGAGGGGAGACTGAGGGACCCCATGTCATGGCTCCGGCCATGGCCCTGGACATGGACCTGGAGACGTTCCCCATGGGTGGTAGTGGTGGTGGTACCATGCCCATGTCCCTGGAGACTCCTTTGAGCACTACAGACAGGTCAGGGTTGCCGAAGAACATATGGGCGGTCTCCATGATGTCTGGCATGGTGGGTGGCATTGCCAGGGCCTGGAACAAGACAGGGTAGTCCAAGTAGAACAGATCCAGGAAGTCATCCATTGGCTCTTTCATTGGCTCCTCCCTCATCAATTCGCGGCGGACCCTCCTGGACACACCCTCATGGTGGCGGGGGAAGGGACTCCTGCTCTGCCCGGTCATCTCGCCTTGTAATTGGCTCAGGTAGTAGTCCAGCGGGGTGAAGATATCACTGGTCTGAGATACCTAAACATTCAGAAAAAAAGGCCAGCAAACATTTGAATGTGATTTGCAATTGAAGCTTAGTGTTTATTTTGTTTAACTTATAATAACAACATGTCTTAATTAACCACACGCATACATTTCAGCTTGCACCTTCCTCAGTGCGTGTGTGGTGTGTCTGGGATACCTGTCTGAGCATGGTGATGACGTGCTCCGCTAGCTCCACAAACATCTCAGAGATGGGAGGGAAGGGGACGCTCATCTGTCTCAAAGTGGATAAGAAGGCCTTCACCACCTCATACATCCTGGGCAGAGCCTGGGTTACCAGGTCCAAACCCGGAGGCGGTAGAGGAGCCCCACCAGCTGCTGAACTCAATAGCCTTCTCCAGGATGAGGTTTGTGGCGTTGGTAGATAGGAACTGCTCCATGACGCCGTAGACCATAGGCCAGTCTCCCAACAACTGTACACGGACCAGCTCCCTGACCATGTCTTTCAGCAGCTTGTTGATCGACCCTCCGTCTGGCCTGGAGAAGATGTTCTCTGTGAATGGATGAATGAAAGAATGGATGGATGAATTAATTAATTTCAATTTCTGTCTTGTCACATTCATGTGACCAATCGCTTATGTGATAATTAGTCACCATTTTAAATGAAATAACAATACAAAGTTTTACCTGTGAGTATGGCCTGGATGGAGTCCTGGGTGAGATTAGACCCAGTGAGGAGCATCTCCAGGGCTTCCATCAGGAGGTGCTGGGCTGATGTGGTATTCTAGAATAGAATAGAATAGAATAATTTATTGTCCATTTGGTGAAAACTGAAATTCGTCACCCCCAGACACACACACACACACACACACACACACACACACACACACACACACACACACACACACACACACACACACACACACACACACACACACACACACACACACACACACACACACACACACACATTGAGAGGAGCTTGTAGGCTACCTGAAGTAGATGGCTGTTCTCCAGAGTGTAGTTTAGGGTCATCTCTACAGCCAGGAGGTAGGGTCTCATCCAGGGGTTGTCCATGGCCAGGGCATCCAGCTGCTCCAAGCTCATCCTAAGACCCTGAGTACTGGGGAGGACAAGAGACATGGATTAGGACCAATGACTGTACAAATAATCATTTACAACAAGAATATACAGGTCTGTATGTTTAAGGTTATGACTGTGAGTGAGGACAATAGGGGGCGGTTTCCTGGACACAAATTAAGCCTAGTCCAGGCCTAAAAAGCAAGCTCAATGGAGAATCTGTGTCTGGGAAACAGGCCCTATGTGTTCAAGACATCGATAAATTGAATGCTTTCACAGATATTGTAATTTCATACATGCAGGACAGAAATGCTACTTATGTGTCAGTGAAACTACTCTCCCATTAGTGAAATAGCAGCAAGAGATATGTTGGTGTCAGAAACAAAGAATAGAATAGCATATAGCTAAAGTTGGATAGCCTGTGGTTAAATTTAAACAGTTTATTTACTGCATGCTTTCATGTACTGCAACTGCTACACTTTTCCCCTACATAAAATAATAATGACTCAATAATGCCATAATTTCTCAATCTGGATTGAATATAACCATATATTTTTGGGGTACTTATTCATAATTTGGGGATATAATTTAGGCTGTGGTATAATATTTATTCTTTCTTTGGGATATTTCCACGACATTGGTCAGTGATCTACGACTCTCGCCGTCGAACTTCCCAAATGGCACCCTATTCCATTATTCCCTTCATAGTGCGCTATCACATTGGGCCCTGGTCAAAAGTAATGCATTATATAGGGAATAGGGTGCCATTTGGGACACAGATGTGATTGATTCCATGATATATGTATAATGTGATTCTTATCAGCAGTGAGTTCATTATTACAGAAAAGGAAATCAATTAAAGAGGAATCAGAGACTCAGATAACTGAATAATAGTTAGACATCAATATCTACACACACACGCGCACACACACACGCAGAGTCACAGGACCTGTGTTCAGGCAAAGAGTCAAACGAAACTAATGCACATTAATTTGTTCCAAATTCTCTCATGTAATTTAGGAAGGAATCTAAATTGGTTTGCCTCTGGTTCGTGTGTGTAGGTGATAAAATAACTGTGATTTGTGTATTTATTGGTTATTTAATTCTCTCTCTAACCCTCTGAGATAAACATGCTTTCTGCTCCTCCTTCTCGATGTCCAGTATTTGAGCACACCCAGGGCCCGTATTCACAAAGTGTCTCAGAGAAGGAGGGCCGTTCCAGGATCAGTTTTGCCTTCCAGATCATAATGAATACGATTATATGGACAGGGCGAACCTGATCCTAGATCAGCACTCCTACTCTGGGACGCTTTTTGAATACAGTCAGAGAAACTGCTTATAAACAACTTATAAAGCAAACCGGGTGTGTCAGTCGGGTATACTGAGAAAGGCAGAATACACAAAAACAGAAAGCAGCACTGACTAGCACTCTTCCTCTGACTGTCAATGTTGACCTTTTGTTGACCCAAAACAACCGTCAGTGGCACATAGAAACAAAGTCATGCCAACGTTGTGTGAAGGTCTGGTCAGGTAAGTATTTGTCACTATTATACCCTTTTTCCACTATTGTCCTGACCCAAACCGTCCTATACTGATATTTTAATTTCACATTGTCCTTTCCAGCCACTACCATATGGTGGATACGTAACTGTAAGGTTCTGTATTTATTTTCTTAGTCAACCTTGTGTTCTTGAACGTAGCCCTGTTTCTTTGTGTTCTTGAACGCAGCCCTGTCTTTCATTTTTGTTCATTGATTTCACCTGTGTTAGTTACTCAACTGGTCCTTATTTAGTTCAATTCATTCTGTTTGTGCCTTGTGAGGTATTGTTCGTTTTGACTCTACTAAGCCTTTTCCTAGCCTGTTTGTGAAAACCAGTTATAGCCTTCAGTCCTAGTTTTTGATTCTCCTGCCTGTTTGCCTACCTGTGTATGACCATTGCCTGCTTGTGCCCACGATTCCTGCCTTCTGCGAAGGCGAAATAAACACCTGCCGCGCTCTGCGCGTGAATCTACACCTTTTTCTCCCTGAGTATTCATTACAGTAACCAGGCCAATGCAGTAGAGCTCAGCTCGGCTTAGCTCAGATCAGTCATGTGAAAAGGGCATTAGTGTTTTAGTTGTTAATTAATATATTATAATAATATTTAGCAGACACTTTTATCCAAAGTGACATAGTCACATTTTTCATATGGGTGTCCCCAGGGGGATTTGAACCTGCAGACCTTGGCATTGCAAGTGCCATGCTATACCAACTGAGCCACACAGGACTCACCTCTGGCTCAGTTGTAGTTGGAGGAACTGTGCGTTCCAGTGAGCCTGGTCCTCGGCGGTCATATTAAGTCCCTGTAGATGGTATAAGGTGTTGAACAGCATAGCACCAAGCTGCTCAGTAACTATGGTGCGGTTAACCTGGACCCAGTAGAACGAACGCAGAGCTGCCACGATCACAGCAGCTGTAGTGTCCACTGATCCTGTCCCATGCCCCATTCCCATGCCCTGGGAAGAGAAGACAGCAGTAGACAACAGGCAAAGGAGTTGTGTCAGTAATGTAGCAGCAGAGTTTACTTGGTGATACCATAGTGCCCTCTAGTGGGAAAGTTTTACGAACTGAAATCCTACTGATGTGTGATTACTACTACTCACAGTCATGTTTGGAGTGGCATAGACATAGTTGGATGCAGCGTAGGCCTCCATGACTGGTAGCAGGCTGATGTTACACCACAAGCCCAGGCTGGCCTCACTCAGCCCAGCCGCCTCTCTAACCGGCTCCCAGGCTTTCAGGACCTGCCTACACTCCAAGGCCGTACTCCTATTAGCAGCCTATGATGGGTGAAAAACAGCAACAAGGAGGGACAGTGAATTATGATTTCTATACAAATGTTTAAAAAACAAAACAGCTTAACAGAAGAATGGGACTAAATAATAATAATAATAAAATAACAAAGTAAGTGACATCAAGACAAAAGTCGGAGGACACTGGGGAAATGGACTCATTCTTCTCCACAAGCAGTTCCAGTAAAGCGAAGGGCGGAAGATTCACACCGTTATCTGTGATAATCTTACAGACATCACACTGTCTCATACACACAATGGGGGATAAAATATCTGCCTTATTTGAATTCTTTTTTCCGGAGAGTCATCAGATTCTCTCCAGGGTAAACACACAACAATACAGTATATCATATGAAGGCTAATAGAACAGACAATTAAGTAAGACTGTTTAGTGTGTCAATAAATCTTCTACAACCTCCATATTTATGTAGAAACACTTCCTTTTCTTGTGTAAATATGTATGGCATGACTAAGAGTTTGGTCACATGAAAGGTGATATATTGAGAATGAATCATAAAACCTACAAAAACTCAGTGTTATAGTCTTTCATTGTCTCATTGTATTGTTGGATCAACCACAACTTGAAAGGGAGGCGAGGCAGCTGTGACTTGTTCTCTTTCTATTCATCTTCTATTGTCCCTTATTGTCCAACTTTGGGCTGGGGCTGGACTCTCATGGGAAAACTTTACCCTGATCCACATTAACCCTTTTCACACTGTCGTGCCAACCCGAACTGAACTGGCTCTGATATTTTATTTCAATTTGTCCTTTTCAACACGGTTCCAGCAACTATGGTGGTTGTGTAACCAGGCCAGCTCAGTACAGTTAGTTTTGGCTTGGCTGGGTTTGGCTAGGTAATGTGAAAAGGCCTATTGTGATACCTCTCCCCCACAGCTTAAGGTCGTGAAAACTGTTTTCAGCCAACTTTTGTAGCCAATATTAACAGGTAATGTGGCTAACAACGAGATGGGGTATGAGAGACTGGGACAATCAGTTTTAGCAACGGTCAACTGAAATGTATATTTTTTTTACTAAAAAAAAAGTATCTTGGGCCACTGTTTAGAGAGCTAAGGTGTGTCTTTGCTCATTGTGCTGTCATTAAGAACATCTCTGAAGCAGATAAAAAAGTATATTTGGGACCATCCCTGAGACTGTTCTCTCAGTGACAACGTCTTTTAACAGATATCTAGACAGACACACAATAGCCTACCCAAGTCAGGAGGAACGTTCAAAACATGATGAGCCTATTGTCTTTCAACAGCAGCATAGCTTGAGTTAATTAGTTCCACTGAAGCTATCAGACCGGTAAGTTCTTTTAAAACCATGAAATCATGTAATTGGCCCATGTGTTATCTGTTGTGAAGAGCATGACATTCCTATTGAGCACTGAGGACATTGTGTTACCAACCAGGTAGCCATGTAAATGTCACGAAGACGGTGAGAACCAGCAGCTATCACTAAGGCAGAAAGAAGAAAACCGAAAGAATGCAGCCAGTGCTCTGACCTAACCTGTATGGCAGCTTCCACGGTCAGCTCGATGGCCGAGGGCATTCCATCAGACACGTCAGCCATGTTGAAATCACTGCCATTCACAGCCTGTACTATCTCTGACATCAGGACAGTCAGTGGCTTCTGGAAACTTAAGATGAATGCTGTGAAAGAGAGAGAAAGAGAGTTGGGGGGCAGTGAGAGAGAGAACATAAAAAAACACCCATTGTTTTACAATGGGGCACTTATGGGAACATATGTGAGCAACTAAGATACAGTTGAAGTCGGAAGTTTACATACACCTTACCCAAATACATTTAAACTCAGTTTTTCACAATTCCTGACATTTAATCCTAGTAAAAAGTCTGTCTTAGGTCAGTTAGGATCACCCCTTTATTTTAAGAATGTGAAATGTCAGAATAATTGTAGAGAGAATGATTTATTTCAGCTTTTATTTCTTTCATCACATTCCCAGTGGGTCAGAAGTTTACATACACTCAATTAGTATTTGGTAGGATTGCCTTTAAATTGTTTAACTTGGGTCAAATGTTTCGGGTAGCCTTCAAAAAGCTTCCCACAATAAGTTGGGTGAATTTTGGCCCATTCCTCCTGACAGAGCTAGTGTAACTGAGTCAGGATTGTAGGCCTCCTTGCTCGCACACGCTTTTTCAGTTCTGCCCGCAAATGTTCTATAGGATTGAGGTCAGGGCTTTGTGATGGCCATTCCAATACCTTAACTTTGTTGTCCTTAAGCCAATTTGCCACAACGTTGGAAGTATGCTTGGGGTCATTGTCCATTTGGAAGACCCATTTGCGGCCAAGCTTTAACTTCCTGACTGATGTCTTGAGATGTTGCTTCAATATATCCACATCATTTTCCTTCCTCATGATGCCATCTATTTTGTGAAGTGCACCAGTCCCTCCTGCAGCAAAGCACCCCCACAGCATGATGATGCCACCCCCATTCTTCACGGTTGGGATGGTGTTCTTCGGCTTGCAAGCGATCCCCTTTTTCCTCCAAATATAACGATGGTCATTATGGCCAAACAGTTCTATTTTTGTTTCATCAGACCAGAGGACATTTTTCCAAAAAGTACAATCTTTGTCCCTATGTGCAGTTGCAAACCGTAGTCTGGCTTTTTTATGGCGGTTTTGGAGCAGTGGCTTCTTCCTTGCAGAGCAGCCTTTCAGGTTATATCGATATATGACTCGTTTTACTGTGGATATAGATACTTTTGTACCTGTTTCCTCCAGCATCTTCCCAAGGTCCTTTGCTGTTGTTCTGGAATTGATTTGCACTTTTCACACCAAAGTACGTTCATCTCTAGGAGACAGAACGTGTCTCCTTCCTGAGCGGTATGACGGCTGCGTGGTCCCATGGTGTTTATACTTGCGTACTATTGTTTGTACAGATGAACGTGGTACCTTCAGGCATTTGGAAATTGCTCCCAAGGATGAACCAGACTTGTGGAAGTCTACCATTTTTTGTCTGAGGTCTTGGCTGATTTCTTTTGATTTTCCCATGATGTCAAGCAAAGAGTCACTGAGTTTGAAGGTAGGCCTTGAAATACATCCACAGGTACACCTCCAATTGACTCAAATGATGTAAATGAGCCTATCAGAAGCTTCTAAAGCCATGACATCATTTTCTGGAATTTTCCAAGCTGTTTAAAGGTACAGTCAACTTAGTGTATGTAAACTTCTGACCGACTGGAATTGTGATACAGTGAATTATAAGTGAAATAATCTGTCTGTAAACAATTGTTGGAAAAATGTATTGTGTCATGCACAAAGTAGATGTCCTAACCGACTTGCAAAAACTATAGTTTGTTAACAAGACATTTGTGGATTGGTTGAAAAACAAGTTTTAATGACTCCAACCTAAGTGTATGTAAATTTCCGACTTCAACTGTAGGTATTTGCATAAATAACTTTCAATGCTAGGCCACAGTTCACTAAATCGTTGTTGGTTCCCTAACTTGTGTATCTAATATACTGTATGTCTGGAATCCAGAATTACTAGCAATCTGTGGTACAAAGAAAACAACAGTGCTGTTAAAGGTGTATGGAAAGCTGCCTCTCAGTCTCACCTGTCTCAGCCTGCATGTTGTTGACCAAGGCTCCCATGACTTGGCTCATCACAGAAACAGCAGGGGGGACAGAGTCCCACACCGGGGTGTCCCTGAGGGTCGACAGGAGGGCCCCAAGCATCCCCTCCAACCTGACATTACAACACACCACAGGGAAGCACTTGGTTTAGAAACTTTACAACCACCACAATACAGCTAGCTTAAAACTATCATTATATACACATAACAGGTGATTATGTTGTGGCCCTCAATACTGTAGTATAAAATATAATACTATACTACTAAAACAAACATTAATGTTTTCTCCCCACTCATTAAAATATAATACTATACTACCATACTATAGTTAAAACACCATGGTAATTCTCTCCCCTCTCCCCTCTCCCCATCTAACCAGATACCACTTTCTTCCTTGGACCGATGACCCCTGACCCCTTAACGTACTTGTCCCAGCTGCTTTGGTTAGCCTGCTGAGTGAGGATCTGTATCAGCACAGGGAGGATGTCAGAGAACACCTCAGGAGAAGGCAGCGGGAAAGGCATGATACCCTGCTGCCCAAGGATGAGGGGTAGCACAGAGTTTAGGAGACCAGTCATCTGAAAGGATACAAAAATATCATGTTACTAGTGTTCTCCATTGGAATACTATTAACAATAGATCAATTTATTAAGGCATGGTTATTAGATGTAATATGTGTGTTATGATGTCATTTCATAGTGTTGTGTGAACCAGGTTAAAGTTAGTAGATAAGTGAATTGGTGCAGCACAGTCTGAATAACATGGATTCAATTCTGTCAAGGAAGATTACTGATGTATATCTTAGAATGATTGATGGATATGATATACTGACTTGGGTACAGGGGAATAACATCAGAGAAGGGAGTGCCCACTGATGGTTACCAGATGTGGTTGAAGAAACGTGTAACAGAGGGTATATAAGTGAGAGGGTCTCTTTGTCTAGTTAGTTCGAAATGACAAGAGGCAAAGCACTGTCTGTTTGTTATAACGAACCATGGTACCTATTAAATATTTCTATGAACTCCCCAGCTAATTGATAAATATCTTCTTGCATCATGAATTACTTGATACCCGAGAAACTCATCATAACAATGTGTAATTGGAAATTGCCTTCTTTGTTAGTCTTCTACAAAAGTATTCAATAATTCCTTGGAAATTAGACAGAAGGAAAGATTGACAAACTTAAATTGAACTATTGGAATTGTCCACACTATGAGCTACTGTGACTCTTGCATGTCAGTGAGACAGCTCAATCTTTGTAGGAACCCATTGAAGAAAAACAATGACACATATTTTAAGCTGTAAACTGGACAAACCACTAATTATACAATCTTGATATCTGCATCGGATGGCATTTTGTGGTTTGGTATGTTGTTGACTGTCTGAGGTGTATGTCATACAACTGACAAGCCTACAGCACATGTATAAAAATTACTTTGCAGAACTGCCACTGTTGTAGAAGGAATTAGATTACACTGAGAATAAACACAAAATTGTAATTTATTATGCATACCTGGCCAGCAAGGTTTTCAGCCGTCATATCATTCCCAATGTTAGCCCATAGACTCATGTTGCTCCATAGACTTGTGTTGCTCCAAATGCTCATGTTGCTCCAAGGCCCCATGTTGCTCCCTGTTGAAGATAATAATGAAAAATGACAGCATATTGTTAGTTATTAACATTACATATGTAGCCAACAATCAAACACATTGATAGCTTCTGTTAGCTAACATACATCATTGTTTTCCAAGAAGACATAGATTCTGACAGCGAGACAGATAGATGTACAGTATGTTGCCATGTTGATTTCTGGCTACAGTTAATATACAGATTCAGACATTGTTTTCCTAGAGGACACAAACTCTGACATTGGCATGTCAATTTACAGTGCTTAAAGTGTCTGGCTGAGATCCTGGTAGGGTTATTTAATAATGAAGTGTATGGTGCCAGCGATACTAAATCACAGGCCATTAGGACAGCAGACGCACTGTCCCAAATGGCACCCTATTCCCTATATAGTGCACTACCCTATGGTCCCTGGTCAAAAGTAGTGCACTACTGTATGTAGAGAATAGGGTGCCATTTGGGACTAGTCCTACAGTGATATTGAGGAGCTGTTATGGGCAACTTGCCTTGGCTTTGGCTGGAGTCCAGGATGAAATGAGTGATGTTGATGATGACAGAGAGATAGACATGGGCACTGCTGTTAGGGTCCAGGAGGCCCTGCACCATCTTCAGTTCGTTCACAATGCTGAGAGGAAAGAAAATGTTATTGTTATCGTTATGTTATTGTTTATCGTCATCATCATCAGCAGCAGCAAAAGTAGCAGCATCATTGTCATCTTCTCCACTATGAGGGGAGGAAGTAACAAAACAACCTGATTATAATATGTGTAGTCATCATCACCATAAGCCCGATGATAATATTTCATCATCCTAAAAAACACTGAAGTCTTCTGATTTACAGTGAGCATTTAGAATCAGTAAGGTTGCATCCCAAATGGCACCCTATTATCTAGGAACTACTTTTGACCAGGTTCCACACATAGTACTACTGCCATTTGACAGTCCACACACAGTACAACTCACATCTCATTCCACTTATCAGGCCCGCCAGGTCTGGAGACGGTCTCAAGGTAGGTGCTAATGAACCTGAACCCTGGCAACAGATACCCAACAGCTTCCTGGGGGACCAGCAATCTAACCACGCCCTCTGCCCTCCTGACGATCTCCATGGTGATGTTGAGTGACTGGGCGTAGCTCATGTTAGGTCTGAATGCCAGCTGGAGGGTACCCTGGAGAATACCCTGGATCTCTGCAGTGACATTCTGTGGTGCGAGGCCCATGGTGAAGCCACTCAGGACAGAGCTTGCAGCATCCATGATCGACTGGATGAACTGGTCACTACCCATACCTCCCTCCTGACTGGCCACCAACAGAACCTGAAAGGAGAGGAGAGGAAAGGATCAAATAAAAAAAGAGACGAGAAGAAGGGAGAAGATAAGAGAAGAAAAGAGAAGAGACCAGATTTTGTGTTATAAATCCCCAAGTGGAAATGAGTTTGTCTGTCATACTACAGCCATAGGGGCTGTAATCCTAATGTAAAAGTCAAATTTTTCACTTTGTCTCCAATTGACAGTTACAATTCACCCCATTGTAAAATATTTACAATTACTGTCAACATTAAAAATAATCACAAGACATGGACTCCCTTGTAAAATAATTATTCTGACCTCAATGGGACTACCTGTGTAAAATGAAATTACCTGGTTGAGAGCCTGGCTGTTGTGTTGGATGGCTGTGAGGTAGGCCTGTTGCTCTGGGGTGAGGAAAGGGCCGAGGGTCCTCAGAAGCTGCTGGAGGTCCATCCCAGGAGAAGTCACGTTCATCATCCCACCGCTTATGTTCCATTGCAGCATATTGGTCAGGACCTGGGTCACACTGGGCTCTCTCAGCCAATCCTGTGTCAGGTTGAAGTACTCCCTGATCTGGGTTTCGACCTCGCTTAACAAGCTGTGGTTTAGCCAGTTTAAGTTACCGAAAGAGTTCTGCAAAACCTCTTGGTAAGCAATGTTTAACTTGAACAGGTCCAGGTTACCCTTGACTATCCTGATGACCGATTGGAACAGTTTCACTCACGTCTGTCCCGTTGATGGGGTATTGGATACTTCTCATCAAATACTCAACCTCTTTACTAACAAAGATGGTAAATTCGGTCTGAGAGAGTTGGAGAGCCAGCTGCATCTCTGCCATATGGAAGAAAGGGTCCAGGAGTTCTGAGAAGGTACTGGTTCTGGTCACATTCTCTAGTTTCCTCAGGTACCACTGTGCTATCTCCAAATACACCTTCTGTGCATAAACCGGGTCCTTCATCAGTGGATCAGTGGAATTGAGTGAGTAGGACTGAAGACTGTCCAGAGGCGGACAGTTTGATCAAACCCTCAAGGACATGGAGCTCGTTACTGATCAGCTCCACAGACTCCAGGTTGAGATGCTGTAGATTCTCTCTGATGCTGGCTATGGTAGCTGTGATAGCCTCAGATGTTGGCACGAGTGGGGTTGGGCCAGAGCCGGCGGCAAGACCGATACTCACAGAGTGGTTGACCAGGATGGGGAGGAGGGATATTAGCGCTGTGCAGTTGGACTGGCTTCCCGGAGGTATAGGCAGCGCAAGGATAAAACCAGTGACTCTCTCACTCAGCTCCAGTGCACACTGGGCCAGGCTGATGGGATTGTTTGGGCTGGGGCTCCAGGCATTGTTGCATATTGATGACACCCATGATGCTAGCCAGTAGAGCTGGTGCGTTGGTTGCTCCGGCCAGGGCAGCCATCTTCTCCAGCTCCCCCAGGGTAAAGTTGGATTGTAGCATAGCTTGCTGGAGAGAGGATATGCTGATGTTGGGCGTCGATGTGATCTGCTGGAGGAAGAGGTCAGTATGGGCCACGGTCTTGAGGACAGACTCTGGCGTGGCGGACATATTGTTAGACATGTCGGTATCATGCCAGGCAAAGAGGAGAGTGAGCAGGTTGACCGTCACTTTCATGGACTCCTGGCTTGGCATGCTGGGTTTAGCTTGACCTCCACTGAACACGTAGTCCCCACTGGCTGCCAGCAGAGCCTCAACTGCCCCTGTCAGGATCTGGAACACCTGTAATAATAATACAAATAATAATCATAATAATAATCATAATACATTGGATTTAAAGGATAATGGATAGCAATTTTTTTTGAAAAAACCAACCTGTGGGACCGCAGCAGTGCAGTCCTGACCTGCCGCTGTACATGACACCAAGCTCTCCATCACAGCCTGGAAGTGGCTGACCATCCCCAGGTACTGCTGTTGGAGCTGTGGAGGTAGCAGGGCAGTGAGTCTCTGTAGTAGTGCCTGCAGGGCAGGCTGATCCCCAGCCTGGCTGAGCTGTTGGAAGGACAGGAGCTGGAAGAGGTCCACCACAGCCAGATGGAGGTCTGTCACCTGAGCTGTGGTGAGGTTCCCATCCGGCAGCAGGAGCTGCTCATATCTGTGTAGCTGTATAGTCGAGACCAAAAACTCCTGTAGTTGGATCACATACCCCAGGAGAATAGGCGTTGAATCACCGTTAGGAGCATCCAGCACAGTCTTCAGCTGCTCCATGGCCCGCAGGATGTTGTCTGCTATGCCCGCTGAGCTCTGGTTGGTGAGAGGATGGAGCAGGTGTCTGAGGAAGGCCAGGGAGGTGGCATTGAAAGAGCCAGAGTAGGTGATCAGAGCGTCTCCCATACTGAGAGACAGAGGCAGGGTCAGGTTTCCCTGAGCTACTGAGAGCCACTGCATCAGCAGAGCCTCCAGCCCGGCCAGGTCTGTCATGTTGGCGTTGTCGACGGGGTGCCCGGTAATTAGATGCTGGGTGTTCTTGGCCACCTGAGAAGTTTTAATTTACTTTATTATTATTACATATTATAATATTTATTTGTGTTTTAATGATGTTCTGAAGCTTAATCAAATCTACAGTTTCTTAAAAACATTGATCTTGAACAAATAATAAATTATACAATTACAAAATACTATACGGTGTGGTTAGTCCTGGACTAAAAATCATGCTCAATGAAGAGTCTCCATTGAAAATGCTTTCTAGTCCAGAATTAGGCTTAATCTGTGTCCAAGAAACCACCACTAATGTTTTTGGCTACCTTCAGGGCAATGGCCATCACAGATGAGGCGTTGGGGGCCTGGGATCCACCTCCCTGGGTCCACAGGGCTTCCAGAGGCTTCAGGCCCAGGGCCTCTAACATCTCCCCCAGGAGAGAGAGGGGCAGCTCGGGGTCCAAGGACGTGAGGTTGGAGACCAGCGTGATGTCCTTGTTCAGGATGGTGATCAGGTTCTCCAGGAGGGCTCGGATGGAGCCGTCCCCTGGGACTAGGTCAGAGCTGAGGAGCTGGGTGACCGTGCCTGTGGCAATGTTTCCAAGGACAGCCTGGAGGAAAGACAAGTAGCCCTGGACATGCCTGTGGAAAAGAGAAAAAAAATGTTTGTTATCTTCTCACATAAGCAACTAGAAAAGGTACATTTACATTTGATAAACACATATAAACCACTAATCAAAATCAATAACAAATCATTTGTTTTAGTAATAATCTACTAGTCTATATGTTATAATAATCTAGTCATAAAAAATATGATCAATTGACAACAACAAAACAGTTGTTCGATGAGAGTGCATCACTAAGAAGTAGGTGTGAATCGGAGTCATTACAATATGAGGAACAATTACACACAGTGAGCAGGAGGAGGAAAGACACCAGGGGAGATAAGTCTGTGGCAGAAGTGGAGTTACAGTAGTTACATAACACTATACTTAGAGGCACGGGATGCATCCCAAATGGTACCCTATTCCCTATTTAGTGCTCTACTTTTGAAAAGAGCCCTATGGGCCCTGGTCAAAGTTAGTGCACTATATAGAGAATATGGTGCCATTTGGGACACAACCTATATCATAGACTCCACACCTATGGACAGGCTCTATCCTTCTCTGCTCTATGAGCTTACTTACCTAAGTAATGTAGCAGGATTAGCAGAAAACTCCTGCACCAGAGCAGCGGTGGTTGGGACAAACTGCTGCCAGGTAAACCCAGTATTGCAGATAGGGGCATATGTGGTAGAATCAACAGTACCTGTTATGACAGTACATGTATATTGTTTTAAAACAGATAGAGCTCATGAGCGGAACAGACAGAGCATGCGTCCAAAATGGCACCCTATGTAGTGCGCTACGTCTGACCAGGGGGCTCTGGTCAAAAGAAGTTCACTCTATAACGAATAGGGTGCCATTTGGGACAGACAGAGTATCTTGTCATTATGTATCTTTGTCGCACACCAAGACAACCAGGGCAATGAGTAGTCACGTAATCGATATGTACACACGTGCAATGGCGGCCATATTGCCTAAAATGCATGTAGCTTTGAGCATTGGATATGGATACTGGATATTGCTGACTATAAACGGTTGTTTATTCCTCAATAATGAGGAATACAATTACTAGCTCTCAGCAGCTTCTGTTCCATGGTATGATTGGAACTTAACTGATCAGTTATAACAAGAAGTACATTTCATACTGTCTATTTATGTATTTGTGAGCATATGTCCTGTCTAAACCTCTTTAAGGAATACCTGGGATAGGCTAAAGTATTCCTTCTAACCCCCCCCCCCCCCCCCCCCAAATTGTAAAGTGGTTATCCCACTGGCTATAGGGTGAACGCACCAATTTGTGAGTCGCTCTGGCTAAGAGCGTCTGCTAAATGACGTTAATGTGCCCTTGAGCAAGGCACTTAACCCTAATTGCTCCTGTAAGTCGCTCTGGTTAAGAGCGTCTGCTAAATGACTAAAATGTAAATGTAAATGTAAACCTAACCCTAACCCTCCAGGCGGTCTACTTGCACATCAAGCTGCCTCACCTTACAGAAACAGGTAATAGGCTCCTACCCTATGGGCCATTCTTATGTGTTCGTGAGTGCTTTATGTATTGTATTGGTGTATGCGTGTCTGACTCACAATTTGGTGGAGCGGTGACGTTGGGCTGGTAGTTCATTATCCAGTAGGCGATGTGGAAGTATGACTCCATAGACGGCCACAGTGGGCTGTTCTGGAGGTGAGAGCCAACAGTGATGAACGCCCCCAAACCCCTGAGAGACATAAAGAAATGGATGTTGAGTTAATAAATGACAACCAACTCGTAACTTATACACACTTACGTATCCCACTAACATATTGGATAGAAATACCTTCTCACCTAGAGTTGTGGCGGTCATGACATTTTGTCAACCGGTTATTGTTATGCAAAAGACTGCTGGTCTCATGGTAATTGACCCTTCATTAACATAAACACGTTTAGCATCTCCAGGCCTCCATGCATAGAAAGCTGCTGATGCACACCTTTGGAACATCTACATTTAAAAAAAGTCTAATGAATCAATGTAATATACACCATCACAATACATCCATCATTTATTTTAGTCAGGTCTAAAGAAACATTATGATATGAAGAAAATGTATTTCAGATTAACAGAATATGAGTCTGCCTAATGTATGTTATCTGGCTATTCGCCATGCCATAGGCTGTAGGCTTGTTCATTTAGCTGACAAGATATACGTAAAAGTCCCGTGCCATTATTTTATATTATATGATTTGACAGTAAGAAGAACATAATTGAACTTAGCTGAATAAAATAGAAAGGATTTTTTCCCTGTCCGGAGCGAGTGCACATATGTTTTGTTTTTACACTGCTGCTGTACCCCCGCACATTGACTCGGTACCAGTACTTCCTGTATATAGCCTCGATATTGTTGTTTTATTGTGTTATTTGTATTTAATTTTTTACTTTAGCTTATTTAGTAAATATTTTCTTAACTCTATTTCTTGAACTGCATTGTTGGTTAAGGGCTCGTGAGTAAGCATTTCACGGTAAGGTCTACACCTGTTGCGCATGTGACAAATACGATTTGATTTGATATGAAGTTGTAAGGGATCGGGGGTTGGCTGGGTCTAGACAGAGTCTGACACTTCCCCGATCTACAGAGAGGGGGAGTCATCAGACTCGATCTGGTTCACCTGAGTTCTGAGCACACCTGTCAGTAATTAGTGTAGGATATAAGGTGTGCTCAGAAGTTCAGTCGGTGCGAGGTATTGTTCCATTGTGACTTGCTAAGCGTTTTGTTCCGAGAGAGAGAGAGAGAGTTTGTTGTTTTTGATTACCCGTGTATCCGACCTGTGCCTTGTTGTTTGACTCCCCGAATTGCTTAATCCTCTACTTGTCTACCCCAGTGATTACCGTTCTCTGATCCTGTGCCTGTGACCTCGACTACGACTAAGCCCGCTCCCTTGGTACCTCTGCCTGTCTCTGCCTGGCCCGGTTTTGACCACAGCCCGCCCGACCACGATTAAGCTATTCCCTTGTCTGTACTCTAATAAAGCATCGCTATTCTGCGATTGGATCTTACCACTCTGTCCGAGTATTCATTACAGAATACCTCGCCTTTACCATGGATCCAGCGGAATTACAGAGGCGATGGGAGATACAGGAGAAACGGATGGATGAACTCCTGCAGCTACTCAACGCTGGTGCGGCTGAAGGCACCACCCCGAGCACGGTCAGTCCTCGTCCTACACCTCCGATTTCTCTACCGACTCGGTACGACGGGGAACCTGGCAAATGTCAGGGGTTTCTACTTCAGACGTCCCTGTATATGTCGTATAATCGTACTATGTTTTCCGATGACCGTAGCAGGGTGGATTTCATGATTTCTCTACTAACGGGAAGAGCACTGGATTGGGCTACTGCGCTTTGGGCAGCTGAGGTTCCCGAGTTGAATGCGGAAGTTCAGTTCAAGAGACTGTTCCAGGAGGTGTTCGACCACCCAGTATCTGGGCGTAGTGTGGGAGACCAACTATGCGAACTTCAGCAGGGCCGTCGCACCGTAGCCGACTACGCTTTAGAGTTCCGTACTATAGCAGCCGGTAGCGGATGGAGCGAGACGGCCTTGCTCACCGTTTTCCGAAGAGGGCTGCGCAAAGACGTACAGACTGAGTTGGCTTGTCGAGGAGATATCACTGCGCTACATGAGTTTATCAAAATAGCCATCTCTATTGATAATCTGATAGTGCAACACAAGGTATCCACAGTCCGGGAGCCCTCGATCACTGGTCCTAAGCAATCGACAGAGCGGAGGAGAGAATCTGAGGAGGAACCTATGCAACTGGGACGGTCACCTCTACAAGGGTCGGTGAGACAACAACGTCGGCAAGACGGACTATGCCTGTATTGTGGTCAGTCGGGTCATTTCGTTCGTCAATGTCCGGTACGACCAAACCGTACCCCAGGATATCGCCTCGGAACTGCCAAACCGGTGAGTGAGACTCCAGTTTTGAACATTACATCTAAACAAATGTATGTGCCAGTTACCTTATCTGTCGGAGAGAAAGTGCGCAGGTTGGAAGGACTTGTTGATTCCGGAGCGGCTGCCAGCTTTCTGGATATGGGTCTTGCTGAGGAGTTGGGAGTTCAACTTATCCCAATTCAACCCCCCCTGCGAGTCAACGCGCTAGACGGTGAGCCCATGGGCACTGGGTTCATTACGCACCGTACCGAGGAATTCAAGTTACAAGTGGGCTCCCTGCACCATGAGAACATCATTCTGTTCGTCATCTCCGCTCCACGGGAGCCGCTAGTCCTCGGCCACCCCTGGCTCGTTACCCATGATCCGGTCATCTCCTGGAAATCTGGCGAGATCACGGCTTGGAGTGAGGTATGTAGGGCAGAGTGCCTCATTTTACCTTGCAAAACGTCTACTGTGGAGGATGCGAAGGGTGCGGTGTCTACTGTTGTTCCTACAGAGTACCAGGATTACGCGCAGGTGTTCTCCAAGGAGAGGGCTACCGTGTTACCACCGCATCGGGCCTGGGATTGTGCAATTGATCTGCTATCCGGGGCTACACCTCCTCGCGGACGAATCTACCCTTTGTCACAGCCGGAACGAGAATCAATGAGCAAGTCTATTGATGAGGCACTACAGCAAGGGGCCATTCGCCCATCTACGTCTCCCGCCGCATCCAGTTTTTTCTTTGTTAAGAAAAAGGATGGCGGACTGCGTCCTTGTATAGACTATCGAGGTTTGAACGATATTACCATTAAAAATCGTTACCCCCTTCCTTTGATTCCAGCAGCCCTCGAGCAGGTGGGGCAGGCCTCCATCTACAGTAAACTGGACCTCAGGAGTGCGTACAATCTGGTGCGCATTAGAGAAGGGGATGAATGGAAGACCGCCTTCATCACCCATCGAGGACATTATGAATATTGTGTCATGCCCTATGGACTTACTAACGCGCCCTCTGTGTTCCAGGCGTTCATGAATGACATTTTCAGGGACTTGATTGATCGCTTTGTCATAGTGTACATTGATGACATCCTAATCTACTCTAACTCTCTGAGTGAACATGTGTCCCATGTACGCCAGGTTCTGGACCGACTCCGACAACACTCTCTGTTCGTGAAGGCCGAAAAGAGTGAATTCCATGTCACGACGATTTCCTTCCTTGGGCCATACTCACTCCCGACGGAGTAAAACTGGATGAATCCAAGGTGCAAGCTGTACGAGACTGGCCTCAACCCCAGACGGTGAAAGAGCTCCAGAGATTCTTAGGGTTTGCCAATTACTATAGACGGTTCGTGCGTAATTTCAGCACAACCGCAGCTCCCCTGTCGGCGATGACCAGCCACAAGGGTCGTGGTCTGAAATGGACGGAGGGGGCAGTGCGGGCTTTTGAGACATTGAAACAACGATTTACCACCGCTCCCATTTTATGTCAGCCGGATCCTACCTTGCCGTTCATCGTGGAGGTGGACGCCTCGGAGGTTGGAGTTGGAGCCGTGCTATCCCAGCGCCAAGGTGAGCCGCCCAAATCACGACCCTGTGCTTTTTTTTCTAAGAAGCTGAATCCGGCCGAGCAGAACTACGACGTGGGAAATCGTGAATTACTGGCGGTGAAGTTAGCACTGGAGGAGTGGAGACATTGGCTGGAGGGAGCAGCTCATCCGTTCCAAGTGCTCACGGACCACCGCAATCTGGAGTATCTTCACAGTGCTAAACGACTGAACTCCCGACAGGCAAGGTGGTCGTTATTCTTCAACCGTTTCCAATTCACTGTCTCTTATATTCCCGGGTCCAAGAATTGTAAGGCGGACGCGCTTTCCCGACGGTTCGAGCGCGCTGACAGACCGGTTGAACCAGAACCTATCCTCCCCATGAGTTGCCGTGCTGGTCCTGTGAGGTGGGCTATCGATGACACGATTCAGGAGAGCCTACAAGCGGAACCAGCCCCTCCAGAAACCCCGGTGTCGAAGGTGTTTGTACCAGCTCCGCTTCGACCTCAACTGATGGAATGGTGCCACACGTCGCTAGGATCTGGTCATCCCGGAATCACTCGAACTACACGACTCATCAGTCGAAAATACTGGTGGGATTCCCTCACAGATGACGTCAGAGACTACGTATTATCCTGCCCAGTATGTGCTCAGTCCAAGGCGCCTCGAGCACTACCGGAGGGTAAGCTGATGCCATTGCCAACTCCTCAACGACCCTGGTCGCACATTGCTATGGACTTTGTTACCGACCTACCAGAATCAGAGGGCCATACTGTAATTCTCGTGGTCATCGATCGATTCTCCAAGATGTGTCGGTTAGTACCCATGACCCGTTTACCTAACGCCACTCAGATGGCGGAGACTATGTTTAACCAGGTGTTCCGGCAGTTTGGTGTTCCGGAGGATATTGTTTCCGACCGGGGACCCCAGTTCATATCCCGGGTTTGGAAGGCCTTCTGCGAACGCTTGGGCATCTCGGTGAGCCTCACCTCCGGATATCATCCCCAGGCCAATGGGCAGACAGAACGGCTCAACCAGGAAATTGGGAAGTATCTACGGCAACAATGTTCGCGGCAGCCGCAAGAGTGGAGCCGATTCCTTCCTTGGGTAGAGTATGCTCAGAACTCACTCATTCACACCTCCCTACGTCTAACGCCCTTTCAGTGTGTTCTAGGGTATCAACCACCCCTGTTCCCGTGGGATACCGCACCCGGGATGGTACCGGCGGTGGACGAGTGGTTCCGTCGGAGTGCGCAGGTCTGGGAGACGGCCCATCAACATCTCAGTCAAGCATCACAACAGCAAAAGACCTACGCCGACCGACGCCGGAGACCTACTCCCACTTATCAACCCGGGCAGCGAGTGTGGCTGTCTACCCGAGACCTGCGGTTCCGACGGAGCTGCAAGAAGCTCCAACCCAGGTACATTGGTCCCTTCAAGGTACAGAGACGTATTAACCCTGTCACCTACCGTCTGTTACTCCCTCGACACTACAGGATAAACCCTACGTTCCACGTCTCCCTGTTGAAACCTGTCCATTATAGCCCGATGTACCCACCAATCGCTCAACAACCTACTACACCACCTTTGGAGGATGAACAGGACACCACCTATACAGTCCACGAGATACTGGAGTCAAGACGGAGACGAGGGGGCATCGAATATCTCGTGGACTGGGAGGGATATGGACCGGAGGAACGGTCCTGGGTCCCTGCTAAGGACATACTAGACCCCGCTCTCAAGGCCACTTTCCACGCTGAACAGCCAGATCATCCCGGACCCCGACCCAGAGGAAGACCACCCGGTAGAGGTAGAAGGCCGTCAGGAGCCGGCCCTGGGGAGGGGGATACTGTAAGGGATCGGGGGTTGGCTGGGTCTAGACAGAGTCTGACACTTCCCCGATCTACAGAGAGGGGGAGTCATCAGACTCGATCTGGTTCACCTGAGTTCTGAGCACACCTGTCAGTAATTAGTGTAGGATATAAGGTGTGCTCAGAAGTTCAGTCGGTGCGAGGTATTGTTCCATTGTGACTTGCTAAGCGTTTTGTTCCGAGAGAGAGAGAGAGTTTGTTGTTTTTGATTACCCGTGTATCCGACCTGTGCCTTGTTGTTTGACTCCCCGAATTGCTTAATCCTCTACTTGTCTACCCCAGTGATTACCGTTCTCTGATCCTGTGCCTGTGACCTCGACTACGACTAAGCCCGCTCCCTTGGTACCTCTGCCTGTCTCTGCCTGGCCAGGTTTTGACCACAGCCCGCCCGACCACGATTAAGCTATTCCCTTGTCTGTACTCTAATAAAGCATCGCTATTCTGCGATTGGATCTTACCACTCTGTCCGAGTATTCATTACAGAAGTGGCTATGTTGAGCGTAAAAGTGATCATTTGAAACAGGTCTTATATGCTAGATTTTGAGTTTTTTGGCTAATTTAGTTGTGAATGATACAAACCTTGGAATGGCTTAGAAATCAAAACATACAATGCCTTCTGAAAGTATTCAGACCCCTTGACCTTTTCCACATTGTTTTATGTTACAACCTTATTCTAAAATGGATTAAATAATTAAAAAATCCTCAGCAATCTTCACAAAAGACCCCATAATGACAAAGCAATAACAGGTTTTTAGAAATTGTAGCTAATTTATTAAACATAAAAAAAAAAAGTATTCAGACTCTTTGCTCTGAGACTCAAAATTGAGCTCAGGTACATCCTGTTTCCATTGATCATTCTTGAAATGTTTCTACAACTTGATTGGAGTCCACCTGTGGTAAATTCAATTGATTGGACATGATTTGGAAAGGCACACACCTGTCTATATAAGGTCCCACAGTTGACAGTGCATGTCAGAGCAAAAACCAAGCCATGAGGTCAAGGGAATTGTCCGTAGAGCTCTGAGACAGGATTGTGTTGAGGCACAGATCTGGGGAAGGGTACCAAGAAATGTCTGCAGCATTGAAGGTCCCCAAGAACACAGTGGCCTCCATCATTCTTAAATGGAAGAAGTTTGGAACCACGAAGACTCTTCCTGGAGCTGGCCGCCCGGCCAAACTGAGCAATTGAGGGAGAAGGGCCTTGGTCAGGGAGGTGACCAAGCATTTGATGGTCAGTCTAACAGAGCTCTAGAGTTCCTCTGTGTAGATGGGAGAACCTTCCAGAAGGACAACCATCTCTGCAGCACTCCACCAATCAGGCCTTTATGGTAGAGTGGCCAGACGGAAGCCACTCCTCAGTAAAAGGCACATGACAGCCCGCTTGGAGTTTGCCAAAAGGCACCTAAAGACTCTCAGACCATGAGAAACAAGATGCTCTGGCCTGAAGAAACCAAGATTGAACTCTTTGGCCTGAATGCCAAGTGTCACTTCTAGAGGAAACCTGGCACTATCCCTACGGTGAAGCATGGTGGTGGCAGCATCATGCTGTTGGGATGTTTTTCAGCGGTGGGGACTGGGAGACTAGTCAGGATCGAGGCAAAGATGAACGGAGCAAAGTATAGAGATTGAAACCTGCTCCAGAGTGCTCAGGACCTCAGACTGGGGCGAAGGTTCACCTTCCAACAGGACAACGACCCTAAGCACACAGCCAAGACAACGCAGGAGTGGCTTCGGGACAAGTCTCTGAATGTGCTTGAGTGGCCCAGCCAGAGCCCGGACTTGAACCCGATGTAACATCTCTGCGGAGACCTGAAAATAGCTGTGCAGCAACGCTCCCCATCTAACCTGACAGAGCTTGAGAAGATCTGCAGAGAATAATGGGAGAAACTTCCCAAATACAGGTGTGCCATACCCAAGAAGACTTGAGGCTGTAATCGCTGCCAAAGGTGCTTCAACAAAGTATTGAGTAAAGGGTCTGAATACTTATGTAAATGTGATATTTCAGTTTTCTATTTTTTATAAATTATTGGGTATTGTGTGTAGATTGATGAAAGAAAAAAACAATTTAATCAATTTTAGAATAAGGCTGTAACCTAACAAAATATGGAAAAAGTCAAGGGGTCTGAATACTTTCCGAAGGCACTGTATATGGGCTGCATGATGAGACTATAGGCTATTGATGATTTGAGAAAGTTACAAAAAAAGCTTGCGCTCTGTTCCTTGCCTCAGGATGCACAGCTGTTCTCTCATGAAGTGATCATATTTTCACCCATCAGATTATTCTCAATGTAATCTTGTCTTTACTAATATGTCAAATTAGTTTCGATTTAGAATGGCCCATTATCAAATGGGCAGGAACAGTGGCGGGGGGAAAAAGACATGTCATCCGTATGCACTCGAATTGCGAATGGGCTGCGCACTTCCCGCCGATCCGTTTTTCAATGATGCCTGGTAGCCTACTACAGCTGAGAAATAAATATAAGAACACTTATTTCACTCCATGCATCAACCACTGTTTGAGGAGCATGCTCTTGCTGCACGACAGGTGATATTCTGCCCACACTCTGTATGCCATGGGCTCTCCAACCATGTTCCTGAAGCTACCCAGGGCTTAATTTTATGAAACCAAGTGAAATCTGTTTGGGAACATCAATAGTAACATGTTGTCGCAACGAAACATATTTCAATAAACTATTGACAGTGTCGTGGAAATTCTACCCAATAAGGAGAGACTGTTATTTCTTCAAACAATTAAACTTTATTTATCGATTAATTATTGCAATAATGAAGCTGGACAGGCATACACTTCTGAGGTGTACGCCAGAGCTCAAATGACACGAGGAGTACAGAAACCTTATATAGGCAAGCCATTTTATGCAAGCATGTACAAAACTTGTGATCTTGGTGTGTGTATGTGCTGGACAATGAGACGGAACTGAGGTACAGGGTGCAGACTAACTGTGAAAAAGGTAGTCTCATTCTGAGGACAATAGGTGTTAAAACAACAGGAAATCTCCCCAGACATAGCTCATCAAAAGTAGATTAATGGTCCCTCGAACCAGGCAAGCAAGCTGGTTCGCCACCCACACACATACACACACACAGAAGCTTGACCCTTTTGCCCAGCAACAGGCCGTAGCCAGGACAACAGCTTTATCATTAGTGCGCAGGATTTAACACTTTGCTCTGGTTTCAGTAGATTGAGAGGAACCAGTTCTTTCCCTTCTGACCAGCAGGAAACCATAGGTCTTGCCTGTCAGCTCTTGGCTGTGCGCCCAGACATCATGTACATACTTCCCTAAACCTAGGTTCCTATGCTACACATCCACAGAACAGTTAGAAACAGGCCCATACCCATGCACACACAATCCCATCTCATATGATCCAGTTAGTTACATCACCAATCTCATAATTAATGCCTAAGCAACTAGGTTTAAAGAAAACAGCTTCTAGTACACAAGCATAATAATGGTTTAACAGAAATTTCCATCACAACAGCTTCTCTGCATGCTCGAGAAAGGAATAAAGGAGAGAGAGTAGGAGATGGAAACACTTGGTGGTGAGATATTCTGTATAGCTAAAGGTAATGTGCCACCCAATTAAGCATATCCAGAGCTCATAAAAGGAGATTACCGGGACTCAACGGTCAAGTGGAATTTTACTGCGGTCACGACTGCTGGTGTAGCGGTAGTACGGTCACCGCAACAGCCCTAATCTCACCTTACATCAATTATGTATTCAGTAACATTTCTGCATATTGTATTTGCTAACACATGTTGATAGACTCAATATTTTCATAATGTCGGCTCGCCTACATACTGATAACTGTGCTTGTGGATGCAAGGATATTGTATACTCATTTATACACAAACCTTGAATACATTATCTCAAGACAGTATGGTCATTATGTGGTTACTAAAGGTACACTGACCATCACAAATGAAAAAAGTACACACTCATCTCTACTTGGTCGATTTATTTGACCAACGTTTTGGCCGAAGGGCCTTCATTAGGGTGTGTACACACTAACCTTGTCATGAGAATCTGTGTCCAGTCCACTGCAGTGATGTTCACAGGGACCCAGCCCACCAGGTAGGTAGCATCCAACAGACTACTGAAGTTCATCAAGGCCACTTCACCGCTGACAAAGGAGCCAGCCAGCGCATGCCACTCAGTGAGGATCATGGGAAGGGTGACATTGGTGGTGTTACTGCCCTGTACTATGTTCATTAGCTGAATCGCCTTGGATAAAGAAGGAAATGACAAAATTATCAAAGAATGATGAATATACATGTTTTAGGATATAACATAACAACAATTGCTGGCTTATTAAAAAATTTATGAATATCCCAAAAATGTACTTAAAGTAAAAATATATAAAGAAAATCCATAGGCTCACATATGACATAGTTTCTGTTTACTACAAACAGTATTCCCACTAGACCATTCATCAATGTTTACAATGGAAATGACCTACATGGTCTAAACCAGTATTGGATCTGAGGGAGGTTTGTGTTGTCTGTATTCTGCTTTTGTGATAACCTTTTAATCTTCAGTTATTTTACCAGTACCTCGTTTTCTAGGGAGACCTGGCCAATAAGACACAACCTGTGAGTGCTGTGTAGGTACACTTGACTCACCTTGGCAACCACAGGCATCCACTCAGCCAGCAGAGCGTCATGGAAATGAGACTTGTTCCCTGGGCAGAATAGGACGTTCCACATGCTGGGGTCCATGGAACTCAGAGAGGAGAGCCAGGACCACTGGCCCAGCAGATCATCACACCTCACTGGTCCCTGAGACGTTAGGACCTATTGGAAACCAACAAGGAATTAATGAATGAATGAATGAATGTCACTGAGCCATTAGGACCTACTGGAAACCAACAAGGAATGAATGAATGAATGATTGAATTAATTAATTAATTAATGTATTAATTCATTCATTCATTGATGATTGAATGAATGAATGTCCCTGAGCCATTAGGACCTATTGGAACCGAACAAGAACACCATATCATATATGTGGTCCTCTGTAGCTCAGCTGGTAGAGCACGGCACTTGTAACGCCAAGGTAGTGGGTTCGATCCCCGGGACCACCCATACACAAAAAAATTTATGCACGCATGACTGTAAGTCACTTTGGATAAAAGCGTCTGCTAAATGGCATATTATTATATTATATCACTCAAAATATCACTCATATAACCCATATAAGCCCATAAACAATATCACCATATCACTCACAATGTCATATCATACATTGTAACATATGACAATGTAAATGTAAATGCATATCACAAAAAACCCACCAAGACAATGGTACTACTCCCCCAACTGGCAAAGCTGGTTGAAATGAAGTCATTACAATCGATTACAACCATACTGAACAAAAATATAAACGCAACATGCAACAATTTCAATGATTTTACTGAGTTACAGTTCATATAAGGAAATCATTGGATTTAAATAAATTCATTAGGCCCTAATATTTGGAATTCACATGACTGGGTAGGGGCGCAGCCATGAGTGAGAATGGGAGGCCATAGGCCCACCCACTTATTACAGACAGAAACACTCCTCAGTTTCATCAGCTGTCCAGGTGGCTGGTGTAGTATCTGAGGAATTATGACTTCGCTAACGTTTTCAAATGGAACTTGAGAGGAGGTTTATTCAGCTTAGAGGGAGTAGTTTTAGAGGGACACACCATAGAACAGAGGAAGTCTGTTGTGTGGAGACAGGTGATTAGTCTGTATGGGAAACCACCCACAGCAGGGTAAAGATTATAAATACTAGGTTGAGACAAAGGAGGTCAGAATAATCAGATTTGAGATGGGGCGATTATTCTCCAGGTATCTGCAGGTATCTGTAAATCGACGCTGTAACCCTTTGTTATGAATAAACCTTTATGATGAAAATACAGCGTCAGCGGGTTCTCCTTGGTCACACAGCATAATTAGCAACGTTTACTCGACACAACACTGGTCTGAGACGATCCAATAGGTGAAGAAGCCGGATGTGGAGGTCCTCAGCTGGCATGGTTACATGTGGTCTGCGGTTGTGAGGCCGGTTGGACGTACTGCCAAATTCTCTAAAACAACGTTGGAGGCGGCTTATGGTAGAGAAATTAATATTCAATTCTCTGGCAACAGCTCTGGTGGACATTCCTGCAGTCAGCATGCTAATTGCACGCTCCCTCAAAACTTGAGACATCTGTGGCATTGTGTTATGTGACAAAACTGCACATTTTAGAGTGTCCTTTTATTGTCCCCAGCACAAGGTGCATCTGTGTAATGATCATGCCGTTTAATCAGCTTCTTGATATGCCACACCTGTTAGGTGGATGGATTATCTTGGCAAAGGAGAAATGCTCACTAACAGGGATGTAAACACGTTTGAGAGAAAGCAGCTTTTTGTGCGTATGGAACATTTCTGGGATCTTTTATTTCAGCTCATGAAACATGAGACCAACACCTTACATGTTTTGTTTATATTTTTGTTCAGTATACTTCTGGTTGTAAACAGGTTATAAGTACTTTAGTTCTACTTACGATGACATTTCAACCAGTTTTGCCTGCTTTTCCTAATTAAAGCCAGTCCACTCACCTTCATGATTGACTTCACTATTGAGTCCATGACCTGTCCAGCAAAGTTGTCAGCGGCAGCCTGGTTGGACATCAAGGAGATGAAGATATCCTGGTAGGTATGGGCGTCTGTCGACACCTTTCCCATCATCTCTATGTGTCAGGAAGAAAACACAAGGTGACCATGGTCAAATCAGAGGAGTGTTCAATTTAATTTAATTAAATTCAAAATACTTTATTGGCAACAAAAAGTATACAGTTCCAATTCATCTTCATGGGTTATATGCAGCTCTATACACACAGTACATACTCAGTAGAGGGTCCAAGCCTGTCGTAGCCAGCTGCATGGAGGCATGGCCGGTGGTGAGGGCCATCTGAACGTAGTTCCAGCCAGGAATGCCCTTCAGAAGCTCGACTGCTACTGAGCCCACACTCAGGAACCTGCCAACACAGAGTTTAGAGGTCACCCATGGGAGAATGGACACTACTGGTAGACTTTGGGCTTCTTTGCTTGGCAATATACTTTCTTATGGGGTTTATGGACTATTCTGAAGATTCCAGGGTTGAGATCAGTTACACGTATTTCAGGCAGAATCAAGTGAAAGTTCTATCCTCACCGACGACTACTTTAAGTCCATTTCCAACCCTTGTTGAATGACAAATGAAATATTTAACTGCCCATTTTAAATGTGCAGTATTTGTCATGTATCTAGCACCAGAACTACACAATGAGAGAAACTAAAAATTTTCACTCACAGCTCTTCCTCTGTGTTCTGAGGCTGCGTGTCGCTGCTACGCTGGGACCTGATATTGTTGGAGGAGCCGTGGACCTCAGGGGCCATAAACAGTCCTATCAGGCTGTGGATGAGGCCTCTGGTGAAGGTCACATCCCCCGGAGCAGCGTCTTTACTCCAGGCCAGGAGGCTCTGAGGAGGGGAAACACGGCAAGTCACACAGAGGACCAATAAACCCCATTGAATGCTGCAATCTCCTTTGCGACCCTGTTTCTCCCTGCTTTTTGGGGATGGACATTACTGTATGCACAGTATGTTTAATACAGTTACCACTGATCATCAGATCAGCCCATTACAGATCAAACAGTCAAACTGAAGTGTCTGAAGATGGGAAGATACTGGAGAGGATAGAAGAAGGAGATAAGGAAACAGGGCTGCCGTCAATTTCATTTCAAGGAATCAAGCTGACATTTTTATAAATTTTTATAAAAAAGAGGAAATGTTCAATTGGAATTTCAGCTTACTTCCTAAATTGACTGCATTGACATTGAATTCACCTCAAATCAATGAATCTCCATTGACACCCTGTTTCCCTCTGCTTTTAAGAGATTGATGTTAGCTTACTGTATGTACAGTTGAAGGTTTTTTGGGAAATTCCAGAAAATTATGTCATGGCTTTAGAAGTTTCTGAAAGGCTAATTGACATCATTTGAGTCAATTGGAGGTGTACCTGTGGATGTATTTTAAGGCCTACCTTCAAACTCAGTGCCTCTTTGCTTGACATCATGAGAAAATCAAAAGAAATCAGCCAAGACCTCAGAAAAAAAATTGTAGACCTCCACAAGTCTGGTTCATCCTTGGGAGCAATTTCCAAACAACTGAAGGTACCACATTAATCTGTACAAACAATAGTACGCAAGTATAAACACCATGGGACCACGCAGCCGTCATACCGCTCAAGAAGGAGACGCGTTCTGTCTCCTAGAGATGAACGTACTTTGGCGCGAAAAGTGCAAATCAATCCCAGAACAACAGCAAAGGACCTTGTGAAGATGCTGGAGGAAACAGGTACAAAAGTATCTATATCCCACAGTAAAACGAGTCCTATATCGACATAACCTGAAAGGCCACTCAGCAAGAAAGAAGCCACTGCTCCAAAACCGCCATTAAAAAGCCAGACTACGGTTTGCAACTGCACATGGGGACAAAGCTCATACTTTTTGGAGAAATGTCCTCTGGTCTGAATTGAACTGTTTGGCCATAATGACCATCATTATGTTTGGAGGAAAAGGGGGATGGCTTGCAAGCCGAAGAACACCATCCCAACCGTGAAGCACGGGGGTGGCAGCATCATGCTGTGGGGGAGCTTTGCTGCAGGAGGGACTGGTGCACTTCACAAAATAAATGGCATCATGAGGAAGGAAATTTGGGTGGATATATTGAAGCAACATATCAAGACATCAGTCAGGAAGTTAAAGCTTGGTCGCAAATGGGTCTTCCAAATGGACAATGACACCAAGCATACTTACAAAGTTGTGGCAAAATGGCTTAAGGACAACAAAGTCAAGGTATTGGAGTGGCCATCACAAAGCCCTGACCTCAATCCTATAGAACATTTGTGGGCAGAACTGAAAAAGCGTGTGTGAGCAAGGAGGCCTACAAACCTGACTCAGTTACACCAGCTCTGTCAGGAGGAATGGGCCAAAATTTACCCAACTTATTGTGGGAAGCTTGTGGAACGGTACCTGAAATGTTTGACCCAAGTTAAACTATTTAAAGGCAATGCTACCAAATACTAATTGAGTGTATGTAAAATTTGGACTCACTGGGAATGTGATGAAAGAAATAAAAGCTGAAATAAATCTTTCTCTCTGCTATTATTCTGACATTTCACATTCTTAAAATAAAGTGGTGATCCTAACTGACCTAAGACAGGGAATTTTTACTAGGATTAAATGTCAGGAATTGTGAAAAACTGAGTTTAAATGTATTTGGGTAAGGTGTATGTAAACTTCCGACTTCAACTGTATAATAACCACTGATCACAAGATCAATCCATTAGTGAACAAACAGTCAGGCTATCATCCAGGGAATATATTATTTCTGAACCAGACAGTTCAGTGAGTGAGCACACAAATGAGGGGCGGCTTAGCTAACTGCCTCTGCCTCTGACTGGTAATTCGTTAACATCTCTACCCCTAGCCTCGTGGCAGCCTGGCAGAAAGGTGCAATTGGGGATCTCTGGGGTCCTGTTACACAGGTGGCCCTGTGAGTTCCCCCATCAGTCCCCACTGCTGATATGTTGTTGAAGCTAGGATGTTACCAAGGTAACCCTGTGTTTGGTTTGCCCCTGTGTCTCTGATTGGGTGTATATATTGAGAAGGGAGTAGATAGAGGAAGGGAGGGATAAATAGAGAGAGAAGGAGGAAGAGAGATAAAGAGAGAGAATGTGGAATTATATAATGTCTTCATGTCTTTACATTTGAACAACAGAGAATAGAATAAGGGGAAAAAATGTTTGTAATGCTATTCAGATAGGATATGAAAGACAGCAACGGCCCCACCCCAGACACACCTTCACTGTCTGTTTTCCTCTGTTCTCTGCTCATCTCTGTGCTGATGCCATAACACATAGCCACCCACCCACACACACATACCTGTTGGGCCACCTTGTCGGCACTGATCCACCCCAGCAGCATATCCACTGTCCCTCCAGTACAAGCTGCTTGGAGCTCATCACTGAGGTTTCCTGAACATATGTAGGAATGCAAGAGGGCCTTGTCCATTGTTAGCGCCACAGCCTAAAGGTTGTGGTTGGAGAGGATCATGTTTGGGTATGCATCAGTAAAGTAATTTATACTTTAATAATACCTTGATAATCACATAATTACTTTGAACTAACATAACTTTTTTAGGAGTAATTGTACAAATCTCCTTTAAAGGGATACTTCGGGATTTTGGCAATGAGGTCATTTATCTACTTCCCCAGTCCATTTTTATGTCTCTGTGTCCAGTATGAAGGGATTATTTATTTATTTATATATTTTAGTCATTTAGCAGACGCTCTTAACCAGAGCGACTTACAGGAGCAATTAGGGTTAAGTGCCTTGCTCAAGGGCACGTCGACATGTTTTTCACCTAGTCGGCTTGGGGATTAGAACCAGCGACCTTTCGGTTACTGGCACAATGCTCTTAACCACTAAGCTACCTGCCGCTACTAGCATTCTAGCAGATACCCATAGACTTCCAGTCATTGCGTTAATGCTAGTTAGCATTGGCTCGTGAAACTACCTCTAACTTCCTTCATACTGGACACAGAGACATAAAAATGGTATCTACGAGTTCATCTGACTCTAGGCAAGTAGATAAATGGTCTCATTGCCAAAACCCCGAAGTATTCCTTTAAAGGGACAATCTGGCATTCAAATAACAACAAAACAATCACCCCATCACTTTTTGGGGTAAATAGCTTAGGGATGGAGCTGAAGAACTCTCAGATTCATAGACGGAGCTATATTGCCCCTTTTAGAAAAGTGCTGATGAGTATCACTGTTGTGTAAGAACAGGTTTTACGTCTATCCTGATATCAGATAGAAGCATTCCTAGTGACTTTCTGGTACCTAGACTAATCAGATTATATTATTTAGTATGCACATCATACAGGCAAAAGCTTTATTTCTTGGAGGGCATTCTGACACATTCTGTGCTGTACTGAAAACAGATTTAGGCCAGGGAATGGAATCTTTAGCCTGGTCCCAGATATGTTTGTGCTGTCTTGCCAATTTGACATGACAATGAACACAGGAGTTGGCTAGACAGCACAAACAGATCTGGACCAGGCTTGGGAAGCTTAACTCACAATTCTAAAGCATTCAAACAGGGCCTTTGGCCAGGGAAGGGAGGCTTACCTTGTCTAGTGGTATCCTGACCTGCTGCATGAGGGTGTTGACGGCTGCTGCTACTGAGGTATTGGGTGGCACCATGATAACGTCACCAAGGGTGATGTAGACATCTGTGTAAAATCATATTTGTAGAGAGATTTCAGATAAAAGTGGCCTATCTAAAGAGGTTACTGACACGTGAGGGCTGAAAACATGACAGTCAATATTCCTCTGAGGGGTTTGTATTTTGGTCTAGTATAAATGTTGGATGTACGTTCACATTCTCATTTCTTTCATAGTGTTCCCTTCTAAATCAAAAGAATGTTGTTTGATTCTGTAAGTCATGACATTTGAAAAAAACACTCCCTCTGTCCTCTTCCAATTAACCTGGCTGACTCACATAGCTGAATGGAACTGAGCTGGTTTTGCAGTTCCCAGTATTTATTCTAGTACAAATTGTTATTTCTATCCAAAAGCAACAAATCAGAAATTCCTGATACTTTATTTAATAGTTATTTAAGCCATTGCATCTTGTCTCAACACAGATGATAACGCCTTAACATAGTGAAACAGTATTGTGCTTTAGTTAGGGGGTTTCCCCTTGGGATAAAGGCTTATTGTTGTTGGCCTGTATGTGGAGTCTGTGTGAGTAATGCGATTTGAAAATGTAAAATGCATCTGATTCTGAGCATTAGATGAGATTGATGTCTTCCCAACTGAATAAATACATTGACCAATCAAAAACACGTAAACGAGTGCAGATGAACATTTGATGCTTGAGGTAAAGTAGTAATTAGAAATCAGAAACCAATAGACATAGTAGACATGGAGATCAAATGTGATGAAGTAAGAAGTTGGAAGTGATTCAAAGAGGGCCACAATGAAAATGTGAGGATCACAATGTAAAAAAAAATTGTTTTGTGTCATCCTCAATAATTGTATTTATGCATGTTGTCTTTTGCTACATGTGTTTGAATAAATTGTCTAATAAACATATGTGATTTTGTTGATTGCTTTATTCTTGGCATAGGTACTGTACCTTTGCCATGCCAGTTCCTTATGTACTGGAGCAGGTTGATGCCTCCGACAATAGCAGGGTTCACCATGGAGACAGCTGAAAGATTAGCCTCTGGGAAGCTGCTCTCGATGGCAGCCATAGTCCTACGGAGGAGAGGAGAGGAGAGGAGGAGAAAACAGATGCCTGATAATGATTTACTCACCTTACGTAGGCTACGGTGAGAGCACAGACCTGGAAATATCTGAATGTGCACACACGCATGAAAGCACACACACACACACACACACAATATTGGACTATAAATTGTGCCTTCCTGTATTATACTTATGCTACAATGTTTATTCTATTCTACTGAGCCATTTATTTTTATTTTATCTTATCTTATTTCTGTTGCTTTTTTCGAGAAGGAACCTGGAAGTAAGCATTTCGTTGGATGGTATATACCATGTGTATGCCGTACATACGACTAATAAAACGTGAAACTTGAAACACACACACATTCCAGACACCTGCAGCAAGATGAAGTTTCCGCCAGGTACAGATCTAGGATGACCTTCCCCTCTCCCAATCGTAACCTAAACCATTGGTGGGGGAAATGCAAAACGGACTCCAAATCAGCATCTGGGGGCAACTACACCTTACACCCAGAACCACCCAGGGTTGGAAGCTAGGGTCAGTACAGTTTAAAACTCCATCAACAGTATACCCTCCATACTACAACTATCTCTCTCCTCCCAAACTCTGCCCTCTTCCTCAACAGTACTACCCTCGGAGCCTGGTTCCTCTCTAGGGTCCTTCCTTCTAGTTAGTTGTTTCCTGGCCGGTGTGCTTCTGCTTGCTCTTTGTGCTCTAGGCCGGGTTACTGCTAAGCACTTTGTTAAGCACTTTGTTAGGCACTTTGTTAAGCACTTTGTTAGGCCCTTTGTTAAGCGACTTACAATCATGCATGCATACATTTTCATATGGGTGGCCCTAGCGGGAGTCAAACCCATGATCCTGGCATTGCAAGACTTCCAAGAGGCATTCTCTACCAACTGAGCCACACATGACCAACTGTTGATGTAAAATACATTTGATTAATACATTACCTCTTGATGTTGTGCAGAAGACTCTCCCCCTCGTCCAGCACCTGATCCAGGATCTTATCGGGGGTGGTGGGCATGAAGAGGCGTGGCAGGCCCAGTAGCCCCTCCCACAGTGAAGTCTCCCTCTGAAGCCTGTCAAACACCACAACTGCTGTGCCAATTGTGGTCAGGGCCTGCGCTGGGTCTTTCAGCATCAGCTCCGTCAGCACCTGAGGAAACCAGCAGCATGCTTCAACATTCAAAACCAAACATGATCCGTCTATATGATGTCTGAATTGGCATAACATTAGTCTTGTGTTGCCATCCTTCTAAGTCTTGTTTGTCACTGTTGGAACAGTGAGGAAGAGGAATTCTGAGAGCTGAGGCTACTTACATCGCACAAGACAATCAGATATCTATCTGAAAAGTTAAACACACACACACACATACACACACACACCTGGTTGATGGTGAGCAGTGAGACCTCCAGCAGGGTGTTGTTGGACTTGCAGAAGGTGACCAGTCCGTAGGCGAGGGGGTCGACGGAGGACATGGAGGACACGTTGAGGAACGTCAGCGAGAAGGAGCACAGAGACCTCTTTAACATGTTCACTGAATCCAGCATCGCATCCAGCGCCTCCTGCTCCCACGGAGTAGAAGGATGGGCACATAGGTATTTGGACTGAGTTATATATACATCATCTCAATACAAAGTACTTTCTTAACATAATCACTGTTGAAAGGTTTTGTTCTGAATAGTCTAAGACAGCAGACTACACCCATTTAACTATTCTAATGGGCTTGAATACTTTTGTGATTGATTTATGGGTTGCCATATTTGTTCTTCTTTCCAAACATTACAGACACCTACACTAAAACTAACACTGCAGGGAAACTAACACTGTATAACCCTTGTATAGAGTACTCCACACAATAGACACTTCCAAACAAACACACATCTTCAATAGAATGAGTAATTGAAAAGAGATTACTGGAGAGTAGCAATTATATTAGAAGTATTACATTTGACTACTGTTCCACCTCAGTCATGATGATATCTAACCCAAAGGACAAAGATAGCATCCGCGTTATCTACAATAAGAAGGGACATCTCAGGTGTCAATATGACCACAGAAAAAAAACACTTTTTTATAGCAATAGCCTCCGTCCAAAACTGTATTTGATTTAAATACTGTCAGGCCCGTGCAGAGGGTACTCTTTTATTTTGGATACTTATATATTCACACTACGAGTCAAAAGTTTGGACACACCTACTCATTCAAGGGGTTTTCTTTATTTTTTACTATTTTCTACATTGTAGAATAATAGTGAAGACATCAAAACTATGAAATAACACATATGGAATCATGTAGTAACCAAAAAAGTGTTAAACAAATCAAAATATATTTTATATTTGAGATTCTTCAAATACATTTACATTACATTTACGTCATTTAGCAGACGCTCTTATCCAGAGCGACTTACAAATTGGTGCATTCACCTTATGATAGCCAGTGGGACAACCACTTTACATTTTATGTATTTTTTAAATATTTAAATTTTTAAATTTTAGAGTATATTTTAAATTTTCATTTGTTTTATATATATATATTTTGTTTTCTTTTTCTTTTTTTATTATGATTTTGTATATATATTTTTTTTTAAACAAATCAAAATATATTTTATATTTGAGATTCTTCAATTACATTTACATTACATTTACATCATTTAGCAGACACTCTTATCCAGAGCGACTTACAGTTAGCGAGTGCATACATTATTTATTTTTTAATTTTTTCATACTGGCCCCCCGTGGGAATCGAACCCACAACCCTGGCGTTGCAAATGCCATGCTCTACCAACTGAGCTACATCCCTGCCGGCCAATTGTGTGCCGCCCCATGGGTCTCCCGGTCGCGGCCGGCTACGACAGAGCCTGGATTCGAACCAGGATCTCTAGTGCCACTGCGCCACTCATTTTTTTTTCATATGTATTTATTTATTTATTCCTTTTTTGGGGGGGGGGGGGGGGGGGGGGGGTAGAATGATTATTTTTATACTATCCCAGGTATTCCTTAAAGAGGTAGGGTTTCAAGTGTCTCCGGAAGGTGGTCAGTGACTCCGCTGTCCTGGCGTCGTGAGGGAGCTTGTTCCACAATTGGGGTGCCAGAGCAGCGAACAGTTTTGACTGGGCTGAGCGGGAACTGTGCTTCCGCAGAGGTAGGGGGACCAGCAGGCCAGAGGTGGAAAAACGCAATGCCCTCGTTTGGGTGTAGGGACTGATCAGAGCCTGAAGGTAAGGAGGTGTCGTTCCCCTCACAGCTCCGTAGGCAAGCACCATGGTCTTGTAGCAGATGCGAGCTTCAACTGGAAGCCAGTGGAGTGTATGGAGGAGCGGGGTGACGTGAGAGAACTTGGGAAGGTTGAACACCAGACGGGCTGCAGTGTTCTGGATGAGTTGTAGGGGTTTAATGGCACAGGCAGGGAGCCCAGCCAACAGCGAGTTGCAGTAATCCAGACGGGATATCACAAGTGCCGGGATTAGGACCTGTGCTGCTTCCTGTGTAAGGTAGGGTCGTACTCTGTGAATGTTGTAGAGAATGAACCTACAGGATCGGGTCACAGCTTTGATGTTAGCGGAGAAATAGCCACCCTTTGCCTTGATGACAGCTTTTCACACTCTTGGCAATTCTCTTAACCAGCTTCATGAGGTAGTCACCTGGAATGCATTTCAATTAACAGGTGTGCCTTCTTAAAAGTTAATTTGTGGAATTTCTTTCCTTCGTAATGCCGTTTGAGCCAATCAGTTATGTTGTGACAAGGTAGGGGAGGGTATACAGAAGATAGCGCTATTTGGTAAAATACCAAGTCCATATTATGGCAAGAACAGCTCAAATAAGCAAAGAGAAACGACAATCCATCATTACTTTCAGACATGAAGGTCAGTCAATACGGAAAGTTTCTTCAAGTGCAGTCGCAAAAACCATCAAGCGCTATGATGAAACTGGCTATCACGAGGACCACCACAGGAATGGAAGACCCAGAGTTACCTCTGCTGCAGAGGATAAGTTCATTAGAGTTACCAGCCTCAGAAATTGCAGCCCAAATAATTGATTCTCAGAGTTCAAGTTACAGACACATCTTAACATCATCTGTTCAGAGGGGACTGCGTGAATCAGGCCTTCATGGTCGAATTGCTGCAAATAAACCACTACTAAAGGACACCAATAAGAAGAAGAGATCTGCTTGGGCCAAGAAACACGAGCAATGGACATTAGACCGGTGGAAATGTGTCCTCTGGTCTGGAGTCCAAATTTGATATATTTGGTTCCAACCGCCGTGTCTTTGTGAGACGCGGTGTGGGTGAACGGATGATCTCCGCATGTGTAGCTCCCACCGTAAAGCATGGAGGAGGAGGTGTTATGGTGTGGGGGTGCTTTGCTGGTGACACTGTACATGATTTATTTAGATTTCAAGGCACACTTAACCAGCATGGCTACCACAGCATTCTGTAGCAATACGCCATCCCATCTGGTTTGGGCTTGGTGGGACTATAAATTGTTTTCAACAGGACAATGACCCAACACACCTCCAGGCTGCATCAGATGACCTGGCTTCCACAATCCCCCGACCTCAACCCAATTGACATGGTTTGGGATGAGTCGGACGGCGGAGTGAAGGAAAAGCAGCCAACAAGTGCTCAGCATATGTGGGAACTCCTTCAAGACTGTTGGAAAATCATTCCAGGTGAAGCTGGTTGAGAGAATGCCAAGAGTGTGCAAAGCTGTCATCAAGGCAAAGGGTGGCTATTTGAAGAATCTCAAATATAAAATATATTTTAATTTGTTTAACACTTTTTTGGTTACTACATGATTCCATATGTGTTATTTCATAGTTTTGATGTCTTCACTATTATTCTACAATGTAGAAAATAGTAAAAAATAAAGAAAACCCCTTGAATGTGTAGGTGTGTCCAAACTTTTGACAGGTACTGTACGTATTGATGATTTCCATCAGACGCACCTCGTCTCCCAGTAGGGTGTTGTTAAATCCCTCCATGAGAGAGATGTTATGTA